GGGATAACATCATCAAAAATCAATATGAGATATAAATATCACAATCCAGTTAGCTCGAGAATCTTTAACTACAATTACTTCCTGAACAACTTGGACTCTCACAAACTTATTGATATACTCTCATCTGATTGCTCATGCCATCAATTTCCATTTCATCGCGATTCTCAACATTCCGGACACGTCATATCTGGTGATAAAGATTTAATTCAATGCCCTAAACTTAATAGAATCATTTCCGCTGGTACCAAATTTCGCTCCTACGCACATACTGATATCAATGTATACAACGCCGAATGTCTTTCTAACATTAGATCTATCATTAAAAAGTTAGACAACAAATTTAAACTTTATCCTTTAATCACCACAAAAATCAACTCCGATCTTACCTTTCTATTTGACAATCAAAGAAACATAATCATTAGAAAAACCAGAAATAATTCTGATTGCAAACTTCCTTACACTTCAATCAAAAAACTCCAAGAACATTTTATTATCACTAATACTGATAAAGCTTCAGCTAACTACAGCTTCACTTGCAAAAAACTATATTGCCAACTTCTATGTAAAGAGATGGGTGTTACAATTAACTATGCCAATAAATCTCTTGAGCTCGACAATAGCAACAAAACATATGAAAATTTCGGACAAAACTCGACTGTTATACTCGAACGCCACAAAAAAGAAATCAATGATCTTTTAGGCAATTTTAGAATTATGAATCAAAATGAAAAATATGTTCTTCCTAAAATTTACGGAATTCCTAAATTACACAAAAACCCAACCAAGATTAGATTCATCTGTGGAGCATACAACAGCTCCATCAAACCTATTTCAGTCGTCCTGAAACATTTACTTTCTCATCTCAAAAACCACTTTCGTAACATTAATAACGTCATTGAAAATAGAAATAATATCTGTATCAACTGGTCAATAGATAATAGTCTTAAACTAATTCATCATTTTGATAAATTCAAAATCAGAAATAACACTTGTTTATACTCCGGCGATTTCAGCTCACTCTTTACTAACCTACCCCACTCTGAAATACTTAATTCCATCAATAACATCTTAGATATTTGTTTTAGGAACGCAGGAATTGATGTTACTGGAGTGACTTTGACCAAAACAGGAAAAACCTTTTACTCTTATCCCAATAATAAAATTTATCCCAATAGTTTAACTTTCACTAAATCCCAGATTTCAAACATGGTTCACTTCGTACTGAGCAATAGTTTCGTCTCTTTCGCCGGATTCACCTTCAGACAAGTAAACGGAATACCGCAAGGCAACAACGCCTCTCCATTTATAGCAGATCTTACCTTAACGGCCATGGAATACAATTTTTATAATTAACAATAAAATCCTTTTCGACAGACGCTTTTTTTCCACGCCGCCAGATACATGGATGACATATTCATAATTTACGATAAAAAAATAAATTAAACTTATCCCTAATCACCAACACACTATACCATAACTCATTGGAACTTAACCAAACCAATACGGAAACATATAAAACCCAATTTTTTTGGACTTAGATATTTCAATCGATGAACAAAAAAATCTTAAGCAAATTATATAACAAAAACGGATGACTATAATTTTTCAAATAATCAGATACCCTCATCACGACAGTTATGTAGCTCGAAATATTGGTTTCAACACATTCACTAATGAAATTGTTAGATTCTCTAAATGCTGCAGTAGAATAGAAGACTTTATAGATAGGACTATCGATTGCATAAAAAAACTTTCATATTGAATCAATACAATTTAAACACCTTAATTAGAATTTTTGAAAACAAAAACTTTAAATAGGACTAAATTCAAAGAAAAAAATCGGATTTAGTTTTTGCAAAAAAATACACATTTCATTATAACTATCCCTTCTTCACTCTACATTCCAAATTTCAACCTCAATTTTTCTACCTTTATACTTTCAATATAGACTTCCACAAGAACATAAATTTAATCTACCTCTTCGTAACTTTTGACCTCTGCCGACAACAATCGATATCGGATATGAATGACTACATTTCCCCCTTTTTTTCTCTTTTCCTTTTTCTTCCCCCTTCATTTATCAGTTTTCCCTTTTCAATTTTCCAAACTTTATTAATTTAAAACTGCGCCTAGCAAGAGGGTAAAATGCTGACGATGGGTCACCCTCTAAGCCGTCCATTTTTGGGACCCGAAACGGCTGCGCGACATAAAATATTATCATCTTTAAACCCTTTCTCCTCTAAGAAATTTCAGAAATCCTAAAACCTTTTCATAGTAATGTCCTCCTCATATGTATTTTTCTCACCCTTCATATTGATCAAACACACTGAAATGATAATAGTACCATATAGATGCTGCTCTATCAATTGCCTTAAGAGAAACTTTGAAAAAACCAATTTTTTTTTGAGCTTTTTCTTTTTCGCGAGGAAAACACACCGATGAGAGCCTCAGACGAGCAATTGACCCGACGCCCAATCTCGGTCAAGGCGCTTCATTCGACGAGCAGTTTTATTTTTTAAGAGATCTTTGAAGGCTTCTATCTCGGCTCGCCGAACACCTACAGTACACCTGATTATATCAATCGATTCGTCTTAACGTCAGCTTTCTGATGGTATAGATAATCTATTGGTAAAAGCTTCATCCAGAAATTTCAGACTCGTCTGAGCTTGTCTCTTTTTATTATGATAAGTTATCCGGGTTTGAGATATATCATTGAAACCATCAGATGATGCTCTATCGATTGATTATGGTATCATTTAGTTTGGGGCAGAAGCTGAGATGTAAACTGGCAGTTTTTAAGACGTCATTCAGGTTGATTAAAACTCTTGAAGTCCTATATAATTGGAAAGCTTATGATAAGATAATGCAATTTTCGCTTCGTGACTTTATTTTTGCAAAAAGATAAATGAAATTCAAGAGTATGGTTTAATTTGTTCTGAAAGTTAAATAGCGTTTCATTTGTGATTTATCTGAAAAAAAAGAACTTTTTATTACGAACACATATAACACAAAAAAGTCCGAATTACGCATAATTCGTCGAGAGTTGTAATGCATCGCCGAAGCCGGTACTCACGCGAATATGTTACAGATCCAAGACGAAAGTTCAGCTTCTCTCGTTACTTCAAGTAGCTCAAAAATATGGATTTTTTGGCATTCTCAACATTTTCAAGCTATTTGACTCGTCTACGCCCTCTCTTTCCCCAGTTGAGAGGTTATGGAAACATGGAACAGCATTACAAAACGAGAGTGTCGATGAGGAAAGAGAAAGCTCAAAGAGTAATCGGCTAACCTTCAATTAAAAATCGCCTACTACCCAAAAAACAAGGAGCAAGTTGGTTGAAATAGGGTCGAATTGATATTTCGCCGCAAATCGTTTCAGGCTTCGTCACGCTCCTAAAGAGCATTAATCATTGCCGAGTCAGTCAGAAAAGTGACTTTTTTTTTTCCTTTTTCCACCTGACTTAATCAACCGAAATCAAAATCAGATTGTTCCCCATGGCAACTCTATTCCTTCGCCCCGCCTCCTTGAAAAAATATCTGCGTGAGCAATCCATTCTTCTTAGTCTTCTTCTGAAAGTCAACTTTCTAGTCTTTCTCATGAAATTAAGATCTTATAACGCTGTTCAGTTTTTTATCTTCATTTTTTCACTTATCTTTTCCAAACGCGCTTAAAAACATTTTCAAGTCCAATGAACCACTGAGCTGGAGACAAACTACTTCTCAGCTCCTCATACTCCTCAACAGCCCACTTGAGGGGTTTCAGAGAAACCGCTGCTACTAAAGGAATTCACTTTGACTAGTTCCCTTAAATTACCACTCGAAATCCAATCTTCATAAACTCCCAAAAGGAAAGTATCTTAAATAACCATTCTGTGAAATTGAAAAAAGAGATACCCGCAGAAAATAATTGGGGAATACGAAGCAACATGAGTTCATCTTTCTGCTTTTCTTTGCTATTCCAAGATGTCGAACACAACTATTTCGAAAAAAAAGAAATAAAAAATCTGCGACCTCACACATGATTGCTTTTGATGAACACGGCAAGGAATCCAATTAAAAAAAGACCCCGCTGTTTCATTGGAGCGAGAATGATTGCGCCGAAAGCTAAACTTGGAGCTCGTCTTGGTTTTTGATGATTCATCGTATTGACTAAAAAAAAAGTTTTTGATTAACGTTCGATCGAAACAGAAAATAACTCGTCATATAACTAAAACGTCGTAGACGAACCGAAAAACCAAGCCCATTTTCTGGAAAACGCCACCTCGCCATTATCACAAACCTACTACCAATATTTCTTTCTTCGGCCGATCCAAAAATGAAACAGCCGAGAAAAATGGTCTACTCAGGAGATCCTCGACGTCGGGCGAGAAGACCGACCAAAATCCAGGTCACGCCCTCCGCAATTAGGTTCCCTTTCCTTCGAACACGAGAGCGGCGCCTCGTCCTCCGCCATCCTTCGGCCCCAACTCACTTTAGTTCGAAAAATGGTAATTTGAATGATGAATTCATAGTAAATGATAATCCAGGCGCGCTCCGAAGTGTTTCCCTTCTGGATGAAGGCGTGGCTGTTCGCCTCGGCGGTCATCTGCGCCGTCGACGTCACCTTCACCATGTTACGACCTTATACTAACGATCCCAACAACGTCCTATCCTACACAGTCTTCTATGGATGTGGGTTCCCTCGAACTTTAAGGACGATCGAAACTTTTTTTTATGCTTTCAAAACTTTTTGAGAAAATTCTGAACCTTTTTTTAGTTGAAGTGAGAACCTATGGGCTATTTCTTTTCAAAAACTATCATATCTTACAAAAAAAATCCAAATAATATTTAAAGAAGTTGAAAAAAACCGCTTTAAAAAATACTGATTAGTATTCAAGTGACATTCTAGAACTTGAAAATAAAAACAAAAACTAGAGCTTTAATGACAAAATTGACGTTGGAAATGAAGACCCAGAAGACGTGAAAAAAAGTTCGACGAACCGAATAAAAATTCCTTGCAAAACATGGTAATCTAAAAAAAAATGTTTGAGTCTAAAAGTTCCTTTTCTTTCAACCCAATCGCTTTCTTTTTCAATTTTTTGACTTTGCTTAAACACACTAGAGTATCATTCTTCCAAATCCAGCTCTAAAAAATTCCCTAAAACCATTAGGAACAAGCTTTTTTGGTCTTTTGAATTAATGGGTACCTTCAGGGAACCTCTACGCGTCCGTTGATATCCGTTATGCGGACACCAACGATTTGGTTACGTGTTCTACTGGTCGAGTCATGCTCGGGGAGATCATTCTCAACTTTATCGCGCTTTATTTGGTAAGTGACCATTTTCTCAACTTCTAGCTACAAAGCGAAGTAAAGATTAAGAACGAACTTTTTTTTTAAAATAGAAATTCATTTGAATATTTAGGCCAAGAAAAGATCTCGACACGCGGTGCTGACCGCCTTCGTCTCCTCAGTTATGGTGTTCTGGAAGACCGTCTGGTACTTCTCCCTGTACATACAACCGCCTCCGGGAAATCCCTCAAAGTTCGCCGAGGACAAATCTCTATTATCCGTCTTCCTCATCTTTTTCCTTCCCAATGGTAAGAATAATGGTACAAATTCTAGAAGCCTGCAAAAATGGCAATATTTCAGTCTTCTGGGTGATTCTCCCGTTCGCCTGCATTGTCGCTCTCTGGCCTAGGCTGGCCCTACCATTGGAATTCGAGGACCAGTGAGTTAGATTCAACCCGTTTGTCACAGAGCTCATATAGTCTGTGTGCCATGACTTGAAATTTCACCGAACGACATTCAGCTGTTACGCTGCGTCGCGAAGCGTCTTTGCGAGCCTCGGTCTCGCTTTGAATTAGTTCTCATTTCTGATAGATGAACTGTTCCACTAGGAACACGTGTTGGTCGAGTTCTTAAGTAAAATGAAAAATTAAAGGAAGGCACGCAGCGGTACAGCGGAATGTCGTTCGGTGAAATTCCAAGTCGTGGTACACAGAATATAATGCGTTCCCGGCTAGCTTGGGACGAGAATAAACAGACGTAAAAAGCTCTTTCTTTTTACAATCTTTCAAAAAAATTCATCAAAAACTGTCTCAAGTCAACTGTGAATAAACCATCAAGAAACCCCGAAAGATTTTCAGTTTTGAAAAAAAAAAATCAAAAACTCTCTGAATTTTCAATGTGTCGATGTTCCATTTTTCAAACTTCATTTTTTTGCTTGAGGTCAAGCGGCGAATAGAGTATCATTTCTTTGCATTGATAATCTGTCAAAAAAAATTTCTGAGCTTTACTACGGCCCAAAAGGTTAATTTCTCATTAAGAAAGCATAAATGCCGCAAAAACTTCAATAAAATTAGTTTAAACCTCTTTGGAAATTCCTAAAAGTTGAATATTGGCACCTTTCTGTACCTATAAAGACACCATATCACGAAAAAGAAACAATAAAAGTTTGCAGACTCAACAACAATTACGTCAAGGCGGAAGACCGGGAGAAGGCTTAATAATTGAAAAAAATGCAAATAAATGTTCGATTCGTTTACAAGGAACCCGTGATACCATTTCTCAAGTGTTCGTATTCCTGCAGCAGAATGTTGGCTTCGGCTGTAAGTCGATTCAGTTCGGTTTTGGTGAAATTTCGCTGTTGCTCGATCTGTTTCAGCATGGAGTTGTGTTGGAAACCCTGAAACAAACTGACATTTTCGGAAAATAAAATAATATTTGGATTATGCACTTTTCGTTGACAATTGAAAGGAGTAGAATGAAAACTTGAAATGTTTTCAAGTTCTCTACACTTAATTTGAAATTCTTCCCGTTTTCTTAGAATCAATTTGAATTTGGTTATCTCTTTCCAAGTTACGTTCACAAATTTTTTTACAAATTTTTCCATATAATCCATTTTTCCAAACAAAATTCCTATCCTCATCCCACTTTTTTTTACATACTAAACAATATATAAACAAGAAAAACTTCGCCGTCGCCGAGGAACATCTCCATGTCCGTCACGTCAAACTTGGGCAAATCGACAGTCGTCGTGGAAAATTCGGCTTCTCCCCATTTGATCATCTCCTTTATTTTATGATTGACGTCTTCTAGTGCTGACAGAAGGCTATCCAGTGCGCCGTTTTTGTTCTTTCTAGAAAGAAAAAGAAAATCAATTTGGCGGGAATAAGTTTAATCTTCGACCTCTTATAACCTATTTGTGCGTTCAAAATTAACGTCGCGAATTAAAGGATCAAGTTCTGAATTAGAATCGCCGCAATGTTCAGTGGTGATTGAGTTCAAAAAAAAGACGAAGCTTTTGAGATCTCAAAGCGTTTCGAAAACATCGAACATCGAATATTGATAAATTAACTATTTTTAGTCGAGATACTCTGCAGTTTGTGGAATTGCATGGCGGTTTCATAATATATAACGAAATTCAGTCGGAGCTTGGAGAACAACTAAAAACATAGTTCTATGGATTTTCTGGAATAACTGTTCCGAAATTTAAGCTATTTTCAAGTTAGAAGAAAGGAAACGGAAGAGGAAGCTAAAGCAACATATGAAATCGTTCGAAAAAAGCTTACTTAAACTCTAAAGGAGCCTTGAGAAAATTCATAAGGCCCTCTAGCGAGAAAATTCTTTTATTGTCCAAGATTTCACGGATTAAGCATAATCTTCAGAACGCATCAAGCCCAATTCAACTTCACTCCAAAACATACAGCTTGATGGAAGCTATCGATTTTTGTAGCCTTCGCGTCACGTTAACCAGCTCCTTCTTCTCCTTGACGTCTTGAGTGCAATTTGAGTGATCGTCGTGGTCTGAACTCCCAGAATCCCGACAGATATGGGCTCAGAAGACCTTTGCAATCGACGTCGGTGTACTCGCGGTAGTCGTGTTTGAAGATGTCGAACTGGCTGGCCTGGAAGCTGCACTCGTCGATCAGCCGGTCGGCGTCGAGCGAACAGGAAGCGTCTTCTAATGATTCCGCCATGACCCTCAAGAAAAAAAATTGAGGAAGAAGCTAATAGCATTTCAAACGCGTTTAAGACATACAGGAGCCAGAAGAAGCTCCCGAATACAGCTTATTTTCAACTTTCGCTTCGAAAAACGTTGAAAACAAAGTTCGCACCGGAATTAATGTACAAAATGGAGAATAAAGAACTTTTTTCTCCACGTAATAAAACCTAATAAAACTAGCCCGAGAAAATTGAGTATAAATAAAAGTTTCCTTGCAAACTTCTAACTTTTAAAAAACTGACGTTTGTCAAAAAATCCAAGAATAATCGGTTCGAAAGCTCGAATTCAATAAATAAAAGGGTCATTAAACCGGGAAAGAAAGAAAAACCCAAAGAAGATGAATCAAATATTTATGGAGGTAGAAAATAAAATCATACATCAATGACAAAGTGAGTAAGGAAATAACCAAAAAAATTCAATCCAAGACACGTGTGTAAATAATCTTTGGCAAATGACAAAGTTAGTGAATCAGGCCTATTATGCAAAAAACGTCCTACCCAATCATAATACAACCCTTCTCTTGCACCTTGCTCACCAAACTACAGTACTTGATGGCGTTTTTCAAGGAATCCTGAATGAACTCACAAACAAAATGGACTTTTGAATAGTTTCGAAAATTGATATTTCGCAGGAATTCGGTCACGAAATCGAAGCAATTCCAATCCAAGCTGTTGTAGTTCTGAAAGCAATTGTTCGGAAAGAAAGTATCCGTACGGAAAAATAATTAGGATGAAATTTCCAATTTAAAGTGAAATATATATTGGAAAACCAATGGAATTGTGAAAAAAACTATTTGAAGGTCAAGTTAACGTCAATTATTCACAGAAACTAATAAAAAAACTATTAAATTTTTTTAAAAAAATTATAAAAAAAGCTTATTTTTTTAAGAAATAACGAAGTGTCGTTCTTAAAGTTCAATAATCATAATAATTAAAGTTTTCTAACCTGCCCATGAAAATGATTGGCCGACTCGTTGATAAACTTGAAGAGGGCATTATCAAGAAGATGCTCGTTTGCGAAAAATCGCAAAAAGTCGAAAACGACAATGGATTTGTCCCAGGAACTGCCTTGGGCTGTCACGCCGTTGGTCCAGTAAGAGTGAACCAGGGACTGGGAATCCGAAATGCCAATATGCAAATCATCGCCAATTTTGTATCTGAAAGCGCAAAAATCCTTTTTTTCGAAAAATAAACGAGCATTTTTGTACAGCTTGCCTCACGTAAATGGACAAGAAATTTATCATTGAGGTGCGCTTTTTCACATTTATTTGATTCAATTTTTTTTTCTTCTAATTTCTCTCGGAAATTCGTAACGAGAAAAGCTCCGGACGTTTCTGATCAGTTTCAGGGGTCACTTAAAAACGCTGACGCTACTAAAGTCCCTGGTTCTCCCTTCACGCCACAGAATTCTGTCTGTGAGCGAACAATAAAATTTCATTTCATTACAAAAAAATAGAAGAAAAAAAATATTATATAGGTTGATTACCTCTTATCAAATGAAAATTTATAAATATGAAAAAAAGATTGAAATTAGAAAACTTCAACAGCACTCAAAAAAACAAAAAAACAAAAAAATTAAAATTAGCATCAAAATAACAATTAATTGATAGGAAGTAGTAATTTTAAAAAAACCTAGAGTGTTTTTTTAATTACTTTCGAAAAAAACCATCAAAAAAACTAGAAAAAAATAATGTAATTTCGATTATTCATATAATACAGCTTCAAACTTCATCAGAAAAATTTATTTTTGGCTCTAATTATACGAATCATTTTTTTCTACGAGAGAAAAAAAGAAGATACAAAAACCGCGAAAAACTAGTGAGCCCAAAAAAATTAAAAATTTTTGAATTTTTAAAAAGTTTTTTTAGTGTCTCCAATATCTCTAACTTTTTGCGTCATATGAACCAGAGTTTCAATCAAAAAAAATAATAATAAATTTAGTTCTCTGCAAAAAAAAAACGTGAACTTCTTGGCAAGGCGTCATTTTCTTGATAGTGAAAAAAATAAGACGTACAAAAAGCCACGTGGCAACGTGTCATTTTTTTTTTTGTATGACCTGGGTTCAAACGTCATTCCTGCTTCCCTCATGAGTCGTCTCGGTTCTACATTCAACGTCAAGATGAGTTTTAAACTTTCATAAATCTTTTAACTTCCAAAACAAGTTTCTGAGTTGTAAGCGCTAGTAGATTAGGCCGCGGGACTCCCGGAGTGCCGATCCTCTTTGCTTGCAAATTGGATACGCAAAGTCACGCTGAAGCCCATTCCAGTGGCCGAAGCATAAACTGTTGGCAGCGCGATGCTGACAAAGCGATGATGGGACCCCCGCGGAAAATGCCGTCACGGCCTTCGGCGTCTAGGAATCTTAGTTCTGACAAGGCCGAGCGGAGCTCTAGCGCACCGCCTAGTTAGTTCTTCTGACTGCATAAAGCTTCCCTAACTAACTTACGACTTTACAAAGCTAATCAGTCAAAAAATTAGAAAAAAAAAACAATTTATATCCTCTTTCTCCGTGTTTGAAAGTCTCTTGTATTTGAAACTTCAGTTAATCGCCATGACAAGAAATCCGCTCTCCTTGATCAAAGTCGCGATGACGACGTCTTCAAACTAGATGCATGGCGGACGTTCGATCAACTGCCTGACCGGCTGAACAACACCAGGTACCAGCCCAATGCTCTTAAAAGCAGCTGAGGGTTTTTCATTATGTGTTGAATTGCAAAGAAAGAAAGAAATCACAGTAAATTCACATTGGCTGAATTCGGTCCTCACTAGTACAAAAAATTAAATTAGCGTTTATTCAAAACTGATTGACATATGTTCAAAACAGGCTAGCCAGAGGCCGTATGCAATAAACTGGAAAATAATTTTCTTCCACTTTCCTGAAAATTTAAAAGGCCTTGAACTCGCTAGGATATCATTGATTTCGATTTTATCTGATGGAATAAGGCTTATAAGAAGATTCTGATAGAAGTGAGACAATTTCAGTCTAAAAAAGACTGATTTTAGCCATTTACGAATTTCAGAAAAATGGCGAAAAACCATTTTCTACTTTATTGCATACGGCCTCAGGCTTATGCGAGGTCCAGATTGAAAACGAATTGAACTTTTCTCATTTTAATCTTTTTCTTTTTTTTTTAAATTTTCTTTCGATGAGAGGTAATCAACCTATATAATATTTTTATTTTGCAATGAAATGAAATGTTTAGTTAGAAGAAAAAAAAAATGAATCAAAGAGGTGTGAAAAAGCGCGCCCCAATGATAAATTTTTTTGTACAGAGCTTTACAAGTACCGGAGGCTAAAATAAATGAAAAACTGACGACTGAAAATATCCTTGAGTTGGCTTGATAACAATGGCACAACGAGCATTCACTTGCTCGATGAAGGGGCACGGAAGAGGAGAGTCGCTCCATTCACTCCTAGTTCCCTGAAAAAAGATCAAGTTCAGTTATCTCATTACTTTTGTATAGAAAAGAACTTGTAATGATATATAATTGAGCTTTCTAATTGGAGTCAAACTTATAAAAAAACGATAACAAATATTTTTAAATAATCCCTGAATATAATTTTAACTATAAGAATGACTCTTGGTCATATATAATTCATTTTCGAATCCGGGAAATCTTTTGAAATTTTTTTCCGCAAATTGTTAAGGACCTTTGGACCTTTTTCTCGAGGTTACAAGATAAATTACATCACAAAGAGTACACAATTTTTCTATTTATTACCAACCTATCTTAATTACCGTAATACGACCGACCGCTTTGAACATGCGTGAATGGTGAAAATTTGAAAAAAAAAACTTACCTCATCGAATGGGACGTTGCAGTCTGGACACCGAAATTCTGTCCCTGCCGGGGACATGACCAACAACCTTGTAGTGCATCCAAAATGTTGGATGTACGTTAAATACATAAAATGAAAAAAAAAGGAAAAAAGAAATTTCAAAACTTTTCAAAAAAGGGGCGGAGAGTCTGCAAGATATGCGCAGTTCTGGACAGCGCTAATTTCAAATCTCGTAGAAAATAGAAATTTATTTTTTTCTTTTTAACTTCGATTTAGAGTTTATTGTTTTTTCAATGACACGAAAAGTGCAATTTCAGGATCAAAATGCCGATCCACTCTAAGAAGAAAAACGCGAAACAACCTGAACTCGTGCCGATGAGCGAAGAAGAGCTGGCACAAATGGAAGAGCACATCGATGAAGTGCTCAAAACGCAGCTTCCGATAGGCCGTATCAAGAAGATTTGTCGTTTGGACCCCGACGTATCCATGATGAACAACGAGGCTCTTCGGCTGATTTCAAAAGCTGCTGTGAGAAGACGTAAAATAAGAAGAAATTCGAACATAATTTATTTCAGGAGTTATTCCTCATTGAACTGGGTAGGGCTGCCAACACAAACGCGGTGATGGAGAGAAGGAAAACGGTACAGAATAAAGACATAAGTAAGCTCTAACATTATCAAATTTTCATAAGGAATAATCATGTTTAAAGATAAATGCATCGTGTCGCGATGGACGTTCGCCTTCTTGGAAGACGCGTTGGATGGCTGGCCAAAGAATGAGCCGAAAAAACGAATCATCATCTCAACTGAGGGTGAATCGGCCGCTCCAGATGAAGGCGACGTCGCCGACGACTCTGTTGTCGAAGATTCTTGTGCCGACGAGGTCGACGAATCTACCCAGCCGCTTCTTGATGAGGAAGAGGAAGAAGTGGTGCCCGATAGTGTGGATTTGGAGGGGATAGCCGAGGAAATCGCCGATCTTGATGTTTGAAAATACTGGTACGCTTTAGTCCTGACGACCAATCAATTCTTTGAGAGTTTCAACTTATCCTCCGCCTTTTTTTCTTCTTTCATCTGAATCAAAACTTGTGAGATAATTGAATTTCAGTTGATAATTAATTTTACTTTTATTTTTATTTTTTTACTAACATTTTTTTGCGCAACCCTCTCTCTCTCTCTCTCTCAAGTTTACTAATTACCGTCTTAAGTTTTACCAATAAATAACCATTTTGAAAACGGCTCACATTGAAATATTCATCAGTGTTCAAAGTTCGCAACTTGTCTACAAAATGATCATCTTTCCAAAACTGAATTGACTTTGGAGTAAAAGATCTGCTTTAAAAAAATTATACAATGGTACCTGGATTTTTGAAAATGGTTTACGATTATTATACTCTTCTTCTTTTTTATTCCAACTAAAATATATTCCACCATGCTCGAATGAGTTTCATTTTTTCTAAACTTGCTATCTTTCTCGAATTTTCCTCTTTCCTTTGTTAATCATTCTCAAACTTTAAATAAAGATATTTTAACTAACAAAAATCATGAGGGATTCTTGACAAACTTTAAAATGTACAAGTGTTCTATGCCGCAACGACGCTGCATGGCGATGGATGAACTGAGAGCCGAAGAATGGGCCAGAAGAGCGGGAATGTCGTTTTGATGGAGGGCGACCAGGTAAAAGACGCCGCCAGGTGCTAGCAGGTCTGGAATTCGTGGTAGAAGGCGGTCTAGCGTGCTGCGTCCTGTCCGTCCGCCGGCGTAGCACCTCTCCTAGGGTTCTCGAAGGTGTTTTGGTCTTATCATGCTTCATACTATATTCGTCGTCGGCTCTTCTTCAGTCGGCACGTAGGGAGGGTTGAAGATCAGCACGTCGACTTTTCCCTGCAAATCAGGGTTTTTCGGGATCTCGCCTTGAAATTTCTCGAAATTTTAACCTAGCTAAAAATACCTATTTTTGAAATCGTCAACATTTGACGACAAGTAAATAAGCTTAAAATTCAAATTTTGATATCGAAACTCAAGAATTTATCGATATTCCATTTTTAAAATGAAATCCCACTTGTAAATGATCGAAGCCGGTCTCCAAATCGGTTCTAACGACGTCGATCTTGATGTCGTTGAGCCGCGCCGTCTCCAGCGTGCATTCCAGGGCGTGAGGGTTGAGATCGGTGGCCAATGACGTCACGTTCCCACCCAAAGCCTGGAGATCTTGGCCGTTTTTCTTCGAGTTAAAGGTCATTCGACCTGATTGACGAACGTGGAGACGACGCCTGAGCCGCAACCGATTTCCAGCACGATTTTGGGGTTTCTCTCACGAAGTTCCTGGAATAAATCAAGTACTTTGCTCAGGATACTTTCTCTAGTCAAGAAAGGGCGGATCGAAAAATTAAGAGACTTCTGATGGACTTGGCCTTGTTGTGAAAGGACTCCGTTTATGAAAAAAATCAGTAAAGAAACGCCAAATTTAATCAATTTATCACCGATGGCCTTGAGTTTTCAAAAATTTTCCGGCGACGAATTGGAATAAGTATCATTTTTAGTTTAGCTGTTCTCCTACACAACTCTTCCTGAACCTCCAACTCACTTTGATATCTTTTTCGATGGCGTCGATCAAGAGAAATGTATCTTCGGCGGGTTCGTAGACGTCGTGATTCCGTATGGCGCTCAATCTGTATTGTGGCGTCGGTATTGACATTTTCTAAAGCGTTGAAAAATATTTAGTGAAGTTCTTCGTTTCTTCTTTTGATGTTTGGCTGTGACGTTCCTCAATGAACAATAGTTAAATTTATTATTAAAAAAAACGCTTGACAGAATTTTAGTTGTTCGGCTGAAAACACTGAATATTCAATTTGAGACAGTAGCGACAAAATTGATCCGTTTTTCAACCATCTTCTGTTTAAGTCATTTACGGCATTTTCAGGATCACTTTTCAAGCCTTCTTCAAACCAAAGTATAAACGAACACAACACGGAAAACCTCAATGAATTTCGAAATCGATTGGAAAACAACCATTTATCACAAAGATATCACACCGAAAGAAAAGAAACTGGGAAAAAAGTCTATAAGGAGTTGGGACAGAGGGTTGAGGGGCGACTAATTCAATTTGGAAGACGAGCCGAGAAAAAAAAACGACATTGGCGCCTCGGGAACAGACAAAAAAAGGACGATTGAGCTCAAATTATGTAAACCAAAACGGAACAAGTCATGATTAAACGAGAGTTCTTTGGAAGAAATGAAATGCTTTAGTGGTCACTTTAGGAGTTCCGTTCGAGCCACTGAAGCTTAATTCAACTCGAAAAGGTAACTTCAGTAGGTCCAAAATGAGTCATGCTAATAAGAAGTAGAATTTTCAGCTTTAACTTGAAAGGCCTTCAAGAACCATTAACACTTCTCACAGGACCTTTTTTCATAGAAAAAAATTTCATTGAACAATAAAATGTACTAAATGTTTCTTGATAGTTCATTCTTTTCTGTGCAAGTTTAAGCATTTTATAAGCCAAATTATTCTTCAAAATCACATTTCTAACTTTTTTTTTGAAGGTACAACGTTTAACCCTGAATTTTCCTACCTAGAAAACCAAAAAAGATCCTGTAACCTAACTATACATAACTCCCTGCTAGCTTGAACCTTCTGAACCTCTTCTACTCTCAAAGCTTTTCTTAAATACTTTCTCAAGCCATCGGTGAATGAACTATCAATTCCAAGCAACAGATGAAAGGGCAAATCTTGGCAAAAGGGGTAAGAAAATGAAATAAATGCAAGAAGAGGCTGAGGCGGAATCATTAGATGTCAATGGAAAATGGGGGCGACAATTGAAGAGGAGGAAAGAAAAAACGCTTGGAGGACCCCACAACACATGAAAGTTTTAGAGGACCAGCCAAAAGACATTAGTTAGGCGTGGTGCTGGAAAGGGAGGAAGTTTGGAGCCGAGCCTCTCCCAAATCTCGCATCAAACCAATCCTCTGGGAATCGCCAAAAAAGAGCCATGAAAAGCAAAAAATGTCTCTGTCGGCAGAGGTCAGCGTAGGTATTCGAATATGTTTCGTGAATAAAACTAAAGTTTCATCAAGCTCTTCTATAAAAACTGTTTTCAAATTTAAAAATGTTCGCTCATAATCCCATAAAACCCTACGGCACCATTTCCCGACCTTTTTTGCCTTTCAAGCCCAGATTAAGAGTTTTAAACTCAACTCCGAAATTGAGTGTTCGAAATTTACAGGCAAATACAAAGTGTCTTTGGTGTAGAAAAAAGTTGAAACAAGAAAAAAAAAAGAGGTCCGGGACAGAATGATTTGTGACTCAATGCGATTTTATATTAGATATACAAAGTTGAACTCTACCGATAAAATCGAGGGAAAAAATCTCACCCAGAAAGAGGGCCTTCTCTAATATACCCAGCGAAAGCCAAAAAGAGAAAAGTTATGCAATACCCCATGAATCGCTCGCTTAAAAATCGGAGTATCCCTTAAGTTAGCGATGAATAAACTATACACAAAAACAAAGGAAAGTTGATCAAGATTCGGGATGGAGAAGCTCCTGGAAGGCCTGGGTGACAAGTTCGTTCACCGCTCTTTCCACCGGATCTTCCGGCTCCGCCACGACGTCTTCTGCAAAAACATAGCTTAGTAGATATTCTAAAAAAGAAAATACCTAAAAGCGGAGGCGGAGTAGGAGGTGACGCCGGCCCACGGGCATCGAAGACACTCGATGGACTCAGTGGATGTACCTGAAAAGGTATCGATAATTATGATTCACAGATCAACCTTTATTTTTGCAACTTTTTATGGTTGAAAAAAGTCTCGAGGAAAAGTTCACGAGACCTTCAAAGACTGCAAATAAATTAAACTAATCTTTCAGTTTTTACAGAAAAAAATTTCGAAAAGCTTCACTCTCTAATATTAAAAAAAAATTCCTTCGTCTTCTCGTATGCTCCTCTTCGTCCTACTTTTTTATATCTTATATCCTTTAAGAAGACTTATTAGCGAGTTTTCAAGCTAAAAACTAAAAAAAAGAGCCCCAAAACCCGGCGCAGGCGGCCCAACCTGACGCACAAGCTCGCTTTAGATCATGCAAGGACTTGCCTTTTTTGAAAATAATATGATCGAAATGAAAGCAATGTTACTGGGAATCTGTATAAATAACTGGCTCACAGTGATTTCGGCATCCCCAGCCGGCTCATCAACAGGCAAAGAGTTTTCGCGTTGCATCTCGACGACGACAGGCGCCGCCGTATCTACCGTACTTCTCAAGGCGACAGTCACCGTCTGCACCTCGACGGTCCCCATATTCTGGAATTATATTTATCGAGTACTCATTAATCAACATTCAAGATATATGAGGAAAAGACAGTCCTTGATATTGTAGTGGAGAAAAAAAGAAAAAAAAAACGTGAATCACGTCGAAATTAACAAAGTTCTATCTTTTATAGATAGTATGACAAGTGTATAACGTATTTTTCTACAAGTTAAAAATATTTTACAAACCCAAATCGTTTTTATACTTCATGAAAGACAGTAAGCTTGAGAAAAAAAAGCGTTTGAAGCTGTTTTGATTTTAAAAAATTTTAAAAAAACGAGTGATTACTCCATGAAAACATCTAGATTGATTAAGACTAGAAGTTGGTCCAGAAGGACGAGATTTTAATAATTCACGTTTCTGGAATGAGGGAAAAACGTTCAGAAAGTTGAAAAAGCCCCCAAAAACATTTCAATGTGAGAAAAATGAGAAATTATTGCACCTGCTTGTCATATACATGAAATTTGAAAAAGGATATAACATTTTTTTTCCAATTGCCAAGACCTCGAAATATATTTTTAAAGTTCTCAAGCGAAAAAGGACAGAAACTTGAGATATATAGTGAAAAACATGTAGCAATTTGAAAAAAAAGTTAATAATTTTTTTCCAAATTTTTAACCCAGTTTTTTTGACCGAAATCAGCCCGGTCAACACCGAAAAGCTTCCCGCTGTCACGAAGCCAAATCGAATTTCCTTCGCAAGAAAATTTGACCTAGTGAGAGAAAAAGAAAGGAAAAAGGCTCAGGAAAAAGCGGCTTCCGTGAAAAAACTAATGAAAACAGCGCTCGTAGAAGGTTGAGAAGAAGTAGAAAAAGGCCTTATAATCGAGCCAATTGCCTTTCTTTTTTTCTTCCAGCGAAAAATAAGCGTAATTGGTTCTTTAGTTCATTCACGAAGCTCGTCGGGGTATAGTTGCATTTCGAAATTCAAAAATATTCAATGAATGAAGTATATAAAACTTCCTTAATTTCCTCAATTTCTGGCCAATTTTGCTAGTTTTGAGTCAAAAATTGGCTAAAAAAGATAAACTTGGGCTATTCTAAAGGAACTGACTTGTATACCCTAATAGAAACCAGGCTAAAATATAAATTTTTTTAAACCAATAAGAAGATGAAATTTTTGTATAACTTATGACAACCAGAAAATCTTTTGAAAGTATTGCTCAAGTCAACCTCACGATTCTCAATTTTTTTTAGTTATCCTACACCTACGCAAGGCTTCCTCTCTCTGGAAAAATTGATACTTATACGAATTTGAGCCAAGAAACGCTTAGAGATGTATCGTTTCCCGACATTTTCTCAAATTTCCAACCACCTGAATCCAAAAAAAAGGAAAAAAAAAAGAGGAAACACGAGTGGGCAGAACGAATACGTGTGTGTATGTGAAGCGAAGCGTGTCGCAAACTCAATTTTCGAAACAAGGTCCGAGGTTTTTCCTGGACAAGAGTACACGATGAAAAATCAAGTTATGGATGGAAATTTGGAGTCAGAGAGAAAATTTTGAGGGGCGTGGCCAAAAACTCTGAAACGAAGGTGCTACGACAGAAGCGGTTTTCAATTACCGCCATTTGTTTTTTCAAAAAGATTCTCTGATTTTTAGTTCAATTTTTTGATGAATGCATAGTTGAGGAATTTTACCTTTTTTCTGTCATTATAATCCATTTCGATGGAGTTCGAAATGAAAATGGAGGAAAAAACTCGGATATGGAAAACTCGCCAAAGTTCTGAGGAGACCGTGTTAACGTGGAGAACGTGAGAAATTGTTTTTCAGGTCATAACAGATCTGAAAAAAAATCGCCCTCAAAAGGTGATCAAAAATCCTAAAAGAATGAAGAAAGTTTTCTAATAAAAAAGCGGCTATATCCATTTTTCGTCCCATCGTCTATTTTGGTTTACAATTCCAAAAGGGCCTAAGGTGTCAAAAAAGGTGAGAAGGCGTGGGTGCACACCGGAAGAGCACGTGGGGCGTGAAAAAAATTGGAGAGCCATTAGTCGAAGCCGAAAGGAGCACACAAAGAGAGCCGCGACACGTTTCAAAGATGATGAAAATCGAAACGGACAACGAACAAAAAAGGCAAAAAAAGAGGAAAAAGCGACAGAAACTAGGCCTGAATATATATCCTATTGCAAATGCGTCCGACACCTAATTTGTAATACATCTAATACATTCATGTGTCACAGACACTCGTCAACAAACTTGTCGTTTTGTTGAGCTAAAAGACTTCCTTCTCGGGGAAGAAAAATCAGTAGGAACATTCAAAACCCATACTTTTGAGCGAAGTACTTCTTTTTGAGAAAGTCTTTCAGAACTTACACAGGCCTTTTGAGAAAAAAAACCTCCCCTTTTTGAAGGAAAAAAAAGAATAAAAATGCGAAGAAAAAGGCTCTAAAGAGACAAATTTACAGGAGCAATCGAAAGAAACAAAACAATTCAGTCTAAAAAGGCCTAATTTAGTTGTCAAATATGCTTCACGGAGAAAAGCTCCTTTTTTGAAAATTAATATTTTCTTCTCTTTTTTGGTGTGAGCTGAATTCGAAAATTAATGAAACTTGTAAAGGCAAAGGAAAAAAAAACCGAAGGCTCAGAAGAAATGCGTCATTGCGCTCCAAGGGCAATCATGAAAATAGCCAGATATCCCAAGTCTCCAAGTTAGTAAAGCAGGCAAAACAACACAAAAAGAAGCAAAAATTTATAAAAAAAAAAGGAGTAGAGAGAAGTAAATTCTAAAAAGGACTAGAAAACGAAGAATTGAAGGAAAAAGATGATGAAAATCTCCAAAGCCATGGTCCCGGTTAGGAGAACAATATTGAGGAGATCACGAACCGCTGGCGCGTGGATCTCCGAGAGGACGTGCTGCACACGGTCTTGATACAAGATCAGCGGCATTTCGTAGTGATGGAAGAAGTAAATCATCGAATGCTGCAAGAAAAAGTATAGGTGCTGCGATATCCCAATGATTGGAAATACGTCTGAGTTGCCCTATTGCACTAAAGTCATACTGTATTGTATTTCGCCGCGTCGATTACTTGTTGTTTTACCTATGAGACTGTTTCCCGTAATTGACTTTCTTCCATTCTTTTATTTTTTTTTGATAATGTAATGTATCTTCACTACGCCTTCTGTTCTACATTCAAAATAGCTTGTTTTAATGAAGATTAAAGACTTTGAGATAGCCTCTCTCTCTCAAAAACTAGAAATGTTTGCAGATCGATAATTTCAGAGATTATGTGATGCATCACAGAGTATTCTGGGCGATTTTTTTGCTTTCAGTTCAAAGTTTCGTGTACTCAACTCTCACGCATATTCTCTACGAAAAAGCCCAAAAGATACCAAAATAAAGGTGGCCGATGTGATGAGCGCCAGGCCCCCGTATTGTCCACCAAACCGGTATTGATACGCGTAGAAAAAGAACTGGTACATGTAGAAAAACCTGAAAAAAGACGTTCACAAAGAAAAAAAAAATTTATCTGGTCATTCTATCCAATCTAATAAAAGAGCCTCCCAGTCTGCTTTTTTGTTATGAATCCCTTTTTTCAATACCATATAGTATTTGGATGCATTAAAACAGTTCCCTTTTAAATTATTTCAAATGGGAATTCTGCTCTGATGTTCTGAATGGTTCAAAATAACCTTTTCTCTACTTTCAAAAAAAGATATAAGAAGAGAACCTGAGCCAATATCGCTTGCTGATGGGACAGTGACAGCAGATGGCGTCGTACTGATCCGCCAGCCAAACGATCAAAATCACATAAAAGGCGGTGGTTGTATCGTTGAACACCTCCGACATGATCGCTTCCATTCCTACAGCGTTTATAAAAGTCCTTTTCGGAACATTTTCTTCGGAAAAAGCCCAATCAAAAGCAATGACGAACCGACAAGAGCCAAAATGACAGTGAAAATTGGAGCAACGGGAAAGAAAAGCGGCTCCTGGAGCTCGAACATGTGAAGGAGGTCGACGATGAAGACGAATATCTGGTGATGGGAAAAACGGAGCAACATCGAGATGGCGAACGTCTACGAAAAAATTTGTAAATTGAATGGGCTCCATTTGATTTCCCCGATTTTCGTTTATTCTAAAGAGAAATAACACTCGGATGATATTCAAAAAAGTCCTATAAATGATCAATTGAACGTAATTTTAAAACTTATTTTCTACGATGAATAAGTTCAAGATCGAGGTATCTTCCTATTTTACATAATAAACCTTGAAACAAAAAAAAACTTCGAAATGATCGAATCAGCGAAATTTCCTCAGTTTATTTTCAGATGATTCTATTCATGAATCACATCTAAATCGTTCCTTGGGAAACTTACAAATGTGAGCATGAGAACAGCCGCCGTCAGGTAGCTCACTTTGCCCATCATATTCGAGACGAAGTGATAATGTTCGTGGGTTTGCAGGTCGTGTAGATAGCCCATACTCGTGCTCCCCGCTGAAAATTTCATCTTCGTTCAAATGATATCTACAGTCCAATGTAAAAGAAATATTCAAACTATATTCCAATCGCTAATCGTGGAGTTCGATAGTTGATATGATCATTCTATTCTTTCTCAAGTTCTCAGAAAAGCACATAGTTTTTCAAAGAAAACATCATATCAAACAGTTCCTTACAGAAAAATTACGTTCTTTCGATTTTCGAAAAAAAAATTCTGAAATGAGCTCCAAAATTAGTTTGGAAGTGAATAATAATAAGTAAAAAGGTATGAATATATATCCTAGAGTGAAATTCCTAGATTTGGAACACTTCACAGCTTCAGATGCGATTGATCTCAAAATTTTTCACAAAGGTATCGAATAAAGTTTTCTCTCAGTAAAGTGCAGTTGATGAAGCTTAGAACGTGTAAAAGATCGCGAAAAAATATTTTAAATGTCTTTCGATTATAGTCTGTTCATATTGGAATGTCAAGCCGTCGCTCAAGCTCCGCCCCTAACGGCGCGATGAACCAGCAAGAACTCCAGAGAGGAACTTTTAATGACGTCATCGAACTTGACATTCAAAATTCGACCAAACTAAGAGAATAGAGTCACTCAAAATATGAGAAAATCAGAAATGGAATTGAAACGAACGATTGACAGAGGCATTCAAGGCGAGCGCCCTCAAGCTGTTGACGATGGCGTCTTCGTATCCGATGAAGCTGCGCATCAGCCTCCTCGTCAACGCGTCTCCGAAGCATTTGTCGTTGGCATCGATCTGAAGTTCGCGTCGATTCAGAACTTCCGCGAAATGCACGAAACCCGTAGAAGATACGTTTTGATGCCGTGCTCTTCGCGAAACTTTGGCGGCAGTCGCAGGACTCCGTAGAGGACGGCGTACTCGACGCGGTAGACAAATTCGAAACTGTCTTCGGTCTCCACTGAAAGATGAAATTAATGCACAATAATTGGCAGATTAGAACAAAAATTCAAAACCACGAAAATTAAGATGAAAAAAGGGAGAAATAAGCAAACATTTTCTTGAAATCAAAGTTTCCCATCATGTTGTTCGAAAAAAGATTCATTCCATCTATTTTGAAGGGCTTCAAGGCAATTCCTGTTGTCTCATTAACCGCAAAGCAACTCTAAAGGAGTACAGCTTTTTTTGAAAAATAAGATTTTCCCAAGAAAAATCATCCTTTTATTATGTTTTTGATTAAGTTTTTTTAATAGTTTTGCTCTCCAAATGTTTTCCTAATCTGTTCATAACACTTAAAATCGAAAGAACTTATTTTCATAGCTTTCAATTAATTTTTTAATAATCAAAACGAAAAGCGAAACAGAATCCTCGTCGACTTTTTCTTTTGATAGCCATATTTTTTTCAAATTTGTTTTCTAGTGAAAATTTTTAGTTTGAACTCGTAACTCACAAAACTTCTGTTGAACGTGTTCGCGGAACGCAAGGTTGGCCTCGACTTCGATGGGATCCGAAGCGACGGAGACGTCGACTTCTTCGGCCTCCGCCGCCTCGTCGTCCGTCTGAGACAGGAACGAGGGCGAACGGAGGAAGAAACTCAAGACGCCCGTCTGAGTTGGTAGCGAGGATTTCTCAAATAGCTTATTGGTAATTTCAGAATCAAGGTCGAATTTTCGCCAACCTTGGGATGTTTGGCATGAATGGGGAACAGAGATTTGCCGTGGGCGCCTCTCGCTCGGATTTCTGCCGGAATTACCCGAGGTCCGTACAGAAACACGTCGCGTAGGGAGAAGAAACAAGACCGTTTCGATTTCTCCGATACTGAATAGAAACCTTCTTTAAACTTTGAAAAAAAGAATCAAAAAAGTTTCTTAGCCTCGGAAAAAAAGTTCACTCACTGTATTGCTTGACAAACTCGTCTCGAAAATTTAACAGCTTCAAGTTACGAACAATTTCGACCCGAATAACACCTGCAAATGAACTCTGCAACTTCCTTTTTTCTTAACCAACCATCTTTAAAAGCTGCGACCGGCACTTCAGTTAAACAAGTTGGCGTTGATCGCGCAAAAGTTAAATGTACAAATAATAATGAAGTCAATAATAAAAGGGCCTAAAGATTGTTCACATACTCGACAAAAATTGTAACGTGCGGAACTCACAATATTTAAAACAGAAAATTCAATAACGCGTCGCGCTGTTATACTCATGTGTTCGTTATATTGTAACGCTATTCGTATAACCATCGCATGAAATAAACGGTCGCGGACGTTGCCAAATTGATTGTTCGCGTTGGCACCCTGGAAAGTGAAAAATTTATGAATAAATTCTAAAGGTCTGATACTTGCCTGTGCCCGTGCTTGTTGTATATTTTGACCCTCATTGTTGGGAGCTGGATTCGGAGGGTTCAAATTGTTCGGAACGTTGACATCGATATTGATCTCCATTCCTTCGATGGCCACGTCCTCATTTTGCTCGGCCATGCTTATTCCATTTCTTGGCACGTTTTTCTGAAATTTTTTTCTAGAATAAATGAGAAATCGGCGAGGTATTCGATAATAAATTAAAATGATGTTCCACTGAAATCCATACTTGCGCGTGGTTCTGCGCATTTTTCTGAAACTACTTTCACGTCGGTTTGCACAGAAATTTCCCGCGCGAACTTAAATTCCGATTTTTTTCATATTTTTATAGAAAAAAAATGAGGAAATATGTAATTCGAAGGATTCATTTAGCAGGAAAAAAGTGATGAGAATTATTTTTATGATAGTTTATTTTTTTCTCGCTAAAATTTTTTTCTCCTTTATATGACTCAGCGATTCTTTCAACTAATCCCTTTTGCTCTCCCTCTTTTTGTTGATTTCGGACTTTCAACAATCCCGGAAGTTCAAAGTGCAGAATTTTTACTTCCGGCGGTAGTTTTTCGAAGTCAGATCTAAAATTGTCAGAATATTTCTAACAGTAATTTTAGAATCTTACATCAGTATCGAAACAATTTATTTACTTAACTTGCTTTAATTGAATCCCCGTAACTATGAATTTGCGTTTGAGAAAGTTTTTTTCAGTGAATCTCAAGTTTTTTCCAACTTTCAGTAAGAATAGCCTCGTGACTTGGTTTAAACCAGAATAATTGCGCCTGTAAAAGTGGCCATGCGTGATTGAAAGTTCAATTTGTTGTGAAAACGTTTACGAAACTGTTTTTCTTTCTTGGAAAAACGTTTAAATATTTAGAAATGTGCTCCAACGAGTCCCAATTCTGATGAGTCGGCCAGGGTAAGTCCTGCGACGTAAAAAGCCAATTAGAGAATGAGAGACTCGCTTGGCTAGAGCGCACTTGCGGAACCCGACTAGTTCTTCGCTGAAAAAATGCCAGATAAATAGTTCAAATATTCAGTTTAGATTGGCGTAGGCTTATTCTTATAGAATCAACTTTGATCGATTTATGAATAAATTTTATTTTCTCTCGATAAAGCCAGATATGGGAATAATATAAGAAGGAATGACAAAAAAAAAAGTGATTGGGAAACCGTTAAAAATACGGGACGAAAAAGAAAATAAAGCGTTCGTGAGGTTTGTATGTGGCAAACCGATGAGTAGATGAAAATATGTGAATAATAAGTGAATTTCAAAAATACAAAAAAAAAACTAGGGGGATATGAGTGACTAGTTTTTCTCTTCGATGAATTTGAGCTCTTCGCCGTTGACCGTCGGCCTGGCCGGAGACTCGAACTTTCCGTCCATGTTCAGTCCTTTGCGCAGTCTCTGCAAATTTCCGATGTTAGTCCATTCATGACCAGTGTTTTCCTATTCGGGGCAACTGTCTGATTTCTCTCCTTTCCCTCGGTGAAGCTCCTCAAAAGCAATCCTTTCTTCGGGTTTCCGCGCTTTTTCTTTTTTCCATGAGCCGGAGGACGAAAAGAGGGCGCAGACAAAAATGTTACAAAAACTCATCGTTCCAAGACCTCATTTTCCAGATTTATCACCGGTCCATTACCAACTTTAAAGGTTTTTCCAATTTCACACTTTATCAAAACACCACGCAAAAAATCCAGAGGCTTCATTTTTTCAACATTTTGGCTAAATGAATTTATTTCTGCTCTGATTTAAAATGTCTGAAATAAACAGTTAGACACTGGAAAGTGTGGGAGAAAAATCTCACCTCTCTGAAAGAAAGATGTTTGTTGGTGAAGAACATGTAGTAGAGAGCGTAGCCCGGGATGACGATCATCGAACACGAAGAAAGCAGAAACCCGACAAAATTCGCCCATGGCGGATAATTCTCGCCGGTAGGGTACTGGATCGGATGGTAGTACATCACGCAGAACACGAACAATATCTTCAAAAAATTCGATAAATGGAAGTATTCCTTTCAGTTATGAAAACCTTTTTGCTAGAAGGACCTCTTGAAAAAGAAAAAAAAAAACATTCTGAATTGAGTTTTGCGTCTCTAACTTTTCCACAGACGTCCGTCACAATTTCTGAGACCAGAGTTTTTCAGACAAAAAATTGGACTGATTCTCCTCCAAAAAAATTCAAAACCATTTTCGTCTTTTCAACAGTTTTAAAATAATTTCCAGAGTTCTCCTATAGAATATAGTCAATTTCTCCCGACTTGAACGCTTCTCGCAGGATTTCAAACTCTCTTCTCGCTTACTTTTATCTTTTTTCTCCAAAACCATAAATGGGCAATCCAAATTTCAGGACACCTCTCCGTTCTAGGAAATATCTTAATGTCAACCTCTCTCTCTCTGACCGGACTTCGGTCATGTATTCTTTTATAAAGCGGCATACTGACTGTACTACTTCTTCTCAAACTTACCAAACTCGTCGCTGGCGAAACGTATTTCCAGAGGAAGACCCAGACGTTCCAAACCCGGACGCCGACCATTTCGGCCAATGCGGCGCGAATCCTTTCAGCTCCTAGAAATGTTCAAGAACTATCATTAGAAATTGATAATGCCCTACCAAATCCATAAGCCAATCCGATGACTTCAAAGAAGACGACGAAAAGGAGAGCATAGCCAGAAGCTCCGTAGGCGTCGACCAACGTCAGCCAGTGAGCACCAGCCTTCAATTCCATTATTCTTCTTGGAGCTGTGGTTTTCTAAAACTCACATAGGACACCATTGGGATTCCCAAGCAGAAGAAGAACAGACAGGTCAAGCCTAATGCCAGCTTCTTGTGCCGTCGAAGGATCGGGAAAGCGTCTTCGAGGGCGGTGAAAAGACCCTCCATCATGCAGACCTGGAAATTGCTTATATAAAAGAAATTTTTTCATTTCGATGGATACTTGACTGTCCAATCCCAGAATGGTGATCATGAGGAAGAAAAGGAAAGCAAAAAGTTGTTTCATCGGGAGATTTGACGCGACTTCAGGATACACAAGGAAGGCCAGTCCAACACCTGAGAATTCAGAAGAGTTCTCAGTTTTGTTCTTTAGTTCTCACCTGGTTTGACGATTTCGGCAATGTCCTTCTGCGCAATGACAGACATGTAGCCGAGGATCGAGAAAACGGCGAAACCGGCCAGAATCGACGTCGAACCGTTGATGAAGCACATCATAATCGCATCTCTACAGAACATCAAAGTTGAAGTTGAGGAAAAGCAGAAAATTGGAAGTTTCTCATAATTCTTATTTTTAGCCTTAGTTCATTCACCTGAAACAGTTGTGGTTGAACTTGTTGTGTGAGCCAAGAGCGATGAGTGCTCCAAAACCGACGCCGTACGAGTAGAAGACCTCAAAAGACGCATATTTTGTAAAATCCTAGAGAAAACTTATTTCAAATATTATCGAATGCCAGGTTAATAACTTTTCATTATTATTTTTGATTTTATCACTCTATCATTTTCCATCCAGTAGGTATGCACTTCTTTGGCCGCACTTGGAATGGCTACAAGTATCTGGATCCGGGTTGTAGTCGAAGTATTGTCTACAGCCTATTCTAGCCGGTTCACGGCTAGCTTGGGACGAAGAGAGACGTGGTCTGTCTGCGCTCTCCACCAACCAGGCACTGTCTCTTATCTTATCGTGTCAGGACCCATTTTTCGTTGACTCAAGGTAGCCGTAAATCAGCTATACTTCCAGTGAGTCAGGCAACAGCTTCGAGCCATTCCCATTGCGACCACGGACTTCCAAAGTAGGAAAGATCTTACCTGAGTTCCAGCATCCTTCCAGACGGCCGTGTCGGCGATTCTCGTCAGATTCGGCTTCAGGTAGAAATAGATTCCAGTCGAGGCGCCTTCCAAGGTCAGACCGCGGATCAACAGGATCACGATGAGCACGTACGGGAACAAAGCGCAAAAGTAGACAAACTGAAGGTAAGCCATGAATTCGCTGCTTTTTTGGGCCGAACCTTCCGCGCTTGAGTGATTCCCTTCCAGAGAGCGAAATAGATGACGAGCCAGGCTCCGGCCATGATGAAGAACAGTTCCCATTGAATTCCGCCAAAGTCGCTAATCGAGTCGGTCTGGTGCAAGACGCGTCGTCTGGAATGGAAAGTTCTCAAGCTAGAGTATTGAGAAAATGACTATTTTTTCTGAAACCTGCCAAAAGCGCCTATTTGATTCATTTATGTAGTCCTAACCTGCAGAACTGGCAGAGAGTTTTCAAAAATTGCTTTTTGATTCCTAACTGAAGTCTACTGAATTTTTTTCAAAAACGCTCACAAAACCAACTCCCAGAACTGCTCAACAGAAGTCTGAGTCTTGGAGCCGACGGCAGCGGCGAGGGCTTTGATCCGCGCCAATTCCGTCACGTTCTCCTTGCCCGTCAAACAGCTTGGATCGTTCCTGATCAATGAGAAGATTCTCAAGAGTCAAAAAAGGTATATAGATGGATTATTTTGTTTTTATAATGTGTAAAAAAGTTCCTTACACCGGTTGATGACGAATACAATAAAATCGCCCTTATTAGAATCGTGAGAAAACCAGTAAAAAAAAGCGGTTTGCGATTTCTTGACTTCAATAGGTCCTATTATTTCGACCGCGAACCAGGAAGATCTCAAAGCCCGAAAATAGCTTTTTCTAACGGATTTCGAGATTTTTCATTGAATTTGAAGCGCCCTTCCCCTGGTAGTGTTCCGGCCAATTTTCACAAGGACTTCCCAATCACAAAATAAAATGATATTCCTTGTAAGGAAGGATTTCCAACATGTTCCTATCGCATAAGGTTCAGAAAAGCTTAATGAAGAAGTTGGACAACTTTGCGAGGGTTCAAAATCATCTAGAAGGAGATGATAAAAGTAGTCCTTCTGTAATTCTTCTGACTATTTTGACAAACCAATAGTTGGTGCAAGTTTCCCATGGGAAGACGCTGTTGAACGAGGCGATCATGTAGAAGACGGCCCAGCTGACGATCACACAGAAGTAGGCGATGCACATGAACGCGATCACCACGTTTCCGATACCAACTCCTGTAAGAGCCTTTTTCATTTTCCCCAAACTAGCTTAATCCAGGAAACTGAAGATGGCCTGGGCTGCCAATACTTCGATGATTAAAGATAAAGTTTTTACAGAATTTGAAAAAGTAACGTAACGTTCGTAGAGGCATAGAAATTGCCACGTGCTTCTTCGTACCAAACCAGCCAAGAATTGGCCCCACAATGCTCGAAGCAACATTTTAAGGAACTTATTGAGTGTACTCTTACGGGTTTTATAATTCTTCTGCCTGAGCTTTTTCAAAATTACAGAGCCTTTTTGCAATCGACAAAACTCCTTTAAAATATGAGCTTTTTCTTAAAAAAATTTTTTTGAAGTTTTTTGAATTTTTCTAAACCATTCTATCACCAAAGTTGGCTTAGAGCTTTTAACTTTGTCTCTGAAAATATTCTCATTCAAAAACCTTTAAAAAGCGGACACATCCGCCACATTTCCATAGCTCCTCGTTGGAGGTACTGGCCGATTGTCACTTCCATCAGGAAAATCGGAATCGCAGCACAGAAGAAAAACACTGAATATACGACGAGAAAAGATCCGCCGCCATTTCTAAAAATTACAGTACTAATTTAAATTTTTATTTTTTTTTCGTAATATAGGTTTCTTGAGAACAATTCCGACCCCTCAAGTGCACATAGCGCCTCTAAGTGCTCACTTGAAGGGACAGGATCGTTCCAAAAGTGCGTGAGAAATTTCCATCAAAAACTTGCCTTTCCAATTATTTCCGCTTATTCGCTTCTCAGAATTTTTTTTGAAATTGACTATTTTTGACCCTAGTATCTTCAAACTTGAACAGGGAACTTGTTTTCGTCGAATTCACGGACAAAACTTTTTTCCAATTAAAAAAGCGAGTTAATCAACTGAAACTAGACCTGTAGCAGAGGTAGGGGAACCGCCACACGTTTCCTGAAAACCTCGCTTTTTTCCTCCTTTTCTCCCTCAAACCAAACCTAAACCGACGGCGTACGCAATCATACTCATCAAAAAGTCGAACTTTCCCGACCATTGTCCTCTGTAAGGAAAAAAGAAAGGTACTCGATTTTCAGTAGATTCGGCTAATTGGATTGCCAAAATTCAATTAGGATTATTTTCTGGCCGACAAAAACCGGATCAGCCACGTGTGGGGGACACTGAATTTAACGTTCTGATTGACCTGTATTCGTGTTTGAAGTTAACTTCATCGTATTTCAGTTATGATAGGGCAAAGATTACAATCAAGAAAAGTGAAAAATAAGATGAAAATCATTGAAGTAAAACAAAAACTTCAGCTAGGAGCTAAAATCTTTGCAGGAGCACACAGGTAAAGGTTTAGGTAGATTTTGTCAACTTAGGTGAACTACAGGTTAAAGGAAAACTTCGTAAACTAAAGCCGTGTACAGTGTAGTTATAGTCTCTAGAGGAAACCCTTGATCTTTTCCAATAGATTGATAATAATCTTCCTTTTTTTGAGTCTCAACCTAATGAGATAAATTTTACAAATAATCTGACTGACCAGAACCTGCAATGAAAAACGCTCTCTTGTTCTAACCCACGCAACGAGATGAGAGGTACAGACAAGCCAAATGGTCTTATTTCAAAGTGAAAACGGTCTCTTATACTTAGTGAATTCTAACATACCCAAGTTCGAAATTTTGCAGCTTTCTACAGAAAAATCTCAAAGAACAAACCTATCCGGCTCGACTTCAGCCTCCTCGACTTGCTTCGCCTTCTCCTCATCTGTAGCCAGGGGAACGTGGTTACTACCCATGTCTATAACAAATAAGAATAAATGAATATTTCTCTTAACAAAAATAGAAGAAAGAAGTGAAACTTCATACATTTTGACCAGAAGAACAAAGAAAAAGGAAAAAAGTATAGGGGACATCTCCCCGTTGAATCAACATTTCATTAACGACCTGCTGGCTAATTAAAAACCCGTTTTTTTTCCGCAAGAGTTAGAGTTAGCTAAAGGTGTTCCAATTGCACTAGTGGCTTGGAAATGAGAAAAAAAAGTAAAAAAAAAAAACAAATTTTTTGACAAATGAAAAACAAAATGATAAGAGATAAACCGAGGGGGCTCGAGAAATATTACTTTTTCCCATTGATTTTGATGAGAATTACACAGTTTTTTCCAGTTTGCTTATTTTTGAACATATTCCTGAGGTGAATATAGATTGGAAAGGTTCTGTTGTAAGAATATTTTTAATACCCTTGAATTTCCCTTCTTTTTCTCTTGCGCTGAGAATCTAAATGAAAAACGTCCCAGAACCAACGCCAAACTCAAAAAATGTACAGTTTTGTGAGATAAACTAAAAATGGCTTTTTCTCTCGAATAAATTCTTCTCACAAAACACTTGTTTCAAGTCCACTCCTACTGAAAATCCAAATCTCATCTTTGAAAAAAGAAAAAGAAGAATACAAATGGAAAAACACGAGTCTCCTTACCAGCTCGTGCAAATAAACAAGAAAATACTTGTTTTTTTTTTTAAGTGGCGGCTCAATGTCTTCAGGGCCAAAAACAACCCGGTCGTTCTTTTCAGATCTTGAATTCTTCGAAAAAAAAATCCATTCTTTCGAGAATTGCAACGAGTTTTCATTCACTCTTAATCGAAATTTAAGCAGTTTTAAAACTTGAAAATTTTTTTCCAGAAATTTTTGGGGTGAAAGAGCTCTAAAATTATTCACTATAATATAATAAAAAAATTTTATGAAAGCAGAATTTCATGGTTTTAAAAACATAATTGTAAGATATAAATTCAAAGGTGGCGACTTATTCCGCCTGACAAGTGCGCTCCAATGTAAACATCCACAAAAGTCGATTATTAATGATTAAAAAAAAAAAGTTTTCGGAGTTTGAAGCTGCGTCGGAGCCAATCAGGAACCCAATTCCGAAAATATGTGAATAGGAATGTTTCTCTATAACAATTTATGCTGGAGTCACATAAAAGATTGGTTATTCGACGGAAACCCGTATAATGGCCACTGACTTTTAACCTCCCTCAAAGCACTGAAAAAGCGCAAGCGAATGGTCAAAGGCGGCCTGAAGAGAGGTCAGAGAAATGAAGATTCTCCATTATCTCTATCCTCTCTTCGAAGCCTGTTTGTTCGGATGCGTTCAAAATTTCCTAGAGTGAGTCGTCAAACCGCTTCGCAGCCGCTACGCGTTGAGTCATTCCTAGTGCGACCAAAGATAAATGAAGCATATCATTAAGCATACGATAACGTCTATCTACGAGAAGTTCTAAAAGAGTTATCTCGAAAATCTCAAATTCCTAGACTTGTCAATAGATTTATTTTACTACCTAACTCTGTGTATCAAATTACCAGAACTCACTACAAAATAAAAAGTGGATCGAATCGAAAAATTGAAAAACTTTGATTGTTCGGAGCCCGAGAGAAGTTTTTCCTGCCTTGGAGGCCCGGTTCTGTGTCGTGCATAATATCGAGGTTGTTGTACATGTGCAAACAGGGCGAAAGTATCGCCTTTTTTTCGGGAGAACACAAAGTTTTTGGCAAATATTCCATAAATGGACCGTTTTTCTCTTTTACTTGTCTGGCTGGCACTTTGCCCAGACTTGTCAAATAAGAGCAAAACTTGAAAAAACTCAGAATATTATTTTCTCAATGAGGGTCTTGCTCGGGTGACCGAAAACCATACCATAATACAGACATCTCTTTTTTGAGAAAAAGGTCAGAAATTCTAGCCTTTTTTTCGGAAGTTTTTGAAACAAGTTCAACTAGATCAATGTACATACATTGAACCAAACTCCATTCACACAAACTTGAAACTTTAGAAATTCTGGTCGCTCGTGGGATAACTGGGAGCGTCGTTGTCGCGTTGCGGTTATGATCAGATTAACAAATCGTTCTGATACTTTTCGATGGCCTCGCGCGTAAGTTGTTTACGGTCCGGCGCACTTTTGAAAAACCTCATCGAGCGATCAGGGCATAGGAATTTTGGAATAATAACCTTGTAACCGAGAGTAATTCTCAATTCGCCACAATCTCATTTCTGTGCACCCTCTCTTGTTTACGTGCTAGCTCATGTTTAAATGACCTCGCCGGTGAGAGAAAATAGAGCACAGACAAGTCAGACAACATTAAATCATGGAGGAAAAAGATATCATACTTTAAACAGTGAAAATTCCAAACGAAAAATTCAACACGGCTAATTCCCAGATGGAAATCGTGGAAAATTACGCCTCGGGTCGACGCGCCGTTTGATTGGCCGCCGACCGTACAAAATTGAGTTAATAACCTAGCGGAGTCGGCCGTGTTTCCAGGCCGATTTCAACAAAAAGGCCCCATTTCCCGCTGCCTTGGGAAATAAAAAACATAACCAATTTCACGGTTGCCCGCACAAATAAGCGTATAATTTTAGTGTGTTCCATGAAAAACAGTTGCTGGAAAATGGACCTGTTCCGAGGCTCATGCGGGTTGAAATTTTGGAAAATGAACTCGTAAAGTGGTAGAGGGTAACGGAGATTCTCGAAAAAAAAATTCAGTAAAAGTAGAGCTCGTTTATATTTGATTTTCAGAGCACTCTAAGACAAAGGAAGAACCAAAAGTTGTAGAGAGTATCGGAATTTAAAAAAATATATTAGTGAAAAGTATAGTTCATTCATATAAGCCTGAGACCTTGTAAACATAAGGAGTTAAGAAAAGTTATATTTAGAGTGGAACTCTGGTGAACAGTGTATCTTCGAAATGATGGTGAATGACCTGACTTTTTTAATTTAAACACGATTCTCCCACTATTTTTTACAGAAATTTTTTCAAGTCACATTCAATGCACAAAAATTGAAAATCTTAATAAAAAATCGAGCCAAAAAACGGGTTTTGCAAGTTCAAAAAGGAAAAAAATCGGTTAAACCGCAGTCGGGTTTCATAACCAACACGTAATCCGCTACGTTCAAAACGGCTCAAAAAGTATCCTTTTTTCGTAAATACATATTATCGGGTTAAGACCTCGCACTTTTACAACTCCAATCTCAAAGTATCAAAAAGAGCTCGAAATCAATCTTTTTTTTTTGACTTTTCTAGAGCCAGCTTCATCTTGCCGTTTGAAGTAAAAATTCAGATGTTCTTGAATTGATTGAATAGGAATAAGACTTATTTTTTGATGGCATGTTGGTTTGAAAGTACACGGATGATCAAACTGACTTTTTTGGGTTCTAAATTGAAGAAAAATAACAGATTTTTGATGACTTCTAGAAGATGGTCAAAATGTTCGAAGTGTCCTGTCCTTTTTAAACGTATCTTCTTGAGGGGTTCACAAGGTAAATTTCTAGGCTGATAAAAGTTAAGACCAAGAATTCAGTGATGGAAGGTGAAAAGGTGCGAGAAAAGGCTATCAAAACGGAACGAGACCAAAAAAAGGGGGCCATTAACAGCGAAGTGTAAAGTCGCACTCATCAGTAGAGACGTTCTGAATCTTTTTTTTCTTTATCTCGAGAAGAGTTGAATAAAGTCAATCGGCTGACAAACTCGCGGAAACAAAAAAAAGAACCAGTCAATCGCGGAAAAAAGGGGCGTCGCCGAGAGGCAAAAATGGTTGTGGCGGCGGCGATTTGCCTCGAAAATTCGCAACATTTTCCTCTTTTCCCGGGAGGTACAGACACATACAATTCAGAATGATCTTCGAAATTTGACTAGTTTTTAGTCGCACATCAAACATTGGGTTCAAATATTTTGTTGTTGAAGGTCTAAAAGACGGGGCAAAGTCCAAAAAAAAAACCTAGAAATCTCCAAAAGACCTTCACAGAGCCTACTCAAGAAAAATAGGAGAGGTGATAAGAAAATAAAAAAAAAAGAGAAAAGAGTGAATAAGAAGCAAAATATACCTGTGAATAAATTATTTCGAAAAAAAATAAAGATGATGAAAAAAGAAAAAATGCTCAGAAGGAGCTTTTTGAAGTTAGGACTAGACAAATTTTAAGACTGCAAAACTTATAATCAGGAAAAGCTTTGTAATTTCAAATTTTCGACCGCTAAAAACGTGAAATCATTTTTAGGCCCGAAGAATATTTTTTTAACATGAGAAGTCATTTATAAGCTTTTAAAAAGAAATAGATTGGTTCTTTTTAAAACTAATCAACTTCAATAGAAAGCAAACCTAATATTGAGCAAATTTGATTAGAAAAAAATTGATCGCAGTTTTAAAGAGTTAAGAGGCATCAATAAACTGTAAATACTCATTTATACAACACAAGATCTTAAAAAACACTGTCCGCACTACCAAAACGTTCTTCAATACAGAACTTGCTAGAACTGTTATCAGTTGAAGTTTGTGAGTAAAACAGGGGAAAATAGAACAGGTCCTTGTTGCAAAAGCATTAGGCCGACCGTAAAACCTCTCGCCACTTTGCCTCTTCTCCTCGGAAAAAGAAAAAAATTATTCAAGGTGAAGTGGTGTCTGGCAATAAATAATGATGACGGTGGAATCGGCCACACGGGGCGCCAACGAATCGGAAAAAATCGCCGCCCAAATCAGCCGCGATCAAAACAACTTATTTCTAATGGATTCTCAGCTCCATATATAATAGAACTTCATTGACTGAGAGATTGGGCTCAAAATTGACGGAATTGTGAAACTATAGGATCTTTTCTGATGATTCAGGTCTGGCTGAGATCTCACAGCAGCGGTTCAAAGAATTTTCTTAAAAAAACGACCATTAGTTCAGAAGATTCCTAGCTTACTATAGCTGATGGTTCTCGAGTTTCCACTCGCTGCGGTAACCGTGCCGAACCAGGATTTTTTTTGATAAATTGACTGGTTTTTTGAATATTGCGCAAAGAAAAGTAGAATAAGGATAAAAATTACTTAAAAGAAAGAAATCCGTGTCAGAAAAACCTGTTAAATTAACATTGTTTGCGAAAAATTCACGATTTCAACTTTTCGGAAATTTGTTTTTAGAAGTCAATATTATAAGACAGAGAGCTCCATAAGAGCTCTCCGTTCATTTCCAACCTCCCTAAAAGCTTTTCGCACAAAAAATAACTCAATCAATAGAGGAAGAAGAGCACTACTCTTTATTTCTCCCCTTTCTTGGAAATCTAGATGGAAAGATCACTAAAACGGCAGTATCCTACATACAATTTGAACTTTTCCAACTCGAGTAGACAACTATTCCAGCCGCTATGACAGTTCAAACTTATATCACTTTTACTTTCAGGCTATTAAAATGAGAAACTAAACGCGCAGGCTCAGTTATCTGGGTCAATTTTTCGGTTCACAGGTCAGCCTTATTTTTCGAAAACTCTCAATTTTCACTAAGGCATTGCAAGAGACATTTAGAGTAGTCGGTCCTCTTTAAGTAATCACTTGAGTCTCCAAGCCAGCGGCAGAACGCCTCTCTAGTGACCACGTAAAGAGGACAAACCTTCTCCTTTTGAGCTTTGAGAATAATAATCACATTCTCGTACCGGTAAAATTCAGTTAAAGCGGCGACTATCAATCTGCATCCGACCAAAAAAAACTTGCGCAGGAAGTCAACGCAAAGGCAAAAGCAAGCCTAAGGGCAACCTAACTCCCCCCCCCCTATCATTTTCGCAAGTTCTTTCTTTCAAATTTCAAAAAAAAAAAGCCGAGTAGAGTTTCGAAACGCCCTTTTCCTTTCAATTAATGAATTCCTCAAAACACTCAGCCACTTCAAAGAAAGTGCGAAGCGCCAAAGTTCAAGTGGATGCCTTACTTGATGATTTTCCCACCTGATGATGTGAACTTTATGAGAAAGTAGTCACACTGACAGGTTGAAAAAAAAAACTTTTAATATTTCTCCTTGAGCTCACTTCTAAAAAATTTTCAATAGATCAGGAGGATTTTTTTCTTCTGCTGAATATTAAAAAAAGGATATTTTTTTGATAATTTCCACAAGAGAAAAAAATTATTCTTGTCTCAACGCCTTTGATCATCCCAGAAAATTTGCTAGAACGGAAAAATATATCCTACAAAGAGTATCCGTCAAGTTTTGGTTCGAAATTGGTAAAAAATTCATGATAAAAATCGGGATAAAAGTCAGAACCAGCTTTCAAGCCTTTCCACTCGAATAATCGTTAAAATTTTTTTTTCAGAATTTTTCCTCGAGTTTCATCTTTTTTCAAATACGTTCTCTTCAGAGGGATAATCTGAAAAGATTCAAAAATTTTTTTCTAAAAAAACATTTCTGAAAAAATACTCTTTCTTTAAAATTCTTCCCTTTTATGAGTGTGTGAGAAGCTGCGGAAGGCACTGATAACTCCAGAAACAGCAAAGTTTATTGATTACGTGTTCTTATCAAAAAAACTCTTCTTACACTACGTCGAAAAATCGCAATGTTTTCCTGAAGCCAAAATTTTCTGAATTCACTTCTCTCAAGCCTATAAATATATCAAGAAATGGCATATTTACCGCTGGGAACCGACAGAATCGGCCGCGGCTCATTCGCCAACGTTTATGCGGCTCAGGATACCAGGGTTTGTGTTCAGACTTACTTTTTGAACAGCAGGGAGACCTTTGGTTTAGATGTTGAATGACAAAATAATGAGGAAAAAAATCGGCAAAATATTTTTTTTTTCAATGTATGGAATCTAGGACATTATGTTTTCCTTTGAAAATCAAACATAGTGCTTCGTGGAAACAGCCGATACTTAGTGATACTACTTTCGAATATCTAAATGAGCTGTTTTCGGTTTTTTGGATTTCGATTTGAGCTGATTGAAAGTGAAACATATCCCAGAAGTCTCGAAGATTTGTAGTGACCCAAAGAGACGCCAGAGAAACAGGTGCTGCGACTTCTCTGGCGTCTCTTCAGACCGCCGATGTTCTCTAAGCGCCTTTTCATCATCGAAAAACTAGTTTGGATTGATTCCAGATGGAGAGACTGAGAGTTGATTCTAAGCTCTAATGAAGTAACCTCATTATTTTGAACTCTTTGTTGTTTTTTAATTATACCATATTTCAGCTGAGAATTTTTTTTGAGAATGAATAAAAAATTCAAATTTTTTCCTCAGCAGTTGGAAAGTACCATGAAAAATGAAAAGAAGGAAAAAATTGCCTTCAGACAGGCGAGAAGGTGGCGCTGAAGCAGCTGCTGGGGGCGTTCGACAGCGCCGAAGACCGACGTCACGCTCTTCGGGAGATCCACATCCTTCGGAGAGTCGAACACAAAAACCTCGTCGAGCTCCGCGACGCCTTCACCTTCGTTCATTCGAAAGTTGGTCTAATATTTTCCTCATGGACAAGAAAACTGAAGAAGTCGGAAAACGATAATCTCTCTTTTTTAAAACTTCTCAGTAGACTTTTTAATTCTGAAAACCAGAAAATCCAAGTCTCAGCCTGTTCATAAAGCAAATAGTTTCCTGGCCTTTTTCAAGAGATAAAGCTCAAAGTAAAATGACCATCTTTGTCGATGAGAAGTTTGTGGAAGAAAAAATTTGAAAGTACAAAAAAAGTTTCCTTACGTTTATTTAGAATTTCAGTTAGGCTGCTCCATTCGAACGTGCAACAAAAATTAAAATACCGATTCAATTATTTTTTTCAGGGAAGCTGGCAAAGATCAGTTCTATACCTCGTGATGCCCTATATTGGCCAAACTCTCGACCAAGCTATGCAGTCGAGTGAGTTAATCAATTGATTCGAAACAGCTTCCGGGTTTTTGAAACCCGCATTTTTTTTAACTCTGAAGTCTTAAAATGTCAATGAAGCTGTCTCATGGGCTCACGAGAAATGAAATTTTGTTTTTTCATAGTTAATATACCGAAAAGGTTTCCATAGAACTTTAATAACTGTATTACGATCTTCAACCTGTAAAACTTTTTATTTTTCAAAAAAGGACGTCTCAAAGTCAAATAAAATCTTGTAAAGTTGTTTTGAAGAGCTATTTGGGCTATCGGGCACCTTCAAAATCTTCATACGATACTTCAAAAATTTTCTGGCCAATTTTTTTTTCATAAATCAGAGTCTTAAAGTAAAACGACGTCTTCATTTATCCTGATAAACTTCTCCTAATCTGCTTAGATACCTAGACGATCTCTTGTCACCCATTTTGAATGAACCTTCTCAAAAAATAAATAAATTAATAAACCTTCAGACGAGGAAATAACGTCCTATCAACAGCGCCGATTCCTCATTTTTCAAATATTGTGCGGTGTGGAGGTTGTTTTAAAGCATCCTTCGAACCTTATATTCTCAATTTCAGTACCTCCATTCCAAGTCTATCATTCATCGTGATCTGAAGCCCGACAATGTTCTAATCAAGGAAAATACCCAAAACGGACGACTCACAGTCAAAATTGCTGATTTCAACTTGTCTCGGTACAACTACAACGACAATTCTAGTCATACAGTGAGCCAGAGTCAAGATTATTTTAAAGATTGCAAAGAGCCTAATTTCGCAAAAAGTCAAAGATTCTCGGAAGTCGGTAACGCGAACCGAACGTTTCTGAGCAATTCTAGGGATCACTTAAGAGCGCTGACGCTACTAAAGTGGTCACTAGAAATGCCCCGACACGCCAGATTCGCGTCTGTTTCGCTTTATCAATGTCCGAGTGAATTTGAAAAAGTTTGTTGTAATAATCAGAGAATAGAGCCTAACGGGTATCGAGCGCCAGAAATACTCTTCGGATTGGACTACGACGAAAAGTTGGTGTTTTTAAAGCTTAGCATCAATTATATCTTAGAGTTGACATTTGGCCAATTGGATGTATGATGGCGAGCATTTTGACCAAGTTCCTGGAAAATCAAATAGCTGTGCCACAAAAATTCTGGTGCTCAAGAGGTGACGTCGAGCTGGCGCGACGTCTTGTTATGTGGTTCGGCAAACCCGGCCCTTTGGTTTGTGATGAACTTTTAGCTTCGTGGAAAAATACTTCAAATACCGAAGTTCTGCCATTTTTTGCTCATTATTCAGGGACCTAAAATTTGAAGAAGTTTTTTGTGAGAAGATAAAAGGAAACCGAGTGAGTTAATAAAAACTTATTTTTTGTAGTGCTAAACTTTTAGTCATAGCTACTTTCAATTATGGTTGACATTATTCAAAAAACCAACAAGGGAACAAACAGCCAAGAAAGATCTGGCAACACGAAAAAGAAAAGACTTCCTTTGCTCAGGAATCAAAGGAAAAACATTTTTGAACCATAAAATGTTGGACCTAACCTGCGATTTCGGCTCTGGGTGTTTCACTAGTGAAAAAAGTCTCTTTTTCAAGTATTCTCTCTCTTTTTGTTCAATAAACTTGCGAAAAAAATACCGAAACTTTTATTTTTCATAAAAATAGTTTTAGATGGCGAACAGAATGTGTGGCAGATGGAAGGAGCAAATTCGCGAATTGAGTGATGTTCCGCCCGTGTTCTCAGAACTTTTTGAAGGCCAGATCGACTATTCAGAAATCGCGGTTTTAGAAAATGTAACTTTTTAAATTTCTCTCGGTGATAAATGAGTAAAGGTGAAAAAATCAATTTTTTTTTTGATAACTAGGACCCACTGAAAAGACAGCTTTTTTCAAGGTAAACATATATAAATTTTTGAATTATTTTTACAGATGCTTCACATGCACGCGCCTGTGAGGTCAACAGCTCCGAATATCTTGGAAATGCAATATTTTGAATGTCTGAGGACTTTCCGAAGAGTTCCCTCAAGAAATGAGATTGACGATGTAGACGAAGACATCGAAAAGTTAGACGACCAACAGGTAGTTGTTTTCAAGTGGAATTTTTATTTTGATTCGCATTTTATAAAGTTTACCAAGAAAAGTCATTTTTTTTTCATAAAAATTGGTCAGAGAATTGTTCGCGATCTGAAAAGAAAGTTCTGGAACTTCCTATTTTCGAGTACAGAAGGTCCAATGTCTATAAATAGCTCATATAGCCAGGTTTTGATACTTAGTTATCACTTCCCATCTTATTTCTCGAAAATCAAAGTTGAGAAGGTTTATTTTCAAGACATTTATCTCATTAATGAACACTCTGGCCGATTTTCAGAATAGACTTCTAGTAGGCTGTGTTTACTTTGAAAAAAAGTCATTTTTTCTTGATTTCCAACTTTTGCTCCCCATGCCTATATAAGCCGAGGGCATCGAAAGATTAAGACTCGTCTCCGCACTTCAATTAAATTAAATTTTAACCTGTTCTTGAATCGTTGGCAGGTGTCGGAAGCGATCGATAGGCATCTTCGGCGATTCGATTCCGACCGCGGCATGCCCGCCTTCTTCCAATCCGCCGACGACATTCAATTCAGCGCCTGATGGCCGATCAGCTTCCCTTTCGTCAGCTGCAAAGAAACTTGCAAAAAAAAAGCAGCGGTCGACCGTTTTGGTGAATTAGGAGAGACGTTCGTGACAGCTTTGGAATGAAGACGCTCATATAAATCAAAAATTAAGAAGTCTGACATTTTGATCGCGAAAAAAAGAAAAAACTCAAATCTGAGTTTGAAGTTTGAAACTCCAAAAATATTTGACTGACTTTTAACAACATGTTGAAAAAGTTTGTCCTTTTTTTGTGTCACATGTTTTCTCCGCTAATTATTTGAAGGAGCATGAGCTAAATTCTTAGAATTACGTATTACAAAAGCTGTTAATAGTTTGAACTTTCGTCTTGCAAAGCTTATGGACAGACCAGCAAAATTTTTAAAAAGAAAAAGAAAATGTAAATTAGCCGTCAGAAAAAGAAGAATATAACTAATCTTTGGAGGATCAGAGATCATTTTGCATTCCGCGGAAATTACTTGAACCCTAAAGCAACCCTCAAAACACAAAAAAGATAATTGGAAAAAAAACGTGAAATAGCATGCAACACGAATTTATTAAACTTTTTGAAGTATACGGTATGTTAAAATGTTTTTGTGTGAACACGGTCGACTGCAGAAACTTTGCCGACCGTAAATTGACAATTAATTAATCATTCTTCCCATCAACTTTAAAGTGGGCTTTTATAACAAAGCTTCGTTAATCAATTTTGTTTTCAATCAGCCTTTTTCCAACAATTTTTCCTTCTTTTCTGTATGTGTTCAATGCGATTTTCCGGCAAACCGATCAAGACCCTCAGAAGCTAACCAATTTTTATTGAAACAAAAGTTTTTCCATGAAAAAAGTTTTACTCGCTGTTAAATTCACGCATCGCCGCGAAATGTACAAATATATGGACAGAGGATAGAAGAGGCATGAGAAAAGTATGGAAACTGAACATTTTCCGGTGCCGAGCAGCTAAAACGATGCATCGGCAGAAATTTTTTTATTTTTGTTTCTTTGTTATTAGTCGATTCAAAACTCTTGCTAGAGCTTCAAAGATGCAGAAGCTTCGACATCTTCTTCAAGCCAGCAAGTATTATTTAGACGGGCAATAACTTTAAAGAAAGGCCTTTAAGGGACATAGTTTTCAAACTGAGAGAAGGTACAATCAAAAAGAGGAAATGCCGTGCTCGTTGTTGATATTTCGCGATTTATCACAGAGTTTTTCATCGTCTTTTTTTGATGGGATAACACAATAAATAAACCATAGGCAATAATAATTAGAGATGTAGATATAATATCTAGAAACGATTGGGAACATATACAAAGCCATGCGGTAACTGTTAGTCGAGAGCGTATAACAAAGTAAAAGAAAAGGGGGACAAAGATTGATGAACACACACCGGAACGAAAGTGTTTTCTGACATCAAATTACGCATAGATTGGAAGGGAAGATTTTCAAAGCAAAAAGATGAAATCAACAGCACCCAAAGCAAGAAAGTGAACTAGATGTGTAGGCGAGGAAAGGAAATGCGGTTTAAGAAGTGAATAGTTTTCTTTTTTCGAGGTACAAAAAGTGTTTATCGGAAGAAGTCGTCGCCGAACGGATCGGCCGTCGTCGTCGCCACCTTGTGGGTCGTCGAAGCGGCCGCCGAGCAAGAAGTCGCGCTCAGAGTGTTCAGCGAGGCCTGAAACATCAGACAGTCAGCTCTGATTTCAGTTTCCGAAAATCACCTTGGGAGGGTTGAGGATATGGTCAAACGGATTCTTCTTCGTGTCGTTGCCGCGTCCGACGAGCGCATCCATGTCGACGAGCTTCGAGAAAGCCTCTTCCAATGACGTCACCTTCTTCTCTTCCCAATTGTTAGAAGCTGGCCTGAAAAATGTATGAATTTCTAATCATGTTTGGAAACTTTGCATAAAACGGGTTATATGGCCGGATAAGTTAAAAGAAGTTGTTTCAGAATTAAAAAATCCGCAATCCACAAGCACAAAAGTCTTCCTGATATGAAAAAATATAATTTCTGAGAAAGAAATTTATGCGAAAAATTTAGTGAAGGAATTCATTTCAATCTTTTTTGTAAATGTTTGTCTTTATCGTAGTTTTTGAATGTCTCTTCGCCGGTCAAGCTCCGCCTTTAATTCCGTGAAAAGCCAATCGGACGAGCACTCCATAGAAGAGCTTTTTAATGACGTCATTGCGCTTACATTTAAAATCTGAACAGGACTATATTTGGCGTCTTATTCTTTGATCGTCTTCAAGATCCCCAGGAATTGAGTTTTTTTCTTATCGCTACGATTTGCATTTTTTTAATATTTATATAATTTCTCCTTAGAACGTACTTATTATCTCCAAAGTTGGCAAAGGTGTTGGCGTGGTGCATCTGGGAGGCGGGAGCCGTGTTCTCGTTGGCCCAGTCGACGGACGGTGCCGCCTGCGGTAAGGCGGGGGGCGCACGCGTGCCGAACGGGTCCGCCAGAGGATGAGCCATCAAGAGAGGAGCCGCCGTGTGAGGAGCTTGTTGAGGAGGCAACATCGAGCTTGCGAATGGGTTCGTGTCCTGAAACTTTACGATTCATCCATCATAATTTGCCATTATTTCTACCTTTGTTACACTGAAAAACATTCTAAAAAATTTGCATTTTTCCTAGATCAAACTACTTTTTTAAAGCTATAATTTCAGGCGAAAATCAATGCTTTCATAGCTTGAAAAACCCAAAAATGGAAAAAAACATTCTACATTTCAATATTAATCCACTTCAGAGGAGATCTTCTATGAAAAATGTCTCTAAAAAAATAGATATTTTGAAAAACTTATCAATTTCCAAGTTTTGTCCCTCTTTTTCTTGGCAGAATGAGACAAAACATATTTTCAATGGGTTTGTTTTAGAGATAAATTCTCATTGCTTTTTAGACTTTTTTGCGACTTTCTTGCAAAATTTATTCTGATTCCTTGAGAGAACTTTCGAAAAAGGGATACCCAACCAAGAATCTGTGAAAAGCTTCTTGAAATTTTGATAAAAACTTCGATGAATGAAAAATAAAACAAACCGAGAAAGCATTGGTATGGAAGGTTGGCGTGCTGTGCACGTGATGGATGGGCTGCTGAGAAATCGGATGGCCCCAGGAGGAGTCAAAGTTGGACTGAGGATGGGGCTGCGGGACAGGCGGGAAGGCCTGCAAAAGTATCCTCAATGAAACTATGCCCGAAGATGGGGAAAACCGAAGCTTGCATCCAGGAAGAGTTGTGATTTTGTGGGTGAGGGCTGGAGAAGGCGTTGAATTGCGCCCCGGATCCATTCAACATCGAGCCGTTCATCATGGATGAATTGTTCATCGTTGACTAAAAAAAAGATGATTATTCATAATCTATGTTTTTACAAAATTTATCAATTTTTAAGAAGAAAAAACTGCTACGCGAAAAAAACCACGATCAAAAAGTAATTTTTCGGTTGTACGAAAAAAAAATCAAATAAATTTGCGCGCAGCAAAGACTCCGAAAGCCGCAAAATTGCGTATGAAGTTAATGCCTGCCTGCGGACTACTAGTGAAAAAATCGATATCGAACTTTCCAATCTTTTTTCTTCGTAATTTTGCTCAAAAGTTGCTTAACCTTGTTTTTTGAAGTTTTTTTTTCGTTCCTTTGTTTTCTCACTCGTGAACTAATCCGTATTTCACTCAAAACGCAAAAAGTCAATGATATCGTATTTTTTTCCGTTAGATAAAGTAATAAAAAAGAAGGTTAAAAACAATCGATTCATTGACTTATTAACAATAAAACATTAATAAATAACTTGAAACTGAGAAAAATTACAAACAATAGAAAGTGAGAATGAATTCGTTCCATTTGATTCTTAATGAAAACACAATTTAATTGATGTTACGAAAAGAATTTATACATAGGATTGAGATCCATTCTATGAGAGAAAAAAAAGTAATCCCGTTACGGCTCCAATACAACAAAAAGACGTGGAAAACTTCACAAATAATGGTAAGCAATTTTTTAGACAATAAAAAAAACGATGACGAAGGAAAAAAAAGTCGGTAACTTCTCCGTTAGATTAGCTATCGACTTTTTCGCTAGCAGTCTGCAGACACGCGCTTATTTCGCACGCGATTTTGCGGCTTTCGAAATCGTCGCTGTCGCATTTTTCTCTCGTTTTTTTTTTCTTCACTACCACTTTTTCTCGTTCGAATAATATAAACTTGTGAAAATATGAACATTAGGAAAATCAAAAAATAACTCAACGCCTTTTAACCCTCACCTTTTAACAACTGTTCCAAAATATCGTAAGAAACACGAAAAAACTACTGATTTGGAGTTTTTGTGAACTTTAAAAATCTACTTGGTCATAACTCAAATTGAACAGAGGCTGGAAAAGCTCATGAAAAGTTTACTTGATCAACCCCTAAATCATCCTTTTTTCTACTAGTTATTGGCCACTCACAGATCTGGACGACTCAAATTTCAACTCTTAGAGTAAAATAATTTATAACTTTGTAATCCCTATTAGTATCATCAAAAGTTAAGTATCAGAGGAGAACTTTCAACATTCCCAGTGTTGACTAACATTGCTAGCAAAACTATCAGCAAACGGGTCTCCAAACGGCGACGCTCCAAAAGCGTCTGTACTCGTTGGGACCGTCGAAAGCTGTTGAACACCTTGTTCGATCTGCTGCAGCTCTGACTCGAGGTCAAGAAGGTCGGCGACGGCCACGGCATCTTGCTTGCTGTCCTGAAATTGACTAAATACAGTAAATCAAAAAGTTGGTCAATCTATTTATGTACCACTTGAGCTATCCTCATACAGTTCTTCCTAAACGAATTTCAGTGTTGATTTGAGTTCGCTCGGCTTTCAGTTATCCCCAAAACTTATGTTCACAGCATAGCCTGTATTTTTTGATAAAATCCCTTGAAAACTATCTCAAAAATATTTCCCAACGACCTTCGCCTTTAAAAGCCCCTAACTTTATCCCTAATGAGCCGAAAATTCCCATTCCCTACATATTGCTGCTTCCGTCCCCGTAGCTCAAACACTTTCAACTCTCCAAACTCATCACGTTTATAACAGAGTGTCAGATTACAACCTAAACAATGAAGCAAGCTTCTAGTCAACCTCCAATCACACGACAAAAAACCAGACATTGTTCCTACACCAGTGGAACATCTTTGGGGAGGTCGTCAAGTATATTACACACCAAAATGTCACACACAGATACATGTCGACTGATTTGGTTTCACTCGGGTGAGAACGAAAATCAAGTAATACTTCAAGGTCGTCATCATCAAAGGAAGGAAAAAACTTGTTTCTTTTTTTTGGCCTGACTGTGAGCTCGAGTGCGTGATCATGTGATAGTTCGTACATCGCGAACATCAAATTTGTCAAACATTTCTCAAAAATTTATTTAAATTTTTTTGCTGTCGTTTTTTTAAGAGTGATTTTTTTCAGATTTTTATCTTATTAAGATTATTTTTTTCACTTTGAAAAAAATTATGACAATACATATTGGTATTCTTACTTTTGTCTGTGTTAATCCTTTTTGAACGGCCAATCAAGTACAAACGGAAAATAATGTCCCTATTTTCTCCTTTTTAGATTCACATCAACTACCAGTTTCAAAAACTCTGGAAAGTGAAAAGAAACCTTGAAACTAATAATCGCATCAAAACTCTTCTTATTCCCTTTTTCAACAATAAAAATATCATTTCCGACCGAATTTAATCCTCTTCCCAGTGCAAAAAGAAGCCTTGAAACCAACGACAGAGCGAAACTTTTTCTATTTTCCTTTTTTCAACTTCAAGTATCGTCCCTCTTCACGATAAGACAGCTTTAAAAATTGAAAAAGAACTTGAAAAAACTTTTAGAGAATTCGAAAATCTTTTCAAAACAAATACCGTCTCCAATAGGAACGTTTCGTAACCCAAAATCGATTCAATGTGTTTTTTTTCAGTAGAAAAGTCAAATTTTCAACCTTTTCAAAAACTGCAAACCATCTTTCTCACATTTTCAATCATCCCTCCTTTCTCCGGAAACTACTAAGAGCGCAAAGTCGAATCGAAACCCCGAAAAAACAACAAGAAACGATGTTTTGATGACGAGAGAGCAGAGAACGGATCGCCGCCGTGCACTCTGAGGACGTCGAAACTCACGCCGGACTCGCTGTTCGTCGCCTGCTGCTGCTTGACCTGCTCGATGTGCTTCTTCTTCATCTCGAACACCACTTGGAACATGTCGCGGATCGCCAGGACCGCTTGATCGGCCGACTGAGCCGTCTTGATTCCGTAGAATTTGTACTTTCCTGCAAGAAATCAACTGAACTGCCTATGATACTCATGCTTATAATACATTTTGCATATTATACCGTAGAGATTTAAGTTTTTAACCATGGAAAGAGATTGAAAAAGGCTAAATGTTCTTTGAAAAATCAGCTTTACACTTCATGAAACTCGAATTACTTCTTCTCCGCTTTTTTCAGAATTAAAATAGAATATTTGTTTCCAATGGATAAGAGTTTCAGGTTCCCTAACCACGACATTCTGATTAAAACAAAAATGTTTGAAACTGTTCAAAATATTTATGCCAGAAATTAAGCTTTCACTCCTGATCGCTCTTGCTTATCAAAACTCTGAGAAGATGTTTCCCAAAAGGTTCTCCTCGCAAATATTTGTTCGCTGAACATTGCGGCAAACACTTCCGATATCACAAACAACCGATTCCGAAACGTTGAATCAGACGGCCCCGTTTTGACCGATCGCAAACAGAAAACAAATAGGAGGGATTTCTGAGAGAGAAAAATTTGTAAACAGTTCGAATGAAAAAAAAAACTCAAGCTTAAGAATCAATAAGAAACGTCAAAAAGATATATTCTGCCAAGAAAATCAATATATCCGCGAAATTACCTAAATTTTGGTTTTCTTATTTTTGATCTTCCTAAAAAAAACGAAAGTCCATGAAAAATAAGGCCTTCTATTGAGAAGCTCCTCGTTATTTTCTTCTTAGATATTTCAGAGCTGAGAGCTTGAGACTCAATATCGTAATGAAGAAGCTAAGTTTTTAGTGAACGAATCTCAAAAAACTCTGAAAAAGGGTAAAAAAAAAGCTCTGAAAGTGAGCAGAAACCAGACTTTTTGAATAAAATTCACGAAGACTGCAGATCTTTAGAAATTTTGAAAAGTCTCTTCGCCAGCTTCAGTAAGAATATTCGCCTTTCCCTTCAATTGAGGCTGATTCTCACCTTCGGTATCGCCGTAGATGAGGCCAAAGGCGCGAGCATCGGTCGTGTCGCGGGCGATAAAGCTGATGCGAGAAACAGGGAAGTTGTGCAGGACGGCGCCGCTCTTCTCGTCGAGGATCTTGATGCCTTCGATGTTGATCTGCAGGGAGATGCGCGTCTTGTGGGCTCCGGCCGCCTTTACGATCGCCTGGAAAAACTTTTTGGGGCTTGGGCCACTTGAGAGATTCCTCGAGGACACTAAAGAGGCCTTTTTCCTGTGTCATACCTTAGCGGCACGCATCGCTTCCGCACACATGCTGTCGCCTCGGGCTTTGTCCACGTCCTGTTCTCCAATCAGCTTTCCCTGAAAAAGTATTTGATTAAATGTCCCACTGAATTAAATCTTCTTCTTATGCAATTAAAGTGAACTCTATGAAACGAAACTGAAATTCCATAATGCCCTTTCTCATGCCCCTACTTTATCACACTTGGCAAAACTTCACATTGTTTACCTCATTGGAGATGCTCAAAAATTTAAAAATAAGTTAACGACTGAAGAAGCGTTAAACTTCGTTGTTGTGTGGTCGGATGGACCTCTTTTTGAAAAAAAATAGAAGGATAGTCATTAGGAATTAATAGAATTTAAATAAATTTCGGTCTATTGTATTTATCCTTCTTTTGAGAAAAAAGGTAAGTAAATGAAGATCTTTTTTTAGCTTCCCTTCTTTTTCTTCTGGAATTTCTAGGTTCCCCTCTTTCGAGGCCAGAAAAAAAAAGCGTTCAAATCCTCCTAGCAACGTTCCGTCAGCATCATTATGACCAAAAAGTACCTGGTCAGAAAACGTACACCTCTCCCAAAAAAATGTGTTTGTCTTCGAATCTGGGGGCTTTTCTGTGTTCCCAGTGTTTTTTTTTTTGCTGTCTCAGCGCTTGCCATGTAAAGCGAGCACAAGCGCGTCCAACAATGGAGGCCCAACACAAAAACCAGGCCTTTCGGCTATTTGTGGAAACATCGGGTTTATACGGCCCACCACAGCAAGGTGCTTTTCCTAAATATCGATCGCCGCTTTTCCGGCTTATTTGGTCATTTGCGTACGAGCAAAGATGACCACTAAAGTGAAACATGGGAAGAGAGATTATATCCTTTGAAACGTTCATAAATTAACAGAAAATGCAAAACTTTTGCGTGAGGATCGGAGCTTCTATAGTAAACTACATTGAGCTAAACCAATGCTTTTTCGATTTTAAATTTTCTGATGTACGCACCCCAAACGCAAGTCATAGAACTAGAAAAAATGTAAAAAAAATTAAGAAAAGGCCATTTTTGACCGTGAATAAAGCTTAAATTACTAAAAAAAGGTACCTTATAGATGATACCGCTGTTTTGGAATCGGAACGGGTCGGACGTCGCATTCGAGGCTAAAAAAAGCAATTTTTTATTATTGTTATATTCTCAAAATTTTTCAATCATCTCTTTGTTATATTATAAAAAAAATGAGAACTATCAAAAATTCAATTAGATAGATAAGAACAATTTTTCAAGCGAAAATTTTTCAGCTTTTTCTATCAAATATCACGTTTCCTTGCGACAAATCACTTTTTTTCTCGCGGGCCAACCGGATCCCCCATTCACAAACTAACCTTTCTTAGTTCTCTTGAGCATTGCGAGGCGACTTTTTGGCGATGGCGGGTTCTTGGCGGGCTCCGCCGTCGCGTCCATTTGTTTTTGCGCCATCCTGCTTCCTGCCTGAAAAAAAGAACTTCATCCTTTCTTTTTGATCAATATTATCGATCAAAAAACGAGAAGGGCACGCGAAAGAAAAAAAAAGAAACGTTTAAAATTTAAAAAGGAAAGAGGAAAATCCGCTCCAGCTGCGTGTCAAGAAATGGTCATAGAGTGTTCAACAAAACGTCCCAAAATAAAGAATAATGCTTCGAAAAGAAAATCGCTGACAGGACATAAAAAGGACTTTGAGGATTGATCGTTCTTATTGAAACACCCAAAATGCGTCATAATTAAGCGGATACGCGAGGAAAAATTGGATTTTCTGAAGCTGTTCCACTAAAAAAACAAATTTTAATTTCAAAGAACGTCGTTTTTTTCTTCAACCAAATACACAAAAAAACATCTTGAAATAAAAGAAAAATATTTTTAAAAAGCCGTCGAAGATACCCTTTTTCTTTCATAAACAAATGCGAAAAATGCCTCAAATTCACTCTCCGAAAAAAATATGACCTTTTTTTAACGCAACTTTTTCAAAATTTGTTAAATAAAACATTGAATTTCGAATTTCTAAAAAAAATATTAAGAAAGAATATGCTTGGGGCATAAGAAACGAAAAAAAAATGCGAATGAAAATTTTCGCCCATTCTACGGAGAACTGGCGCGAAAAGGCCGCTTGGCCTGCTTTTGACCACCTGCTATTGAAAAAGATCAAAAGGGTTAAACTGATTTTCCATTGAGAAAATCTTCGATTCCTTACAATTATGAGATACAAAGCGTGAAAACCTCAAACTACGAAAACTCAAACTACGAAAACCTCAAACTGCGTCATTATCAACTATGAAAAAGTGCGAGTGGGGAAAAAAAAAGACAAAGACGAAAAATGTTCCCACTCATCGCGGAGGTTATGGTCGATGCGCCAGTGGTTTGAACCAAAAAAAAAAAACTGATAAAAAGCTATCAGCCAGTGGCCTCAAAAACAGCCCATTAGGCGGCGGCGCTCCGATCGGAGCAGTTCTGTGGGAGAAATAAAAAAAATTAGTGAAGGAAGGAACAAATGGGACGTTAGTCTAGGAAAGAAAATCTAATTAAGAAGGTCATCGATTAACCGATGCGAACTGAAAAAAAAAGAACACGCGTTCCGAAAAGGAACAAGGTTACCTGAAGACGGCCGAGAAAGAAAAAACGGTTTCGATGTGGGAGGGTTATAATGCACTTAAGGGTCGATAAACTTTTGAAAAAATGTTCAACAAACAAAAACGATAAGAAAAGACAGAGTAAAAGCAAAAATTCATCACTAAAACTTTTTTTAAAAAAAATGGAAACATCTGATTTTTCCATCAAAACTGAAAAATTCCGTTTCAATGAAAAAATATCTCATTGATATTAAAAATATCATTTAAGTTCAGACCAAAGTTTTTGAAGTAACAATTACTGCGCCAGGAAAACTTTAACTTAATTTAATTTAAACTTATATTTCAAGTATAAAAGAAAAATTAAAAACCATTCTTTTTGGCATAAATTTGACGCCCCGCACAGCGTTCGAAGACTGATTAGTCATAAAATGCGTCATTGGCGAAACAAAAAATGAATAAATTTGGTGTCTACTCTAAAGAACAAGTACAGCAAAAGGAAAACATGCAAAAAATTTTTTTTCAAAGTTTATCCACAAAACTTCAGAATAAAGCCGCTTCGAAGTTGTGTAAGTCAATAAGATCAAAATTTTTGAAACCGAAACCTTTCCCAGACAAAAATCGCTTGGTTCGAAATTCGATCTTTTTTGAAGGAAAAAATTTTGAAAGGCTCTCTTAATTAGCTTCCTAGCAACCTTCCAAAGATCAAAAAAATTTGAAAATTGGAGTTTTTCGTACTAAATTCTGCTCAAAAGTGTTTGACGAAATTTTTTTTTTACGAATGGAAAACGAATTCAATGAAGGTCTAGGAACGAAGAACCATTTTCTGAGATATTTCAGGTGATAAAAGAGTTCTGATAGTTCAAAAAATTAAGCAAAAACTTTTGAAAATTTGTCCCACCTCTTCCGTGCAAAACAAATAGAGGAAAACGTAACCAGACACCTTTTCTTAAATGCCAAAAAAGGTATATATACGGGTTTCCGTCCAATTTCCAAGTCCTGCTAAGTCAGAAAAGTACAATAATAACGAAAGTGTAGTATATGGTTGAGATATATGTGCACGGGGCAAATATCTGTGTATATATATTGGTGTGCGCGAATTATGAGCCAAACACACAACACTCGGAGCGAGAGAGAGAGACACGTCGAGCTCGGCCATCCAATACATTTGGAGCGCCTCCGACCAGCTGTCAGTTGCCGTAATTAGCGCCGCCGAATCGGCCCATTCACCTTGGCGGAGCGAGGCGATCGACGGCGACGAACTGGGTAAAACCTCGAAAATACAGCCATTGTTGGGCCGACTACTTGTAGGTCACGACAGTGCCAGCTGCATAGAGCCTTCTAAAGAGTCAGCGGGTCTCTTGAACGATTTAGTATCACCAGTTCTACAAAATTTTTGGATTGTTTAGGAAGTGCCAGTAACTATTTTATTGTTTCAAAAATGTGTTGAACCAGTTTTCGAAGAAGCGAGGAAAAAAAATATGAGTCTCTTATTCCAAAAATCGAAGTGGAAGTTAAGTATCAGCCCTAATAATCCAAACATTCTTTTTTTACTTAAAAAGAAAAAAATTTGAAATGATGAAAAGTAGAGGCCAAACTATTTTTATTCTACATCAAAACTGAGACTTGAAAAAAAATTTATCTCAAAACTCAAAAATAAAGATGGACTGGAAAAGGTTGTCAAACCAAGTCAAAAGAGTGATTAAAAAGCAAGAAAAGGACCAAGTAAACAAAAATATTATCAGGAAGCTTTTCGAGCGGATTTAATGGAAGTCTCTTAGCGAAAATGTGTTCGAAAGTTTCTGTCAAGCCGCTTTAGACTTGAAATAAACGTTTGCAGTCGAAACATTCTCAAAAAACCATCAAATTTCAAAAAAAAAAACAATTTTCATAATAAATTTATATCACCAAACCGAGTCTCGAAAACAACTTGATTTCATCTTTACAAAGATTTGAAACATGCAAATTACATTAAAAGTTGATGTAAAATATTATGTTGATAAAAAAACCCCCCAACACTTTTTCACAACTGTAAAAAAAGGTTTCCATTTTTCGAAATGAAGCTCTGAAAACAGCGAAAACTTAAACGAAAAACTGCGAAACTTCTAAAAAGTAGAAATATCGATAAAGAGTTCAAAATAGAATGATATCACCGAGTCTGGCATCACGAAAAGCTGAAGTCGACAAAAAATGCTTGCTCGGTATCATCTGCATTTTTCGAAGAAAAATAAATCCGAAAAGTTATTATCGGTGAAAAAACTTCTCTTAACATAGTGATATCATCGAGTCCGGCATCAAAAAAAAAGTCGATTTAAGATTCAAACCAAAAAAGCCTCGTCGGACGTAAAGTGTACAAAAACAAGTGGTGGTGGCCTAGAAAAAGTGAGAGAAGAAATCAGCTGACTTGGATCTTTCTCTCTCTCTCCCCCTTCATAATGCAACAACTGGTAGTTGGAGACTTTCGCTGGGGACAAACTTGCTGTTGATGGAAATATACAAAATGAGAAATGCCTGGGAGTTGCTGCTTGGAGTTGATGGTGGCGGTGGTGGAGAGACGTAGAGTCGACACCACGACCACCGCCAGAAGGAGACCAGTTCCTCCAATGTGTGTGTGTGTGTGTGTGTGTGTGTGCTATGAAGGAGGTTGGGGCAAAGAGGCTGGCCCCCGTGTGATCTCAATCGATACGGACGGCAGCCACTCGGCCAGAACTATATTTGGATCAGCAGCACCTCTTATGATCCAACTATCAGGTAAGCCTGTGAAATCGCGACCGTTTTCTGTGAAGTTAGCCTATTCAGATGAGAGAGCTATAAGAAAAAAGAGAATTGGGAAAAAAGTTGTAAAGGTCGCAACGAAAAGCCTCCTTGATATACCAAATGATACTGAAATTATCAACCTTCCTAACTTTCTGGTTATTCAAGAGCTACTCCGAATCTTTGGTTTTCTTTTTCTCAGAACTTAAAAGTTATAAAGGTGAAGATATTCATGATTTTCACCTGGTAAATCAAATAATTGCCTGGGCAGATTTCAGAAAATGCCCAAACAGAATTTAATCATCTTTTTTTCAGAGCAATCTGAATTTAAAGCATTCGAAAAACCAAGAACCAACTTCAGGACGTTCTATAAAAGTTGCAACTTCTTCACCCTCATCAAGAGCAAAACAGCAAAGATAAAGAAAAACTTTTTGATAAATCAACAAACTTCGAGAATTGACAGGACACAGTTAAATTTCGTTTTCCTTCCGGAATTTCTGTGCAAATCGACTGACCGACCGCTCAAAATATATAGATCCTGTCTTGCCCAACACAAAAAGCACGTGAGAGCGCCGGCCTCCGAGAAAAAAAACCGGCTTTTCTCCAGTCAGACGTCACATCACGCAAGTGCCTGACTATCATTTTTTCGACAAACCCTTACATCATTTCTTCGGGGAGACAAAAAATATCCGAGTTGAGAGATCGAAAAAAAATGAAAAAACTTCTTCGCTATTTGATCCAGAAGGTCCATTTGAAAAATAAATCTGAAAACTTAAAATGTGAAAAAATTGAGAGACAAAATTGAACACGCCCCGTCATTAAAACAAAGCATAAACTGAAAATCTTTCTCTTAGATCTAGGATGTGCGAAAAAAAAATCAAACGCTTCTTAACATTTTGGTCAAGGCAGTGGCGAAATGAGTCACTGAAAAAAAATGATGCGAATAAAAACTAACTTCATAAAATCGGAATTCGTTTTACTCCAAAACAGCTTCAGTTCATTGACGATTTGAGTCATCAAGGAAAATTTCGACAAGAGATGACTCATCGTGATACCGTTCAGCCTAACCGGGTCTAGCCTTCCTAGCATCGATCTTATAACAAACGCCGAATAAAAAAAAACTGTGAAGTAGTGGTCTAATTAACCCTCAACCGTTCACGAGACTTGAGAAAAGATAAATCTTTTAAGTCAAGTTCAGGTCGGCCCTGATTTTTCAGCAATCGTGTGACGCACTCGCGTTCTCACCGTTTGCGTCCCGGAGACAGCGCAAACAGTCAAAAAAACAGACGCCTGGACAAAAAAAACGAGGTTTATGCTGGAATGAAATGGGCTATCGCCGAACTGAAATAGAAAAATTTCATTGAAAAACAACGAGCAGATGAAAATAGTGGCTTGTTCAAGTGAAAGAAAGAAACATATCTCAAAACGCGAAAATTGCTCCGAAACAAAATTGTGAGTTTTAGAAACACCTTTACAGCGGCAATGAAAACAACTTTTCGTTTGGATACCTAGTCTATTCCTCCATTGAAAACGTTGAAGAAATGGATTTACGCGAGGTGGTTGAATTCAAAAAAACTCGGTAGATATATATATATATATTCGACTCGATCAAAAAAACTTTTTTTCTATCATTTCCTGTGAATAAATGTTCTATTAACGGAAAAAAACAACACAAAGGACACTCGGAAACGGCAGATTTTTCCGCTTCCAGTGCCCTTTGTTTTTCAAGTTAGCAACTTGTTTCCCTTTTTCGAATTAAAATCTCTCGACGCCTTCTTTTAACAATATGCTTTTCACCTGCTTCAATGAAACAATTAAGAACTACAAAAAGTGAATACTTAAAAACGCTAGCAAAAAGGTCAAAAAATTTAATTGAAAAACATGATATAAAACTGTTTCGTAAAGACGCCTTTGAAGAAAAAAGCTCCAAAGCAAAAGATTATTGGGAACATTGACTCTATTTCGAGCCTGGATTCGGGTTAATCATGGATTTCCGAAGAAAAAAAAAGAGGGATAAATGAATTCTGAAGTTTTCTGACGCTCTTAGTTTGTGGCGCTGGCTTTGAAAATATATTTTCTAGAAACAAATCTCGAAAGAATTTGGGTCAATAGATAAGCGGTCTTCAATCAGAGGTCAAGGACCGTGTTTGAAAAGGTTTCGAGTCCGAAAAAAAGCCCACAAACTTCTTTTCATGGTTTCAGCTGTTTAATTTTCTTAGAAATGTTTTTTTTTCAAAGCTTATAAGTCGCACATTATATAAATTGAAGCGACGAGACGTTTTCAATGTACCTTTAAACAGACAAGCTTCCTAAAGGGTAACCTTTACAATCAGGAAATCAGTGCGTGAGAAAAAAAAAACCGATATCCGAAACTACGCGAAAAAATCTCTAAACTAAAGAGTGGCACTTAGTTCGAAACCAGGGACCTTGGAAGAGTATTTCAAGGTCGAAATGGAGGTCCTCTGGCTGTAATTCAGTAGGGGGATGGACCATCATCATGTGACCGTCATATGACCTTCCCGACATATACCACGGTGTAATGCGTCCACTTTTTCGTATAAATCATCCGACCTGTCATCATAGAAAAAGGTGGAAAAGTTAACCACGAATGAGTGACGCCGATCACTGTTTATTTGAAACCCGAAACCGATAAACTGCCCAAAATCAACAGAATAAGCTTTACGGTTGGCTAGTTCCTCACATCATAGAAAATCAGTTACACAAAAAGAAAGCATCTTCGAAAAAAATATATATATATAATTTGCTTTTATTCGCATCGCTATTGGAAATTTGAACATCAAGCGGGCCAGGCTTTTGTGAAACCGGTTCAAAAATCACGTCATGCGTGAGATGTTCGCTACTAATTTTATCAAGATTCGACCGGAAAATATCTTCTCGGATAGAGAAACCTTTTGATTTGAATTTAAGGTTCTTTGGTACTTGTGCAATGTTTTATTATTCAGAGGAGTGTATATACATTTTACAATTACCAAAAACACGGGCAAAGTTCAGAGGACCGAAGAAGATCTTACCATCGCTTTTTTAAAAGTCTTTTCCAAAGATTTGAGAAATGGACTCAGCTCAGTAAAAGCTTTTAGTACTTTATCAAGAATTCCAACATGCCTCCTGGACCTCACCCATGAAATGATTCCATTGAGACAATTTATAGACTTAAACAATTATGCGCGAGCGATGAGTGAAAAGTAGAAGAGATCAATAGAAGAAATTTCTGAATCATGAGGAACGCAAAAAAAAGAAGAAGATAGAATCAATTATCGTATTCTGTTAAATTCTCGAGGGCCTCGGCCTCTGGACGCCCGTCTTGCAGCTTCTTCAACAGCTTTTCCCTTTGTCGGCGCAGCTGCAAAAGAGAAAAAAAGTGGAATTGGCCTCTTCTTCGATGATACAGGGTCCCCCGGAACCGAAAAGAATGGATTCTTGTTCTGACAAGCCTAATCAACAATAAATTCGCTACTTAAGTTTTTATCTTTTTCTCCGATAAAAAAAACGAACCCATCTCCCCAGGTTGTTCGACAGCATCAAAAAATTACCAAATAAAAACAATTATATTCTTAAACCTTTTCAAATTTTGCCTATGCGCTTGTGAATAAAACACAAAGGTGTTGTGATTCGAGTCGGGACTGATTTTTTAAAAAAATCGATTTATCCCTGTATTGTCATGAAAAAATTATTTTTTTTTGAAATCAATCTCTCGAAACCAATCTGAAGTCTCCTATCGAAGTTTCTTCAAAAAAAAAACCTTTTTGTGTTTTTTTAATGATTGCTTGATGCGCCAGTTGAACATGAACGCGACGACGATCAGCGGTACAACGATGCCGACAATGTACTGCGTGACGTCATAGGGCTGAGCCTTGGCAAGCTCCCAAAACTCGAACACGTGGTCCAAGAAGCTCATCTGGAACGAAGATCGCTATGAGGTTTCTCATGGAGCTTTGAGAAAAAATCGGCAAAAATATATAGTAACGTTCTACGCGAAAGCCATTTTCACTATGAAATCAAACTGATTTCTGTAAAAAAAATTCGAATTGAACTCGAATTATGCTAGCATTTTCGAGAAAAAGCTGTTGTTAAAAGAAAAAAGATTCGGAAGTATTTCGGCAAGAAATGAGGCGAAGGACTATTGACTGAGACTACAAATTTGAGCTAAGAAATTGTGGGAAAAAAAATGTTTTCTCATTTTCTTCCCGCAAAATAGTTTCCTTCCAATCTTATCGAATTGGCGTAATAATTTCAATTTAATCGAAACGGAAGAGATTTTGTGAAACATTTTTTGAAAAAAGGATGACGAGAAACTTCATTTAATTTTTTTTTCATTCATTCAAAATTCAGTCTACAGGGGAATTTTCAAACATTTCCAAAAAGCAACGAGTGCGAATCGATTACTTTTTGTAAATTAATCGGCAAAATAAGAATATTTTCAGAAGTTCACACTATGTTGTACAATTTTTTGTAGAAGCACAGATCTATCATATTTTTGTGCACTCTATAAAACTTCTAACAGACAGAATAACAAGCTGGGAGGTTAGCAAAGCGCAAGGACCGGTATACACTAATCAATAGGCAAATTATAGAGAGTGGCGGTAGTTGGACAAACACTACTCGAGTGGTTATCCGCACAGAGCTCCTAAGCCAAAAAAAAATCTCTGAAAACGAAAAGAATATACATTTATCTGAAAATAATGTTTGATAAATATCTTGAAAATCGATCGGAAAAAACCCTTTCCAGAAAACTCAAGCTTATACACCACGAATAGTATGAACTTTTATTCAAAAAATCGAGAAAAATTAAAACCGGTCTATTGAACAAATAAATACATGTAAGCGGCTCTATTCATAACTAGTATACACTTTTTCTTTTGATAAATCGCCCAAGATACAGAAAAATACTTTGAGTACACGTAAAAAGGACTGAGAAACGGTGGAATACAAAAAAAAACACAAAAAAAGAACGATGCCTACAACTGTTGACTTTCAATTTCAATCAGGATAGCGATCAACATCGAAAACAAACAAGTTTTGGATCTTAGTCCCTCGTTCGCTGATTTTCACCATGTCGCTTCTGAAAAATCTTGAGCTGATTACATATCAATGTTCGGAAAATCTGGACGATGTGGTGAAGCTAAGGGAAAAATACAAAGAAGTTATGTTCCAAAGTAGTAAAAAAAAAACTTTTAGATAATTGCAAATACCAACAAAAAAACTCACTCATTTTCAGGTAAATAATCGACGATATGGACATCGAAAAATCCAGAAAGCATGGCCCTTCCAAGCGCTGTATAGTAGGAAATCCGCCTGTCGGACATGATGAAAGTCCTCCAAAAGAATAAGTGGACGAGTTGAAAGAATATAGACCTGAAACCCTGTTCAAGTTCATGAATTGGAATTTGAAACCAACCTTCGACCTTCCATCATCCAAATAAACCCTCGGATGAACTTGTACGTCGAATAAGCGTCTAGAAAACACTCCATAAATTGCCAGGCGCTCATTTTAATCTCAGGAACCGACCATTCCGACAGCGACTTCAGCACCCAGTTCTTTTGATATACATACCTTCAAACTCTTCAGAAATTCGTTTTGAAAAATAAAAATTCAAAGTTACCTGCAAGTTTGGCACTGTATTTGTTGCTGAGCGGATGCCCTAGACATCCAAAGATCGAAGCACGATTCGTGGACCCACTGGAAAACGTCATTTGAAAACCGTTCAAAACAATGATACAAAACTTCATATTTAAATTGCTCAAAAAATATTTTCAGAAACTTACATAAAGTGTTCCAATACAACGACATGGATGTAGCCAACTCGAGCCAGAGCTATCGTCTCCATAGCAGAATTTACAAACCTTATCTTCGTTTACCACAGAAAGAACGCTCATAACCAGCCCCATTCCTTCTGCAAAAATCAGAACTAAAAACCACTGAAACGAGTGATATAATATAACCTATTAGAAAAAAAATCACTATTATTTTTATTAATTTTTCACCAAGGTTACTAATGTTTTTAGATACATATCGTTTATAAAAAAATTTGAAGTTTCAAAGATGTAAAAAAAGTTCGTGATACTGAAAAAAATTACCACAGAACATTGGAAAGTTTAAACGTGAAACATCAAGAGAACGAGAACAGTAAAAATACTATTTTTTTAATTTATATAAAATTAATAGAATTAAAAAAAGCGAACAGTTTTTTTGTTGGCAACTCTCCAAGGCGCCTTTTTCGCGGCGAGACCCGATTCTCCCCCAGCAACAGCCTAAAAATTAATATCGATTTCTTCGCACATTTACCGCAAGATCTCCCACTCTAACGACGGCGTTCCTTGTTTGTTGTGGTTTTTTAGCGTCTCTCTTTTTAGATGAACTCTTCTGTTTTATTAGAATCTTTTCTGAATACCTGACAATCTAATTTTTTTCTAAAAATGAACTTTGTTTAAATTAATTATTTACCGAATATGTTTAATTTTGATAAGGTATCTCTTCAAGTGCTCCTAATTTTTTTAAACATATAATTTTTGAATTCTTTTTTTCACAAAATATCTAAAAAGCTGAGAAAAACTATTTTTTGGAAGTATTTCGATATATTTGTTTTCAAAACTTCGTCGTGGACACTAAGAATAACTGACGAGATAAACGCGAGGTCGGTGGCGGTACATTGACGAACTCGCAAACATGTCGCTTTTTTCTAGGCGCGATCTCGCATTTATCTCGGCGCGACCTCGCACTTTTCTCGGCGCGACCTCGCATTTATCTTGCATTTCAGAAAATTTTCGAATTGCGAGAAAAATGCGAGACAGGCGCGAGAAAAAAGAAAGCGAGATGTTTGCGAGCTCGTAAATGTACCGCCAGCGTCTCGCGTTTATCTCGGCAGTTGTTCTTAGTGGAGACTTTTTCCATTCCTTAGCTTTCTATTCAACTTCATTATATTTTTTTTCCAGTTTCTTCTCAAACTACTTATTATGTCAAGTGCTGTCGGAAGGGGGAATAGAGGAAAGCCAACAACAGGTACACAAAACTGAGATTATCATTATTCGTTTTGTTTATTAAAGATGCGAACAATGTAAGCCTTGGTGGAAACGGTGTTCATCTTCAGTATGCTGCGCCTATTGTTCAGCAACCTGGTATCCCTACAGAAGCTACAATGCAGCACAGCTATCAACACCAGCAGCAGTATGCAAATATATTTCTGCTTCGCTCTTATTCTTGTTGTTTTCAAGGTACCCGATGATAGTTCAATCAGCTCCTCAGGGACAAGTTCACCAGCAGTATGGAGGAATTTATGTTCAGCAGCCACAAATGGCTTACACTACTAGGCAAGCACCTTTGTGCGTTGTTTTAGTGTGATCTTTCCTATTCGACACTTTTAGCTATGGTTATCCTGGACAACAAGAAATTTCAATGGGCTACGATCCAATGGTCGCAACACAAATGTATCCGACAGGAACGCCTATTTACCCGGTAATTTATTCAATTTTTCTTTCAATTTCATGTAAAAATGAGTCTTCAGATGCCGAACCAGGCTCGCCAGCCGCCTCCTGCAGCGAACAAAGGACGAGAGAGAAAAATTCTAACAATCACCGATCCAAAAACTAATACCCAAATTGACATCAAAGGGGAGGCGAAACATGAAGGTTGTTAGTATTTTTTAGACACCTTATATTTCATTTGAGCAATACTATATCGTCAATTTTTTCTAGCTAACACTTCGGTTGTCAATGGCCAAACTCCACCGAAAACAGACTTGGAAGAAAAAGCCCAACAAGGTCGTTTATACTCGACAAAATCAGAAGGCGAACCAGAAACACACATACGGAAGGAGTTCACACAACAAGTGATACAGAAAATTAACGAAGAAGATCGTCAGTAGTTTTTTTTTTTATGATTGAATGAGAAATAAGTTTTAGCGAAAGCTGTTCGATCAAGAACACAATCGAGATCGGACGCTTCTTTTTCTATAGCAGCGCCAATTGCTGCTTTCAACCATGAAGTTGTCCCAGAACCTGCTGAGTACCAACATCCAGTTATTCAACCTATTCCTCAGGTTTTTCTTGTCATGTTTCTTAGATACTTCTCTGAAAATTTCTAATCATGCGCTAATTTTTTAAAATTAGGTTGTAATTTTTCCAGAGAACTCCGGAAAGAGAAACGAGCGAAACTCCAGCTACTACTAAGCCTGTACCCGAGTCTGAAATTCTGGCACTTGCAGCAAAGCTGAGCGCTGCTCAACTCGAATCGTACGTTTTTGATTGTTTCTGGCGGCTTGAAATTTGGAGTTTGCAACATGCACCGGCTGAATCCCACTTCAGCCTATTGCGCGCGAAAAAAAAATTTGAAAATGTATTGCCGCACTTTTCGGGGGGAAAGACGCACCCCGGGGTGGGATCCTGCCGACGTATGGTTTGCAAGCTCTTTTTCGCAGATATTCGAATACACAGCACAATATCTTTTGAAAATATGAAGTTTTATAAAAGTGGTTATTTATTCATCACCTCATTTTTTTCAGTTTAATTCTTTTTAGAGCCCACGCTTTGGCGCCAGTAAAGTCGTCATCAGTACCTCCGGTAGATGTTCCCTCGACAGCTGAAGAGCCTATTGAAGAAGAAACTTTCAAGAAGGAAGATTCTTTGGAAGAAACAGAACGAGAAGAAGACATTCTGTCCGATTCGGGATCTCAAATTAAGGATGAGCCTGAACTGAGCAAAGAGCCAGAGGTATTTTCGTTCATATAAAATTTATTATATGCAAAGTTTAGGACGAGGCAGAAAAACTAATGATTCGCGAAAAAGAGTTGGACTCACAAGTTGAAGAACTTTTGAAATCACCTGAAGAAGTTGATGTCGCTGCTAACTTCTACGGTCGTAGCTTCCTTGTCACCCTGCGTACAATTGAAAAAGTTATTTAAAAATCAGTTGTTTGCTCTAACATAAATGTTTATAGGAACTCAAAAGAACGCCTTGTCCACTGAGCGTCGAACAATTGAATGGGTTTGGATTGGACATAAACGCGATGCCGAAGACAGGAGAAAAGAAGACCGCAAACTTCAACCCTTCCTGGAACACTGGAAACAAGCCTCGAGCGCAACAGGTTAGTTTTTTTTTTCTGTTAATAGCATTATTTATAAAAAATATTTATTTTTTCGAATTAGTTTTATTGAACTTTTGAATCCGATTTGAGATAGTGAGGAGTTTTTTTTTTCTTTTTAAATTCCCATGTGCGCACTATTCAGAATAGTAATTAGAAAGAATAAATTAAATTACAACGCAACCGGTTTTTCTCTTGGAAAGCCCACTATTAAGAAGAAATGCTTTCAGATAGTAATAATAGTTTAGGTTTTTTTAAAGTGAGTTCACATGATTTTTTTTTATAGCTTTTGATTATTGCTTAAATTTTGGTTTTCATGGTTGAGGTGGAATTGTTAATAATTTCAAAATTCAAAGTCATACATTCAACTGGTTAACAAAAAAACAAATCTCTGTTCCATAGTTTTTTTTTTAAAATTCTGTTTTAGCCGTACCGTGGCCGTGTCACCACCGACGGATCTGGACGTGGAGGAAGAACGGAACGAGGAGGTCACATGAAGAGGCCACCAGGTCCACGTCCATCGATCGACCGCGTTATCGATAGACCCAAGTTGGCGACTTCTAAGAATGCGTGGAAGCCTGACAGGCTGAAAAACGAAGAACTTCCAGAAGAAGTTGCCAAGGCTAAAGTAATAATTAAAGTTGACTTTTTCGTTGAACTCAAACTTTTTTTTTCAAGGAACTTTGCAAGAAAATCCGGTCGCTGATGAACAAAATCACTCCGACCACCAAGGATGAACTTACTAAGGAGTTTATCTCGCTGAATGTTTCCGCAAACGAAGATACGCTGAAAATGGTTTTTTTTTCAGGATTTGGTGTAATTTGCGGTTGGTTTTCAGATTGTTGAAATCATCTTCGACAAAGCTATCGAAGAGCCCAAGTTCTGTAGTTTGTACGCCGAAGTCTGTAAGCAACAGGTAAATTTGATTCAATCGGCCATTTTTAAACGTCTTTCACAAATGATATTACAAACTTCAAAAATTGCTCTTATCGTTAGAACAGACTTGAAAGAAAGTTTTTTTTGTGTGTTCAGGTGGACCATGAGTTAAAAATCAACAACAAGCAGTCGCCTTTCCGTAATCGAATTCTGACACGAGCGCAGGAAACTTTCTACACGAAGACTCAAGAGAAGGAGGAAAAGGTAAAACATAGAATACTAGTTGAATCTAAAGTTTGATTCCGTTTAGCTCGAGAAAATCGAGGCAGAGACTGATATTGCCAAGAAAACCGAGCTTCAAATCTCTTTGATTGAGGACGAGGCCAAGTTCAGAAGGAGAAAGTTTGGAAACATCACGTGAGTTTTGAAAAAAAAGTGTTTTTGATTTTTATTGGGTCTTCAAAAGGGGTTTAAGCAATTCTCAGAACTCTTCAAAAACGAAAAAAAAGAACCATAAGAAGGTCTCATTAGGCTTTATCTTACGCCTAGAAAACTATGAATTGTTCAACGTTTAGCAATTACATCGAAATTTTTAGGTACATTGGACATTTGTTCCGGTTCACCCTGCTTTCTCCAAAAATCATCACCGCTTGTCTCTTTGATCTGCTTAAGAACGTCATGGCCCCTCTTCCAGAGCAATCTTTTGAAGAGGTTTTATTCAAAAATAGAATATTTTATTTGATTTTCCTCAGGACTCTGTTCACTGTGCTCTATCATTGATTGAAACAGTTGGCCCGATTCTCGATGCCATGAAAGACAGCCCGAAGTTTTTGGACAGTTGGTTCGATGTACTCGAACGTTCCAAATCCATTTGCTCTAATAAAATTCGGTAACTTTGCCTTTTTAGATACATTCATTGAAAGACCGATTTGCAGGTTCATGATCATGAATCTGGCCGAATTAAGAAAAGCGAAGTGGGTCCACCGCAAATCTGTGGAAACTGGTCCTAAGAAGATTACGGATATTCATAAAGATGCCAAGCAAGAACAAACGGATGCCGTCAAAGAGCGAGATAATGTTTGTCGGATAAAATCGTGGTTTTGAGTTGTAAAAGGGTCCAGAAACATTATGAGGAAAATTTTGTACGTTTTTTTATTTTAAGATTGATCAAAGCTTTTAAGTTTAACCTTGTAAAATAGCTAATTTGTAATTTTATGCATATTGAAAGAAGACGAAAAAAATTAAGGCGATACTTTTTAAAAAGTTTTTTTATTTTAGTTTTTTTGAAAACATCCAGTTGTACATTTCCACTTATACTCGATCGTTTCATTTCTGAAAAAAAAAATTTAATTCATAGTTTCGATATATCTGCAAAATAATCGTGTTCAATGAGTTTATTTCAGTACGACCGACGTCACAACCTCCGACCGTCTAGCAATTCGCTCAGAAAGAATCCCCCAGTTGGCAGAAGTTCTTTGGATAATCGCCAAGGCTCTTCCTATCGCACCTCACAACCGACTGAGCAAAGACGAGCAAATGCAGCCGCCAACACGAAATACGTTTCGACTGGTGTCCAGCCCAAGAAGGTCTCGCTCGCCGACTTCGGCGGTGATGGCAAACTTGGCGTTTCTCAACGGAAATGGCACTCGGGGGCGACTGGAGGTGGCATGACCGCCAACTCTCAAGATTCGGCGCAACCCAAGGCGAACGCTTGGGGCCGACGCGAAGGCAGCAATCCACGAAAAGTATTTAGCGTTTTATGAAAGAAAATCACAGTTTTTTTAGGCTTCGGGTGTTGATGAACGCCAGCAAGCTCTTGCCGCTGCCAAAGAAATTGCTGCTGGAACGCTCGCCTCTCGTCGTTCTACTTCTCAGGTTGAAACAGGATTCTATATTCGAAAAGTACACTTTTCACGATATCTTTAATACGTAAAGAAGAGATTTCAAACTTCCGTTTTGTTCGCGCTCTAATGATATTTTCAGCAAGCTAGTAATCCGCTTTTTTTTCAGTTTTTTTTTTGTGAAACTTCGAAATTTAAAAAAAAAAGAATGGTTTTTTACTGGTCATATTTCAGACTTCTGTAGCTACTGACATCGATGAAGCAGCCGACTCTCAAGCGGCTGAAGAACAACGCGAGCTGCATCGCAAAATCATGAACACTGTGAAATCGGATATCGGAGAGTTGTGCAGTGGCGACCTGAAGTTGACGGAGGTAAAAAAAAACTTATTTGGGCTTCCAAAAAGCTGTGCAGCCTTTTTTTTTACCTGAGCTAGTTTTTGCAAAATGGATTCATAGTTGTAGTCAAATTGGTCGTGTTTTAATCCAACTTCCAACAGATGTCCGACGGACTCCTCGGAATGGTTGGACAGCAGAAGTATGGAGCTCCTTCTTTGGTGACCATCTTCGAATACGTCATGAGAGCCGCCACTGAGAAGGCGCTGAAGCCAGAAGAGAAGAAGCAGCTGGGATTTGTTGTTTGCGAAACGTTGCGCAAGGAGGAAGTCAAAAAGGACTTCATCATGGGGTTAGTCGTCCTATTTATTGTGAAAACTGAAACTTTCTCTTTTTCAGCGTTTCCAATTTCTGTCGAGATGCTGTTGATGAAGGAGTCTCTTGCGATTTCCCGAATTTGTGGAAGAACACTGGAGAGGTAGCCATATTCATGCAAATTCAACTAATAAAGTAATGGTAAAAAATTGACTATTCAACGTCAACTATTTTTTATATGAATTTGGTAGTTGATTCATGATTAAAACACGAAGAACCAGGGTAAAAATTTTTAATAAATGTTTTATAAACCGAAAAAAAGGTAAAGGGAAAAAAATGTCAGAAAGTTCACTAGCGATATGAGAAATCGGGAAAGCCGCCGTTCGAAAATTCGCTACCTTTTTTTTCGTATCTCACTAATTGTATTTTCATTTTCATTTTTTTTACATCCATTTCGTAAATTTTAGTACTTGTGTGTGTGAGAAATAAGAAATTTTGATTTAGAGAGAATACAATTTATTTAAACATTTTCGAGAGTTTCTTGATTTGGTTATGACCAAAGTAAGTTTGAATTTTTTTTTTTACGAAGTTTCATTTTTTTTTTTGTTGTTGAATTTCTACAAGTGATAGGTTCTTAAATCTTGTAGACTTAACTGTTAATTGAATGAATTCTCTTTCTCGCGGAAAAAAAGCATTAATTTTCCAGGTGTTGGTGTACGTGATGCACTGTCCACATGATGTCGTCGAGGGAGCCTTGAGAACCAACATCAACGACTTTTCCGATTCGTTTGTGGCCGCCACAAGCGATATCGGCGACAAAGGCTATCAGCTCATCGTCACCGTGCTCAAGAAACTGGTATTTGACGGTCCACTTAAAGAAAAACAACTTTTATGTCATAGGCTGAAGCGGAAGTCGAAGAAAAAGTTGCTGCCGGCCAAGAGGTGACCGTCGCCGAAGGAATGGCCTGGGAATTCGCTGAATTGGCGTTCCTGAGCCGGATCGACCGCGAAAAACTCAACGTTGCACTAGCGGAATGCGAACCCAATGTCCCTGGCTCCAAGTCTTTACTAGAGCTTCTGACCGCTCATTGATCATATTTGTTAAAATAACCTATCTTTTTTGTTTCTTTTTTTTTAAAAGCATAACGAGTTCTTCTTTGTATACGGTCTTCTCTTTTTTGTTTTCGAAATTGGTGGGTCCATTTTTATGCTCCTTTTTTTTCTTAAATTCTGTTCATGTTATTTTGCGGCCTCGTTGCTAAAATCTCGTCATTGCTCAGTAATTTCTGTTCAAATAGGGGTCGTTTTAGTGGCGTTGAGCCTTTGTTTTCTTCCTTTTCGGGTGTAGACGGGTGTACTGAGCGTTCTACCATAGGAGCACCAGTATGGCTTTCTACCCAAATATTATTTTTTTAATCAACCTGCTTACCCTCCTTCTCCCCTCTTCTCCTGTGTAATTGTTGCTTGAACAGTGCGCACCCATCCCAAACCAGTGGTTTTCTCCCACAATTAATCTTTTTCTCAAATTTTTCTATTAGAGTCTGCAGAATTCTATTTATTTTCATCTTTCGTTGATTCTAACTTGTTTTTACGGAAAATATCCTTCATTGGACATTAAACGCGAAGCGATAACGGTTGGCAACGCCTCAAAATTAGTACACATTTTCATTTTGTCTCCGATGGCGTGTTCAATTGGGAAAATCAGAAAAAGCTCGACATTCAGCCCTTTTGATACGCTGAAAATGATATTTCAGTTGAATTTTAGTTCTAGTTGAACACGCTGTGAATTTTTCGGGAATCGTGAGTAGTCCGGTAGATCAAAAATAATTGATATCCGACAGTGTGCTGAAAATTCTGATCGAAAAAGGTCAGTTTTTCAAAAAAAAAAAAAAACACTGTTGTTTTGTTGACTAGGTATAGAAAATTTCATATTTATGCTCCGTTTCCCTCTTCATTTTTCTTAGTATGTAGGTGTACCCTTCTGCTTCGATATACATGGGTTGGTAACCGTTGCTTGTCTTTTAACTTCTATTTATTTATGTCATACAAATATATCGGAACGTTTAGTGCCTTCTCTCGTTTTTCAATTCCCTCCACTTTTTTTCGGTTCCGCAATTAATTATTATTTCTCTCTTGCTATTGGTACTTCCTGTTCAGAGTCCAAATTCATCTCACCATTTGCTACTTTAAATCAATCAATTACTGTTTCTTTTTCTTTCCATCACGGCCAATGGCACCACCTTTTGCATCGAGTGTACTTCATTTTTTTTTTTCTTGCGGTCGATAAAACTGAGAATTGGACATTGATTTTTCTTGTTTGAGTAGGCAGTTGATAAGATAATGGCGAAAGACTGGGAACTAGGTATTCATCCACAACATTTCTTTCGCTTTCTGAAGTCGTCGGGAAAATCGTCTAGAATGGTTAAAGTTGGTATAATCGGAGGCACTGGACTAGAGGATCCTCAAATTTTGAGCAATCCAAAGTCGGTGGTCGTCGAGACGCCGTATGGAAGTCCCAGCGACGCGCTTCTTGAAGGTTTTTTTGAATTGAATTTTGGTTGAAGGCAAATTGTTAGGCACGATAAATGGCGTCGACTGCGTTCTTCTGGCCAGACACGGCCGCAAGCACGACATCATGCCTGGCAACGTGAATTACCGAGCCAACCTCTGGGCTCTTTATTCGCTCGGTAACTTTTTCTGGTTTTCCGTTCATCGATAAAACCTTTTCGAGTTGTCTGAAGGGCTTACAGACCTTGAAAATGTGATTTTTTTTTTTCTATAACTGGACGATATGAAAACTCAGGCGTCGACGTCATCATTGCGTCGACAGCTTGTGGCTCGCTCCAGGAGCACGTCAAGCCTGGACAACTCGTTTTTCCGGATTCTGTTTTTGATCGGTGAGAAAAATTGAACAATTTATTTTTTCATCGACTAAATCCAACCAACTTTCCAGTACAAACGGTAGAAAAAGCACGTTTTTCGATGGCAGTCATGCCGGAGCGCCTGGCGTCTGCCACATTCAGTCCTATCCGACGTATAACGAACAACTCCGACAGGTGAATTTCGCTCGAAAGCGGAAACTACGTTTTTCTTCTCGTCTACAATTTGTGTAAATTATTTACTGAAACAATAAAAAGCTCTTCACTTCGTGAGTCAACAGTCGCGAAAGATTGATTTTTATATTTAAGAACCTTGGAAGCCTTTGAAGCTCGCTCCAAGCAAAAATTATCTTCATTGAGCCTTTTTGTGCAGTCTTTAGACGGTATTTTAAACAATTTAGTTTTGTCCCAATTCTTTGTCAAAACGGAGTAAAGCCCCAACATTTTCTCAGCTGATGGTGACTTCGGCGAAAAGCCTCGACATCGACCACCACGCCAACGGATTCGGCGTCTGCATCGAAGGGCCGCGGTTCTCGACGGTCGCCGAAAGCAACGTTTTCCGTTCTTGGGGGGCCAGCCTCGTCAACATGACCATGATGCCGGAGGTCTCTAGATCCAAAAAGTATCTTCGAAAGGGGGTTTTCCAGTGCATACTGGCGAAAGAGCTCGGAATACCCTACGCGACGATGGCGTTGGTGACTGACTACGACTGCTGGAAGGAGACGACTCACGTGAGATTTATAGATTCCTGGGTTTCCCTAAGAAGGAGGGAAGTAGCCAAGCGAATCAGGGAACTTCAATCCTCGTGAAATTCGTAAAATGTTTTAATTCGAGCTTTTATGATCTTCCTGGCTTCGGACCTTTTCACTGAATAGCAGAACAAGTTGTGAATCAAGAGAGCTCTTTCTAATGTATCTTCAAGGTGTCGATCGACCTCGTCATGGAGACCTTCCACGAGAACGTCGGCAAGGCGAAACGATTGTTCATAGACGTCGTCGCTCGAATCTCTGACGTCGACTGGACACCAGAAGTCGCCCGAATGAAGGTCGGACAGTTCTTTTTATTGTTAATTAGTCAAAATGTCAATTAATTATTAAAAAGGAAGAAATAAAACCATAAGTGGCAATTTCTTGCAAAAGCAGTTAAACATTCCTCACAGAGGAAATTATTTGAGACGTTATTGACTTTTTTTAAAGATTATTTATCAATCACCTTTTATAGTTAATTCGTTACGAATGAATTGAAACTGTCTGACCAGCCTGCGCTCTCTTTTTCTCACCTCTGAGGTCATAATTCACAAATCTTGTAAACGCGAAACGGAGGAAAAAGTGGGCGCAGTGTAATCAGCCTGTTTTTTTAAATTCGTAGCAATTAGATTTTCGAAAAAAAATCTCTAAAATTGTTCAATTCCTAAAATGTTGAGCTCTATTGTCTTTTGCACTAATCGTAGTATCAGCGAAAGGTCGAGTAAATAGAAAAGATAAGGAAGCAAAGAAATGCAAAGATCTTTGTATCTCATTCATCGCTGAGACGCGATTTAGTAGCAGTCTTCACAAAGTTGGCAAAAAAACTATTTTTTGTAACGAAGGCTAGCGAAGACTAGAGTAAACAAAATTTCGAGCTTGTGATTTCAGAAAGAAGCGCGAGACTCGATAATGATTCCAGCGGATATCGTCGTACCTCATCTGCAGTCCTCCTAACATCCATTGTTGATTGTTGTTTTTTGTCGTTGATAATGAAGTTTTCGTCATCTATACGAAATTGGCTGATTTTTGAAGGCTCATCTTTTATGATCGAAAAATTGACTCTAGGAATGCACCGATAAAAGACTTACCACGAACTCGCGGCACGCGGGAACTTCTTTAATGGTCGCCTTATCGATAAGCCAGAGTTTGAACCGTTTGCCGCCTGGACATGGCCATCGAGGAGCCTTTCGATTTCCCCATCAATTACGCTTTTCCGTCTTGGTTCCGTCTCAAAAAGCACATTTGGCGCGAGTTCCTCTCTGAAGTTGCTTCTACTTTTTTGTTCCTTGTGAGTTGATGTTTATGCAAAAGATGAACTCCGGTCACAGGAACAGCTTGAAAAAAGAAATATCCGTGGAAAGCGTTCATTTTCAACTTTCCTTGTCATTTCTTAAAGCTGAGAAAGAAATATAAATTATACGTCGTGAAAGTTTTCAAAAGCTTGGATGGGACATGATTCGAAGCCTCCTAATTTCGATACAGAAAATGCATTTACGTTATTGCCTTCCAGTCCATTTTTTACATTTTTGAACGAGCCAAAAGTTGTTCATCTTCGAACCAATTATCGAGTTCCGTTCGGTTATGAATTAATTTTTTTGAAAAAGTTTAGCTGATCGGAATCGGCTGCGTTATCCAGTTCAAAACCTCCAACGGACAGTTTGACTCGTTCCTTAGTTTGAACCTATGCTGGGGCTTCGCCGTCATGTTCGGCGCCGGTCTGGGCGTCGGCACTTCAGGTCGCGTTTGGACTGGCTCAAGAGATCTCTAAGGATGGTTTCTCAGGTGGCCACATCAACCCGGCGATAACATTTGCGCAATTTTTCCTCGGCAGAAAAACTTTGCTCCAATTGATAGTCTACAGCTGTGCTCAGGTCATCGGTGCGTTCTTGGGGACCGCCCTGGCTTATGCTGATTATCAAGGTTTCTTTCACGATTGATCGAGGAAGATAATAAGAAACTTTAGGAGCTTTTGATAAGTTCGACGGCGGCCATCGTGTGGCTGGGGGTCCCAACGGATCCCTCTGCTTTTTGGTCACTTGTCCAGCCGACTATGAAAATAAATTCCAAGGACTTCTTGACCAGGTTCTTGAAATGGAGAATATTTTCACATTACCTTGTAGAAATAGTGGAAAGTTCAGAGTAATTTTGAAATGCTTACTTAGGGACCGCAAGCCATTTCTTCAGAACGATTCAAAAAATATGTTTTTTACATTGTTCGATAGAGGAGAATGTCCATTTTCATAATCCGTTTAAGTTTTTGAAAAAAGCTCCACTAAGAAAAAAGTTATGGCCAAAAAACGAGCGCGCGCGGCGTACAACTGGAGGCAAAATCTCACGGTTTACCCGCCGCCGCACGCTTTCTTTTTAAATGTTTTTGCGCGTTTCTGGACCGTTTTTAAATCGGTTTTCTGTTCTGAGAGGTTGTCCGAACTGAGCCTCATGTTTTGGTATGAATCTTTTGTACAATCCTCATAAGAATTTTTTTGATAAAATATCAAAAAAACTACTTAGAAAAAAAGGTCAGAAGGAATTTTTCAGCTTATTTTTTTCTTTTTCTCTACTCAGAAAAAAATTATTATCATTCGATTTGGAAAAAAAGAAAAAAAATGAAAAAAATAATGTTAATTCGAAATAAAACAGGAAAAAAAGTGCAATTTGACTCCGAAAACCGGCTCCTGCGACATTTAAAAGGGCGCATCGGTGTGTTTGACGCAAACACTGCTACGGACACTTGCACGAAATCTTCCGAAATTTCAAAAAAAATTGCTATTTTTTCGAGGTTTTCAAAGCCGTTATTTTTTTCGCGTCGATCGATTTTTTTCATAATTTTTTCATTGGTAGAGTTTTGAACGCTTAATAACATAATCAAAAGAATAGACGCGATCCCAATCTCTCATTCGTCAACGAGGCAGGCGAAAAAAAGGAGGTTTTTGGTAAATCTCAAATATAATTTGATTCGCTGTCCCAATAATTATTTTTCATTTTGAATTTTTTTGTTTGTGAGCACATTGTGAGTTTTTAAATCAAATAAAAAGTATACCTTGTCGCTGAAATTTTTTTCGCATTTCAGTTTCAAAGTTTGGTGTCACTTTACAAGCTTTTAATATTTTTTTCGCGTCGGTAGATTTTTTCATTTTTCACTCAAAAAAATAAAGAAAGTGTTAATGTATAACTAACTCAAAGTTCGGAAGCGTTCCTCACTTGGTTTTCTGAAACGCGACGATTTTTGTGAAACTTGTCAGTTTTTTTCGTGTTAAATCTTACTTTTTTTCGCTTATTTTTTTGAAAAAAATACATAGTTTTTTTAAAATATTCAGTCTTGTAGAGCGTTGTCGATTACATAGATTAACAGAAACAGTTCATTTTTTTAAAATGGGACTTTAGCTAGTATAAACGCCTCAAAAACAGTTTTTTTGCAACAAAAAAATCGTCATTTTGGTGGCGTGAAGGGGCGGGGCTTTGCGCCCCCTATGCTTACTGAACAACTTTTTTATTTGCTAAATATACACGCTCTTGTTTTTAAAATTTTGTTTGTTTTGAAACGAGCTAGAATAGCAAATAATGCAAAATCTGCACCAAAATGAGCAAAAGCGAGAGATCGGCGGTGGTTGAGAGTAACTAGAGAAGTGGCAACATTCGCTTTCTCCGTCGTCTCTTCGAAATCACTGGTCTTTCGCTGTCACTCATTTAAGCTTTCAATTTTTAATACTTTCATCTAAATGAAAGGGATGGTCAACTTTGAAGGTTGATTTTGATTTAGCCTTACTACATTCACGAAATTTTTTAAAATTTGAAAAATTTTTATTCAAAAATAGCCTTCAGAATAAAAATAGTTAAAACGCATTTATGGAATAAACAGTGAAATATTCATGTAATTCGATTTTTTGAAGGTTATTGGAACTGGGGTCTTAACTGCGACGATGGCCAGTGCCATGGATTCAGTCAACAGAGTCCCAATCTTCTTGCACCCCATGTTTGGCGCTTTTGTCGTGAGTTTTGCTGCTCCAAAGGTCATTTTCCACTGACGAAGCTCAGGTGATGATGATTGGGATGTCGTTTGGAATGAACGACGGCTATCCTATCAACCCGGCTCGTGATTTTGGAGCGAGGCTTTTCGCTTTGTGCATTTATGGGCCGGACGCTTTCTCGTATGATCTCCACAGGTCTTGAAAAATATTGTTTGAATCTTTTAGAGATCGCGACTACTGGTTCTGGGTTCCTATTGTCGGTCCTCTGACTGGAGCAATCGTCGGCGCCGCTGTGTACAATTTCCTCTTCGACTACCACAAACCATTACCTGAAACTGTATCAAATACGAAGAAAATTGATTTTCAATCATATGAAAGCGATTTCCCTGTATAATTGTTCATATCTTGAATTTTTTTTTCAAATACTTGTCTTCTTGAAAGCAAAACAACAAACATAATAAGGTTTATTTTTCTTAATTTGAGAATAAAGTTTTGATTTTACGTAGTTTCATTGGGAAAATACATTATGATGTTTCTGCGCTTAATTTTACAAGGCAAGTGCTTGTCAATTTTTTTTTTCTTTGAAGTGGCGTACGGTTACCTGGAGCAGTTCAAAGCGCTCCCCGGTGTGTGCATGACGTCCTTTCTTGGCATTTTCCAAGTCTAATCAGTTTGAACTTTTCAATTATAATTTTTTCTCCTGTCGCATTTCTTGTCTTTTTCAAGAAAAGAAGATTCAACTAGTTGAGGGCTTACTTGAGGTTACTTGAAAACATTGGATCGATAATTTTGCTTGTTACAAAACAAATAATTCTTTGAAAGTGGCTTTGAATTTTTACATATTTCTGTTTTTCGAATATAATAAATGTAGTGCATTTTCAGAAACATGAATGAGCCGAGATATGATACTTGGAGACAGCAACAGTCATATGGACCACCTCCGCCAGCGGGTACGTTCATTTTAAAGATTTTTCTATGACCTTTGCTTCTTTTCGATTTTTTCAAAGTTTTTCCTAACTTCACAAACTTATTTTAGATCCAGATTTGCGTACCGCTATCGAACGATTAGCGTCGTTTGTAGCAAAAAATGGTCCTCAATTTGAGGCGATGACGATGGAAAAGCAACAAAATAACCCGAAATTCGCATTTCTTTTTAGCGGCCACCCGTTCTTCGAATACTACCGTTTTTGCGTTAGTATGAATTTATCGAATGGCGGTAGGTGATTCAAAAAATTGTAATATGAACTTGAATTTCAGGATTCAATCCAAATTTCAATCCCGCCCAACAGCAGCAGCCACAACAACAGTACGATTACGGGGCCTATAATGAGCCTCAGGCTTCCTATCAGCCGGAGCCGATGAACGAAATGGGGAATCCTCAAATACAAGCCCTTGAAGCTCAGATTGAAGCGGCACGACAGAAAATCGCCGATAGTGAGAACAATTTAGCCCTCCAGAAAGAGGCCATCCCAAAAATGAAAGAGGTTTTTGCTTTTTTGATTAGCTTTTCTGAAGTGAATTCGGTTTCAGATGCAATTCCGAGCAGCAGTGGCGGACGCAGAGACGAAAAAAGTGGAGAAAATCCTTCACGACGTGAATTTGGACGTCGCTGAACTGGCGCATAATCTCGCGCAAATGGACAGCGCCAAGTGCTCCAAGGACATCGTTAACGTGCGTGTACACCTCCTTTTTGAAAAATAGTTCAATAATAACATTTTTTTCGAATTTTTCACAATTTTAATTTGTGGCCTAGTAACTTTTCTAAAGCTTGAAAGCTTCTAAACAAGTCTCTGAAAATATGCAAAAAGCTTTTTTTCCTTTTTCTTGTAAGTTCTCTTGTAATTTCTTCTTACCAATTTCCAATTTCTCAGGAAAGGATTGTTCCAACAAAAAAGCGAAAAAACGCCGCGGAAAGAATTTTTGAAGGCCTATTGTGTAGTTCAAAATAAATATTTGTTTGTATTGTTTTAAATTTTTCAAAATTACCGCAAAAAAATTGATTTTTTTATAAATTGGAACATTTCAGGTGTGCAAAAAGTGGATTTTCGATTATTGTCAAACAGATCAACTGCGTGAAGCTATTTTGCTATATCTTCTTCATAGGTTCGAATTTTTCTTATTTCATTCATTAAACCCATTCAATGTGTCAGAATAAAGGACTCGGCTGCAACGGACAATTTCCGGCTTCACATTTTGTATTTGATCAACGATTGGGCTCATCATTGGTGAATTCAGAGACATTTTAGACAATCTTGATGCTTTTTTTAGTCAGCGGAAGAAATTGGATGCGATTTCTCAAATGCTATCTCGCTATGTACCTCAAATGTATGCATTCACGTTTGAAAACACGCAAACGCCGGGAATCGTCCAGAAAATGGAGAAGCTTCTCGGCGTCTGGGAGGGCAGCGCCTATTTTTCCGATCATTGCTTCAAGGTGATCTTTTCTCTAGAAGCATTCATAAAGGTGCTATTTTAGGTTTTTAAAGAGAAAATAAAAAAATTATAACTTTGTTTTTGATTGAGGGACTTTGAAATTTCTTTTGATATTTTTTGATAGTTCTTTTCATAGTAATTTTATATATGTTGAAGAAAAACGAATAAAATTATAAAAACCAAATAATTCAGCAACTACGAAGAACAGCGAATATTTGTAGCTCAGTGAGAACGACTGAAGCCGCTGAATATGCACAGGTATGAGGATAAAAAACAAAAGTTGTAATAATTGTTGAGTAAAAAGTTTCATCAAACAAATTATCTCGAAGTCTGCTTCCAATGTGAGATTTGTTTTTTTTTTCCAGATATCCATGAAAATCGACGCCACTTTGCAACAGACGTATGACGGTTATGAAGCGCAGCACAACGCCTACGCCAATCATTTTCGGCAACAAATTCTGCTTTTCGAACGGGAGCTCGAGAATTTGAAACAGCGTGCGAAATAATTTTCAGTGGTCGCAGTTGGGATGATTTTCCTTTTTCTGCCGTATTCCTTCTTATAATCGGTTGAATTCTTTAGAGGAAAAAACGCAGAAAGCCCGCGCTTTACCTCTGAAAACCATTGAAATCTATAAAGAAAAATTTATATCCTGTTTTTTTGACAAAAATTCGGTATCGGCGCGCTCCCCAAGCTTTGCCATTTCAAACGCGACCAAACCCTTTCCTAATTGATTAAAATAGTGGATTTTTGATTTAATATTTTCCAGCCCCTGAACGGTACCCGCAGCCGCCGACTCCTCTAATGGCCCAGAACATCGCGCCGCCGCCTTTAATGAACACCGGCCGACGGTCGCGCTTCGACCAGACTTTTGCCGGTTTCCGCCGTCTGGGCTTCTTAATGTGTGTCTGTAGATCGTTCAGATACTTGGAGGAACACCGAGCAGCGGATTCCGCCGCCTCAAGCCAAACCGTCCGGGATGGGCTTCTTCCCCGCGCCGACCAACCAGAAAAATATCTGGAAACCAGCCGGTTTTCTATTTTGTAAACAGATTCTTCAGAAAATGGAAATTAGGGAAAATTTTAATTTGTTTACTTTTTTCTTGGATTTTCGCTTTTTCAGTTCGGCCACCGGATGGCGACGACATCGATGGTCATCCCTTCGATGAGAAGGACCTCGTCCCGCGAAAGTCCTATATGGAACTGCCGGCCGGAGTCATGGTCCCACTCATCCCTCCTGAGACTTTTTCGGTGAATAGGATACTCTCTATCGAAATATTGTCCTGCGCTTGAAATAGTCACGTTTTTAAAACACAGCAGACAAAGAGCTTCCGTAAAAGAATACTTTTCGCGCACTTCGAGACGCTTCAAAAAGAGCAGAAAATATTTGAGAATAAAAATCGACCGAAGGTTCGAAATCAGTGGGGAAATTTTCATTGAGCAAAGTTACTTCAATTCAGAAGTCCCAATGGTTCTTCTGTTACTGAAATGAATAAAGTATCAATTTTCAACTTCTTCATCTTTTTCTTTCAGTATGATGCTCTGATCGCATCGAAAATCGAGATGCCTCCCATCGTACCGCCGTCGCAACGTCTTCTCGCCGCACAGGACGCCTTCTACGCCGCCCTCGCTGCTGACGCCGGAGTCGACTTCACAGAAGAGACTGCGTTTGTTCTTCCACCCCTTCATCAGATAAATTTTCGCTTTCCTCAGAACGGATGACTGGGAGCTAACGAATGGTTACCCCACAGAGTTCCTTGAGAAAAAGGCAGCTTTGAAGAGGGCTTTGATTGAAAAGTTGACGGTAATACTAGCACTTCGGATAGTTGGTAGGGTTGTTTTTCAGGCCGAGGGAACTTCTCTTGAGGACATGATCAAAAACGTTCGTGATGAGGAGTACCTGAAGCTGGAGGCGGAAGACATTGCGAAACAGGAGGCCGAGGAGATCGAGGCGCTGAAAAAGGAGTGCGACGATTATTATGCCTCGGAGACCAACGGAGGCGACATTCCGAACCAGATGGGCAACAACAACGACAGAAGATCCCGGTCGCTGAGCCGCGGCAGCTTGAACAGCACGCCGCCGAGGAGGAACAAGAACCGGTCGTCTTCTGGGTCTTCGTCGTCGTCGACCTCCAGAAGCCCCCGAAGGAGCAGAAGACGTCGCTCGTCCTCTTCTTCCTCCTCTTCCTCTTCTTCTGGATCCTCTTCGCGTTCATCTTCCTCGTCGTCGTCGTCGTCTTCCTCATCTGGCGGAAAAAGGTGGACAACTTAGAAAAACAGACGCGATAAGCTTGAACAAATTTGCTACCCTACTGAATTTCTGATATCTGTCGCCAACTGGATCAAAATTATGAAAATTCGCAAGCTGAATGTGAAAAAAGCTTTATTAAAAACGTCTAGAAACGTTGAAGAAATTAGACAGAAGATAACTTTCGCCCAAATGTTTTTGTACTTAATAACAGATTCTGTAGTTTTTGAATAGTTCCTATCGTTTATAAAAAAATAAAGAAAGTTTTTATAAAATTGTAACTTATGAAATCTGATACATGAATACTTTCTATAGTTCCAAAAAGGGCAAAAAAATAATCAAAATATATATTGATATAAATTTTTTTGTCAGAAGATGATCCAAAAGTTTAAGATCGCGTTCAAACTCGAGATCGCCTTCACGATCAAAGTTCGTTAGACGATCTCCATCACCTCCTTCTCAAGCTTCTTTGTGAGACCGACCCCAAAATTTAAGTTATAACTTTTTGATCAAAGCGCGACGTCATCGTCTTCGAATTTCCGTGCGCCGGTTCCTCCACTTTCCAGTGAGAACAAAGGCGCGATGCTGATGCAGAAGATGGGTTGGAGCGGAAAGGGCTTGGGTCTCAACGAAACTGTGAGAAAATCCAAATCTTTCATGGGTTATTCAACTGAATCATGCAGGGTATCGTGAATCCGGTGGAAGGCGGAGAAGTTCGTGACAAGATGGAACAGTTCCGAGGCCTCGGCAGCCAATTAGATCCCTATGAAGCTTTTCGGTATGATAATAATAATGAGCTTCCGGAAATACCCAAACTGCTTTTTTTAAATGCTTATATTCTTATTTTAAATTTTATTTTCGACTTGAAAAAATTTTGTCGACTCAAAAGTTTTTATTTCAGAAAACAAAGATCGGGATCTTATCGAGAAAAGGCGTACACCAAGTTCGGTTCGAAACACGAAGATTGATCAACTTTGTTATTTATTTTTAATTTCTTATTTTTCTCAATTATTTCTCGGTTGTTGAATGTTTTCTCAATTGAATCATTTTTAAATGCGGGTTTTTTTCGTTATTTTCCTTTCTTCCGATTGATCTTTATGTGCCCTTTTTCCCAGCTGTTCCATTTTTTTGTTTTAAAAGGACCTTTTGACATTTTGAGCCCATCTAGGAGAGCTTTTTAGTCGCTTTATATCGTTAAATGAATTATTCAATAATTTTTTTGCTGTGTTTTTCTGTTTTTCCGCTTCGATTTGCGTAATTTGAGCGCTTTGATATATTTTTTTATAAGTTTGAAAATCCTCAACTGCCGTTTGAAGTTAAATTGAAAAGTTTTTCGTCGTGAAAGGGTTCGGAAATGTGTTTATGTCACTCCAAACACGTTATTCGTTTTTATTTTACAGATGAATTTACGGATTTTCGTGTTAGGACTGTTATTTCGGTTCTCGCTGGCAATCTTCGAAGATCAAGCCGGAAAGTTTGATTGGTATGGAATAATTATGGCAGAATATTTGTGTGAGAAAAAAAAATTTGCAGGAGAAAACAGTTTGTTGGATGTCCCACGAGCGTCCGGTTTGATAGAGCTGAAAGGTTTTTATTTTTTTCAATTTATAAGAAGAAAAAAACGATTATTAGGGGCAGCGATCGTCTTATTCTCACGACTCGTGAGGATCTGATCGCCTCGTTGTCGTTAAACACCGGAGAAATCGGTTTGTTTTTGAAACAGCTGTTTTAGAAATTTCTGTAGAGCTCAAAAGCACAGGAAATAGTTGAAGTTCATTGAGAATAAAAAAACAATCAGAAGCTTTCAAATTTTTAATGAAGGGAAAAAAAATAATTAGGTATTTATTTCAAATTAGCTTTAAAAGCAACTACTGTCTAATTATTAAGCATGGCGGAAATTAATGGAAAAACGCGACGAATGGTCGTCAAATGCCCCCATTGCAACGGCTGTCGATGAAGATAGTTCGTTTTTCGTCTCTCAGTTTTTTTTGAATTTAAAAACGCAACTGATAACAAGTTTCAGATATTTATTCGGTTGTGGACAGCGGCCGGATTTTGCGCGTTTGGAGAAAAGCGGATAGCGCCCTGGTCTGGCAGAAGGTTTTGAGCGACGAGCCCAGCAAAACGTTTGATTTGTTCATAGTGAAGAACAAGAAACGTTGTTTCAGAGCCGAGATCGCGTTGTTCGATAATACTGTTTTCGCGGCGGTTGACTCGAAAATCGGAGCATTCAGCCTGGCTGGAGATGAGAAATACGCGATTCGACTCAGTGGCGCCGTGTGAGAGATTGGCCTGCTTCCGATTATATCTCCCAATTTTGTGGACTATATCGCAGCGAAAGTAACGCTATACTGCGGGGAGCCGCGAGCGATATCGCTCGCCTCTCGCTGCGACCTCGCAAACGTCTTGCGCTATATCGCTCTCTGAAAAATTTTTCTTCAAACATGTTTTTTTCTTGAATTTGATTGATTTCATCATAAAAGTCAAAAATGAAGCAAAAAAAATGTTTTTCAAATTTCAAATTTTTAAGAGGGAGCGATATGGCAGCGAGACTTTGACGAGGTCGCAGCGACATGTTGACGAGATCGCAGCGAAGCCTTGGCTATATCGCGTGCGGCCCGCTGCGATATCGGCAATTATGTTGGGTGTAGTCTCTTCTGATTTTTGTCAAGTCGTCGCTCAAGCTCCGCCCCCTAATGGCGCGGTTAACCAATCAGAGAGCAAGCCAACTTCAGAGCTTTTTTCCAATGACGTCATTTTACTTGACATTCATAATATGAACAGACTATCAGCAAAAAGAAAAAGAATATGGGTGCTCTGTGTTGTGAAAAGGTTTTTTTCAAAAAAAAAAAGGTTTCTGGAAAGCGAAGAATAAATGAGATCCTGGTTATACTACGCGATTGATGATTTGAAAAAAAGGGCAAAAAATCTCTCAAGAGAAGATCTTTTGAGTGAAAAGTATATTTGTGTTGTTCAGGAAATGGACACGTTTCCTGAAGTCGGGCGGTCGCCTGTTCCACGTGAAGCTGATCGACACGCAGTTGACAGCTCGGGAATTGAGTGCCAAAGACAGTGATCCGGCTCCCGGCGTCAAGAGCGTCACCTTCACCCGATTCAATGTCGAGAAGTATGTAAAATATGTTGATTACAAACGAAATTTTGTCATGATTACGATTTGTGAAGACCGGAAAATGAATTCAAATAGATCGGAACTCAATGAAAAAATCGTATACGATTTCAGGAACGAAAAAAGTAGAATTATGCTGGAATATATTTCAAGGATGTTTTTGTGGCTGCTTATATTTCTGAGCTTTTCCATTTCGGATCCTAGCTGATTTTGGGAAATTTAAGATGCACGATCGCCGGTAGCCTCGTTTTGTGTGCGCACAGCGACACTCTCGTCAGCATCGATGTCTCAAAGGCTTTGCTCGTCGAGGAGGAGAAGAACACGGCTGTGACCATCAGGTATCCCCCTTTTTCCATTTCAAATCTCAAGGAAACACGAATTTGAAGAGAAATCACGGGCTCGGCCACCGGCTTTGCAGCGATCCGTTCTCCGTCTTCCCTGAAAGTCTTCAAAGGCCTCACCGAGTCCTTCACTATCAATGGAGAGTTCACCGCGGCGAATTTCGTTGATGAAAAATATTTGGTGGCTGTCTCGTCTTCTGACATCGTTGCTTATGAGCTGGCCAACGGCAAGGAGATTTTCCAGGTGCGTAAAGAAAAAAGAAGTTTTCAAAGGGGTGCACTCCGGTAGTCATGTGAGGATTTCACTGAAAAGGCGTTTTTTATTCGGAATATATGGGTTTCCAGTTTCGTGGGCAAGGTTTTCGGTGAAGGATATAGAGAATTTTCAGACTTTTTAAAAATTGGAACTTAAAATTGAGTGTTTTGTCATACTTACAACCATTCTTAGTTAAATTAAATGGCAGATCTCGTTTTGCATAAAATTAAATCATCTTTCTGTGAATAATTTGTCAAGCTGTACCCATGTGCGTCATTCTCAGGTGAAACATGCGCGAGAAGCGACGAAATCGCTGATCAAGGCTCTGTGGGCGGCAAAAACGTCCAACGACTGGGAGGTCGTCCTCGTCGGCCACGACTGTCTCGTTGAATACGTCGTCGTCGAGCCGTCGAAGAACCTGGCCAGCGTCGAGTGGACCAGTGAAGGTTCGTAGACGCTCGAAAAGAAAGCTGAAGCTGTGTACTCCAGAAGCCCTTGCCCGCATCGCAACTGTTGAAATGGTCGACCTGCCACTTTCTGAAAGCCAGCAAATGATTGAAGACGAGTTCGAAGGAGGAAAAGGTCTGGAAAGTCTCCCACAAATTTCAATTATCTTTAATTTTGTTCAGGAGACTTGTTCTCTGCGTTCTTCCACCGAATCGTGACGCAAATCGGCCAGCTTCGCAAATGGGCGCTGCGAAGCGTGCGGCACATCTTCACGCTCGGAAGCAGGCTCTCTAGCCGCGCCAACGGCTTCTCCGACATCATCAACGCCGTCCGATCCGCCTCTTCCTCGTTTTTTCCACAACGGATTTAGTTACAACTTGGCAGAGTTCAGAGACGGCGACAACACATTTGAACGCGACTATTTCAACCTCCGTAAAGTGATCGTCGTGTCAACGTTTGACGGCGTCGTTTTCGGTATCGACAGTGCGACTGGCGCGATCCTCTGGCGATTCTACCTCGGCCAATCATTTTCGCCACTCAAATCTCAGTTGGGAGACTTTCAGGTGCTTATCCAAAGCGATTCTCATAAATATTATTCCACAAGAGTAAAGCCCAGAGAAAAAAAAGGTTGCATGAAAATCTAAAAATTCGTAAAGAAAATTGAGAAAACACGGGAGCTGAAAGAAGTTCCGAAAAAGTTGGAAATTACTTTTTTAATAACTTCTCTGTACCTTCTCAAAGAAATTGTTCAGGGCCCTGGATTGTTTGATCTTTTTTTTTTTTGCTTGACTCAGAATTTTCAGGTCCCTTTGATGGTGCAACGTACCACCGCCCATTATCAACTTCATGGTCAAGCGGCTGTTGTTTTCCGGAATTCGGTTAATAATCAACTCTGCTCATGTTTCAATCGAAAACATATTCAGGTCAATTCCAAGGGAGTAATTGTCATGTTCAATCCGATTGACGGTAAAATTGTGAGCAGGAAGGAGTTAGATGGCTCCATCAAAAGGTTTCTAAAAATCGAAGATTTAAATTTAAAAACAATTAACTTCACAGAGTTTCACTCTTGCCGTACCTGACCAATGATCACATTCATCCTCTGCTTGTTGTCACTAAAAGAAAACAAGGTATTTTTATATATTAATATATCAATGATTTTTGTTGTTTTAGCTGGAATATGTCCCCGAGTTGGCCGCTGAAGTTTTGTCCAAGGCGGCTCCTCTTTACGTTCTTGACGTCTCTGTTGAAGAAAATATCGTCAAGGGATTGAAGGTTCTGTGAAAAAAAACTGTATAAAAATCATAAGATCCTATAGAATAAGAATAAAATCAGAAAATAGTGATGGAATGCCGAACTTTCAAGGCAGCGTCGTAAGGGATTGAAAAAATGTTCTCTTCAGGTCAATCTGTTGAAACGTCACCTGTCCACTACTTGGAGCGGAAGCATTGGCCTCACGTCAGACGACAAAATCATTGCCGTCAAAGGCAAACCGTTCCAACGTAGGCTCATCATTTGAAAACAAAAAAACAAGCGAAGATTCCAGAAAAAGTTCATTCCCAGGGTCGCGTCGTGATTGACCGAACCGTTCAGTACAAGTACGTCAACCCCAACTTGGTAAGATTGCTACTTCAAAATCAATCGGCGTGAGCTAATCGGTGGCTGTTTATTAGCTAAAAGGTAATGAAGATATCATAGAGATGGTACCTGGATATATATATCCTGCCTGATAGTCCGACGCAAGCTACCGGGAAGCTATGATCGTCAGCTAATAAACGAACCCCGATAAACTTACGCCGATAGACTTTTGATTGAAAACTTTGGAAGAAAAAAGACATTTATAAATTTTTTTTTTGCATTTTTAAAGAACCCGAGAGTTGTAAAGTTTCTCTTATTTTTTTAAACATGATTTTAAAATCTTAATAAAAACTGCGAATTCGATCGAAATGTCCTTAAAGTGGTAAACTTCCTTTTTTTCAGGCTGCTGTCGCTGCTTTGGATGAGAAACATCAAACCCTCTCGATTGTACTTCTTGACATTGTTTCTGGACAGATTGTCCACTCGGCGATTGTCCCAAAAGCTGCAGCACCGATTCATCTCGTCCATTCCGAGCATTGGCTTGCAGTACGTTATTTTTCAGATTCTGTTCCGATACAAGGATACCTTCCAAATACTCCTAGAGTATGATATTCGTGATATAGCCGATTCACAGCTGACTTGAGCCAACGAAAAAGGAACTTAAAACTTTCAGTATGCGTATTGGTCGGAAAAGGGTCGACGAACAGAAGTCGGCATCGTCGAGCTGTACGAAGGCGGCGAACAACAGTCGATGGCGGAGACTTTCGATTCGATGGCTCCCACGAAACAAGCGCCAGTCTCCATCGCTCAGAGCTACATATACGCTCAGGGAATCGTAGCGATGTCTGTCACTGAAACTGGTCCGCCTGCTCAAAAGTTTCAGAAACTATTGATCGCTTCATTTTGCAGAACAAGGACTCACAACAAGGTCAATCCTCGTTGGACTGCCTGATGGAGGAGTTCATGAGGTGGAAGTTATACTTTTTGAAAAAATTCAATGTTTCGTTCAGATCTCGCGCAAGATTTTGGATGCGACAAGGCCCTTGGAGTTGACTCAGGAGATGCGTGAAGAGATGATGATTGGATACGTACCGGAGATCATGATTCCCAACGAGGAGATGATCAACTACAACCAGAGCGTTCATCGTGTTCACGGCATCAAAACTGCGTGAGTAATTTAGAAGCTGTCTTCCAATGCTAATATTCTTCGTTCGTTTTCATGAATTAATCATTTCTTTCGTAGACCATCCGGCTTGGAGTCGACTAGTTTGGTGCTGGCCTACGGCACAGACGTGTTCTTCACCCGACTAGCGCCGTCAGGAACTTTCGACATTCTGAAGGACGACTTCGACCACGTGTTCATATCCATCGTCCTTGCCGCCCTGGTCATCGGCTCGTTCGTCTCGAAGCGACTGGCTAGAAGTCACGCCCTTAACGCTCAGTGGGCTTAAAAAGACTTTCTTGGTCTCACTATCACGGGTCAAGTTCTAGAAACTTTCCAAAATGTGTCCTCTTCATTTTGATACTTTAAGCTTTGTTCTCCGATGAACTTTTTTTCTGGTTAGGCCTTTATTTTATCAACCTGTCTAATTTAATAAACGATAGCTCAACAATAATCTATGAGTCATGCCAGGATACTTTTTTTTTCGAATTTCTAAAGCTACTTTACCAAGCGTATATGCTCAAGCTTGGCCTATCAAGCCATTCCTCCTGTTTTAAAGAACTCTGGTCGTGTGCTAGCTTTCACTTCTGTTTTTATAATCATCATTTTAATAATAAATATTTTATTTAATTTGAGATCAAGCTGAGATCATTGAGGCACTTTTAGGATATATTGTTGAGAAAAGACCGGTCGATTTGGGTGAACTTAACGAAACCGTTGAAGCAATCTGACCCGCTATGAGAAAAATTTTTCCAACCGACAAGAGGGAGGTCAAGGTAGCCGCATAATTGACAAATTCAAACTACTTTGAAGTTGTCACTTAAATGATATATGAGCAATACTACCACTTAAAGGATGGAGTTTGAGACAGCGCATTTCAGCTTATGACCAAACACATTTCTTTTAGGTGGGTACTTGGGTTTTTCTTGAGGTAAATTAGGTGACTTGAGCGATAGTTTTGCGACGATTTTCCAACGTGTGCCGCATCAAGGGAGCCGGAGCGCTGATCTTGCGGATGGCGGCGGCGCTGAACGTGGTCGGGCACTGCGACGTCTTGGCGCTCGCCGCTCTGTACTGCTGCTTGTGGTTGAGGGTCGACCGCATGTAGCACGAGTAGTTTCCGCAAGTCATGTTTCCGTCGGTCTGGACGTTGAAAAACGCTCGGAGCGCCTGAAAACAGTTAACCAGAAGGGAAAACAGATTTTTCAGAGATCCTTCTCAATTTAGCCCGAAGCACAAAAATAATAATAATAGAAGCCGGTTACCTTTTTGAATCCAGGCATCCCATAGGCGTAGATCAGTGGATTGAGGGCACATGAGAAATGCGACATGACGACCGTCCAAAGAGTCCAGCGATTGATGGAAAACTGCGGCCAGAAGTAGTCGATGGTGTTGATGACGTACAGCGGGTACCTGACACGGAGAAAATGAGTTTTAAGGGTCAAAAGTTGTTCGAAACCAGCAAATTCCGTAGGAGACGACCAAGATCAACAGGATCCGTATCAGCTTCCGACGGCCTTGCATCCGCTTTTCACGCTCCGATTGTCGTAGAAGGCACTTCACCTTCAGAAGGTATTAAGTTAGACCGGTAATTTATTGATTAAGTTCGAACTGAAAAAGTGATAATAATTTTTTTTTTTCCTATTCTTTTACTAAGTTTTTACGAAAAATACATTCTGTTCAGATTTCGAATGTCAAGTCATCGCTCAAACTCCGCCCCTCATAGTTAGATCAAACCAATCATAGAGCGAGCCATCTAAAGAGCTTTGTTCGGGGCGGAGTTTGTTGCTTTACATTCAAAATCTGAACATACAACTATAGCTATCAGCTGTGAAATAGGAAACTAATAAATTCTCAAACTAGCAGTTATAAAAAACAGATGAGGAAAAATGAACAATTTTCGAACAAGATCTGTGAAATCCTCACCTGTTTCTCCTCCTTGCGGATCCTGCTGTAGATACTGGTGTAGAGGAAGACGATGAGAGCCGTCGGAGTGAGGATCGTACCAAAAAAGATGACGTAGACGAGGTACCGATAGTCGACGACTTTGGTGAAGTGACACTCGCCGTCTCCTTTCGCATCATAAGTTGCCGTGCTGCAAAATGAACATTCGAATGGAATAGCACTTTATGATGCATTCGCCCTTTCCTACGTGAGAAAGTTCAGGGATTTGAAAAAATTAGAAAATTCCACGTCTCCAACCAAAAAGAATTTTTTTTAATAAAAAAAACCTCTTTGGTGCAAAAGACCAAACTTCAAAACGGGAAAAAAAGACCTCTGGAATCAAAGGAACTCGAAAAAAGACCAACAATCGCGATAAAACTAATTAATTCACTTCCCTCCGCTGCCAACTTCATAAATCTCAGAAAAATGCAAGCGGAGAATAAAAAATGATTGGGAAAACCACGTGAGCGCTAGTAGTAAACATATAAAACAACAAACTAATGCGTGAGTGAGAAAATGGAGAATGGGAAGGCAAGAGGTTTTCTGTTTTCCCTTGAAACGGGTTTGTAGCCTAAGTAGCACAGACCTTTTTTGTAGTTAGCTTTGAAAAAAATTTTGTTGATCACAAAAAACACCAGATTTTTAGTTAATAGACTAGCTTTTAAAATCAAGTAGATTTTTGGTATCACATTTGTTTTTTTTTTACTAACAGATCTCTCGATTCAAAGCTTGCTCAGACTTAATTCGAGCTTTTTAATTGTAGAAAGATAGCTGTAAATAAATCAACGACAGAAATCCGGTTAGAGCTATGAAAAAAAAAAGAAAAAAAGATCAATCGATTAAAAATTGCACAAATGTGCTCTACGGGAAAGAGGTTTTTTTTGTTGAGTTCGTTCATTATTGAGCTCTCCACATAAAAAAACGAACTCGGCGAAGCCAAACGCGTTGAAGAGCGGAAGGATGGCGATGAGGGAGCCGAAGAACCAGGAAGCGGCCAGCAGCCAAACCGCCTTGCTACGTCTGCAAAGGAATCATTGTAGGTCTGAAGAGTACCTTGGGCCGGAAATTCGTCCCTCAAAGCAGAATTAGATGCCGAGTCTAGCGGTCAGGACTGAGCAAAAAACGAGGCGTCGCACCCGAAATAGAAAAAAAGAATCGAGTGTTCTAATGTGATTCCCATCAGATTCTTGACCGAAAAGTCTCGAAAAAGCTCGATGACGCTCTTATTCCTTCCACTTTCATTGAAGATTACAAAACGCGAAAAAAAAAAATAAATCCATATACTTGTAAAAAAGAATAAATGGCCGTAGAGAAGTTCCTAATCATTCAATACTTTCTCGTGAAAAAAATTCAAAATTCTAGTGAATTTCGGATGCTTTTTAAACCGAAATTTTTCATTTTTCATTTTTGTGCCTGAGGCGATAAAAAAATTACTACATTTGTTCGTATGGAATTCGATTGAAGAAAAAAATATTTAAAAAAACAAATTCGATTTCAAAATAAATCAAATTATTGATTAATATTTTTAGGTCAGAGCGAGCAATCACCCAATAAAAACAAAGAAACTCAGCCGCAAAAATGTTCAAACTGGGTAGAAAAGAAAAAAAACGTTTTCTCTCATAATTTTGATACTTTTGAAGCTTTTTTGCGATCAACCATAGAAGGTCAGGCAAAAATTGATTCTTCTATTAACTATTTTCCGCGAAAATGCGCAATTTTGTTTTAAAACATCACTGATGGAATTTTCGAAAAACTTGATATTTCAAGCTTGCGTTGGAACAATATATTCTCGCCCCTTCTGTTGAACCGTGGAAAGTTGTTTGAAAATTTGATTCCACCGACGTTCAGTTTTTGTTTCACAATTCCCCTCAGAATCCTAAGATATCAATAGGGATCCTGATTCATCCACTTCATATCCAATCAGAAATATCACGGGACGCACGGGATGCGGCGGAAATGTCGCATAGGTTGATGAATCGCGGCTAATTGGACCTTTCCGGACCTGCCACAATCGGTTTAAACTCGAAACCCGTCGCGCAGTGAGCTCAAAACTACTATTTTCACAACAAGTTTCTTGCAAACCTAGGTGTCACGAGAAATTTCTGGAATTTAGCTAGAAATGTTTAATCTATTATATAAAATTATGAAAGCCGAATGAACGTGAAACGACTTCTATTTTTTCGAGAATAAAGTATTGACGTTTCTGTGAAATAAACTAGCACTTTGAACGTGATGTTCTCAAAAAAAAAGAGCATGAAAACTTTCAAGGTAAAATTTCAGAAAATTTTCGAAAATAGCAAGGTTCTTTGAACTACCTTTTTCTGAACGAGACATTAAAACCCTAGAAAAACAAAAAATTCCCTCTTGCTTAATTTGAGTGCATAAAATCTGATTGAGACAACGTGGAAGAGCCCGAAAAATCAAATAAACGTAGGAAAATTGCGTTTTCGCCAGACGGGCCATGCCGACCCAAAAAAGGAACAAAAAACAAGAGAAAATACTAGATTAATTACTCTTCTTTTTTTCGTGTTGGATTGTACGAAATTCAATGGATTTCCTTACGGGATATTCCGCAGTCGCACTACAAACGAGAACAAAAGAAAGGAATTTTGGACTTTCTGTTCCGAAAAAGAAAAAAACGCAGGAAATTGTCGGTGAATGGGAAAGTTACTTTTCAAAAATCCCTAATAACTGTTCCTTTAATAAAAAAATAGTTGATACATCTAAGAAATCGGTGAGTTGCTCATAACACCTCCTGACAAGATTTAAGAAATAGTGTTCAGAAAGAAGAGCTCTCGCTAATCGGCAGTTTTTTGTGTCTGAAGCCGTCAAAAAGACGCGGTACGAAAATAGTTACGAAAAGCTTTTTCTGTCACTTTGAAGCTTTCTAGGAAAAATTTTATAACTAAACTGCATAATGAATATTTTTTGCTGACCATACGCGAAAATAAAGAGCGGGGATTTTTGAAAAGCAATTTTCATAGTCACAGAAATTCATTGAATTTCCAAATTGAATATAATCAATATTGAAACTTTCTCCACACATAAATAACAAAATAAGAAAATAACCTTGACCGAAAAATCTGATCTCGGCAGCAAATTGTCGTGTATTTGTCGATGGCGATGGCCAACATGTGGAAGGTGCTGATTGTGCACAAAATGCACAGGATCAGGTGGACGAAAAGACATCCGTAGAAGGAGTGAGGCCGTCGCGTCAGCACCGAGAGAACCGTCAGGGGAATGCCGAGAGCTCCTCAAAAATAAATTGCTGTTTTGGAATAGTTTCAATTGTATTTCAAAAATTTTGACGTTATCAAATGGTCGGAACGAAGGATTTATCGAATTTAAGTTGAGATCATTTTAGAAATACTTTGAGTAATACTTGAAAATGGGCTTTTCTTATATTCAATTGTAAAGGTGCGTTTTGGAAGTTTATATTAAAAAAAACTTCAACTAGTGATCATTCCGAAAACAAAAAAATATTGACATTTTGCAAGACCTGGCATTAGGCCAAATACTTCGAAACATCGAAAAAAATTAAAAATGAATATGTGACTATTTACTGTCCTGGAGATTTATTTTTTTAAAAAAAGTACCTTTTTCAAGTTTGAAAGCATCAAGATTTCAAATCGGAAAGAAGTCATGATGATTTTTCAGAATTAAAAAAACTTGATTAAAATAAAAAAATTTCGTCGCGAAGAAATTAATTGAAAGAGGAAAAAAACAAAAAAATCTGTACAGTCTTTATTTTTTTACTCCAATACTTCTTTTATTTGGATCATTTTGCTAGAATGAAAAGTATCCATGTACAAACTGATATCACACAGAACAAGAATAGATGAAAAACGCAAAAACAAAACCTGCGAGAAAATCAGTGAGGGCCAAGGAGAAAATATACGTGTTGGTGACGGTTCGAACATGTTTGGTTCTGAAAAAGAAATGGATAAACAGGAAGGAAGTGTTCTCGGTACCAGAAAGCCCTGCGGCCATATTCGGTACCCATCCTAAAATGTTTTTCCCGCGCTCTTTTTTTTTCAAACACTTCTTCCGATTAATATTATGAGAAACTGCGTCATGTTGTTTTATTAGATTTACTACTGACATTCATTCGTAGGAAAAGAGAAGGAGGAAAGACTAATTAGTTATATAAATTTTTGGCTATAGTCAACAACCTTTTTTTAAATTGAAGTTTCCTTGGGTTTGAGCAAACTATAAATGTATTGAGACATTATTTAAAGTGAAATCCGATTTGAACATTTTTTTATATATATTTATACTTCTCAATTAATTTCGAAGTTACTGGAAGACCTCGTTTCCTCAAAATTGGTTATTGATCCGCTATGGTATGGCCTTTTTTCGAATTGACTGTTTTTCATTTCATTTTTCTCCTCATCCATCACCTTAAATTCATGACTAAAAAGGCCATGTTTTCCTGCAATCCTGTTCATTAATCTACGATTCTTAAGTTCTCTTATTATTTATTTTTTTGCTGAAACATTAAAATTTTCAAATTGTTCAACATAAGCTGGTTTTTTAAATTTTTTCTTCTAAAGATTACCTGGTACGTTCGATTATAGTTAGGCAAAGAGTAAATAGGAAGGAATTAAAAGGTATCAATCGGCAAACACTTCCTATTTTTCGAGAGAAAGTCTCGAAGGTCGCCAGCCTTACAGTGCGGAATTTGAATCGTTATTGGAAAAAAGGAAGTAATGAAAGTTGGAACAGTCACTATCTTCGATCAGCAAATCAAAGCGTGACTCAGAGGGCTTTTAGAATTTTCTCGAGTTCAAAAAGACAAGAGACTTTCAGTTATCACGAGGTCTCTATCTGCCAACTAAAAATGAACCCTGCTGAGAACATCCATTTTTTTCTTAGTTCTCCCCAGACTTGTGCGAGGGTTGGCCCAACCTTAGGGAGGCCTCAAGCAAAAATGACCGACGCGGTCAAAAAAGCTCAAACTTTCTTCAAGTCGAAACTTCAAGGTTATTTTAAGACAAAAGTAACGTTTCTGCACATTTTTCACTCTGAGTTTAACAGAAACTATGAATAAACAAGTAAAAAAAATCACTCGGGGAAAATGTGTATTATAAAACCAAAATATTTCTCGAAGCCCAGCTTGGCCCAAGCCCGCGCTAACTTTTTCTTAAAAATGAGACCCAAAGCCCGGGCCGCACAGCCCACAAGCCTGGATCTCAAACGACTATCCCAAAAACTGTACCTGACGTAAACCCAGAGGACGAGGAGGTTGGAGAAGGAGATGTGGATGGAGAGCAGGAGCTCGGCGATTGCGTAGATCAGCAGTTCGTCCATCCGGACGTCTTCAGCCGCGGCGCAGAAGGTGGCGCCAACTCCCGTTCCGACTCCGCTCACGCTCCTCCTCCCTGCTGCAACTGCTGCCCCTCTCGCTCCGCCTACTTTGTTTTTTTTTCTCACCCAATTTAGTGCCTATCCATATCAGGAATGTCGCTTAAAATAGAACTTTCATTTTATTTTTTTTATTTGATCAAAAAGAAAAAGATTTTCAAGTGGATCGATCTAGAGAAAAATTTTTCCATTAAAAAAAAAACACTTTTATTTTCCTGAAGCTTTACTTTTGCGAAAAAAAAATTCGATTCTTTTTTTTAAAGTATCCATCTAAGGAAAAAAATTCAAGACTGAAATCTAAAAATAAAATTACCTGAAAAAATCCCCCTTTTTATCGCTTCACTGCATATGAGATTGATCTGCCACTCGAAAGGGACCAGAACTGAAAGTAAAAATAAAGTAAAAAAACAAAGAAAAATCGATCAAAATATTGATACTGCGAATAAGCAAAAAAGCGTCTTCCTGGAAAATAAACAAATTAATGATGACCAAAAGCGGAAAAAATACATTTATCAGAAAAAAGAGCTATTTTCAGTTTTTTTTTCCTTATTTCTTTATTTTTCTTTCTGAAGATAGGAAGTGAGAAAGAAAGAAAGTTTTAAGAGAGAGTTCAGTGGCCCAAAGACAAAAAAAAGCATTTCCCTAAAACCCGCGGTGATTTCAGGTTGAGCTTTGTGGGAACATCAAAACAAAATGAATGTTTTCTCCGGTTAGACGTTAGAAAAAAAATTTTAAAAAAAATTCACCTCAAACTTATTAAAACTTCAAAACGGACAAATTTTCTGAGGAACACTCTTAGATGCTGACTTTAACAAGCAATTTTCTTCTTGTGAGAGTGTCTGAGAGCTAAGAATCAAAAGACATCGAGCACTCAGAGCAGAATACTCGACATTCTCGGATAACAGCCAGTCGAAAGTTCACTAGCAAATAAACAAGCATATTTAGTAGGGCTACTTCAGGAAAGCTCAAAAAAAACGTCAATGAGAAAAAGTTTTTTTTTGTTCAACCAAAAAAAGAGTTGGACGGAAATGAGTGTTTCTGCGGGGAAAGGCACGAATCCGCTCTGGCTAACAATGTCAATTAGATGGCCCTCCTTGAATCACGTGTTCATTGGGCAAGGGCTATTGGGGAAAAGTTCGGAAAGATCAATCTTTCTGAACCATTCGAATATTGAGAAAAAAGTCTTAACGAAACTGAAAATAGTTTTGAAAAAGGAAAAAAAGAGAGTTAGAATTATTCTACCAACATAATGCAAAAGTTTAACAGCCAAAAATAACCGTACTCGCGACACGTGCTCGAAGTATGTCATCAAAATTTAAAACGACCGTAAGAGGGTTAAGACAACTAAATATTAGCAGGATCAGAGTTAATTTCGAATTTCGGCGGACTACATCAACGATGGCACAAGCGAGTTACAGTTAATTTGCAAACTTCGATTGAAAGAAAAATGAACGAACGTCTGCAGTAAAAAGCCCTTTCCTGTGGAGCACATTTGTATTATTTTTCGAATCGACCGATTTTTTTTTCTTTTCATGGCTTCATCCAGATTTCTGTCGCTAATTCATTTACAAATATCTTATTATGACAATAAAAAAGCTCGAATTAATTCTTACCAAGCTTTGAACCGCTGTTAGTTGAAACTATACTTCAATACGAGTGGTTAAAATGCTTCCTATGGAACTCTTGTCCCATTAGAAAGTCGCTCTTTTGCTGTTTTCCCTCCGAGATGACACCCTAGAGAAGAAGTTTGGTTCTAGTAAATCAAGCTCCTCGTTCTGCATTGGAACGCATTGAGGATTTATATCGCATAGATTATGAAACATCTTGACTTCTTCCTACCGTTTTTTGTTTGAAGTGTTATTCTCCTTGTTCCTGAGTACCGGTGCTGAAAAAAGCAAATAAATTATGGACTGTTTTCGTAGTAATTTTTTATTCCATTGAGAACAAAGAGATTGGGTTTAGTGGTTTTTTTTTCTCATTACAAAATGAACCTTTGGACCCAAAACTCCGGAAAAATGTCACGTATTCCATCTTGGGAGGCGACGAAAAAGGATATTCTCGAAGATTCCAGAGACTGAGTTAATTTCCACCGTTTCCGGTGGCTCCTTGCGACTCAGTGTCTTTTTTCTGGCCCTTTTTTAATATATAATCGAATCAGTAGTGCATCGGGACACTAAACGCATGACGTCGGGGTTTCTATCATTGATTTTTAATAAATAAATCATTAGCTTATTTGAAAGATTATGGTTTTTGCCACTTCAAAAAGTTTAAATTTCAATTGAATCCTGTTTGTTTTAGTCACTCAGTTTGAAAAAAGGAAACTTCACTAGAATTCCTTTTAAAATTTGAAGCAAAGCGTCCAAAGTCCAGTTAAATGTATCCCGTACGTGCAAAAACCGAAATGAAACTTTTTTTGGAAGAGCCTCGGAAAAATTTTCGGGACGAATTTCAACTAAATTGCTTGCAGGAGAAGAAGGAAAAAAACGATAGGAGGAATTCTACTTTTTCAGAATCGGATATATCTTCCTGTTTCGGTGCAGCTTTTCTCAAGAAAGTTGTTTGCGGGATTCAATTATTTTAATTGCATTTCCCTGCAGCAAAAAAAACTTGATATTCGGAGATGTATAGCTAAAAAGTTCCAAATTTGACAGATAAAAGTTTTTTTGTTTTTGGAATAAAGGTCTGCGAACAGCTTGGAAAAAAAGCCTATTTTTAAAAATTTTTCAAAGAGAAAGTAATTTCTTCTATTTTGAAAAAAAGTTTCTTAACTTTTCACCGATTTGAAGCCAAGTGAAGTGCTAAAAGCTGTTTTTTTGAAAGAAGCCTTCTCAAAGCAGGACTTTTGAACGCATCGGCGAAATTTAAAAAAGAAGTTCTCACAGCGGGAAGAGATTTCCAGTGTTCTTGAAGCTGGGATCTTTGGAGGGTAAATTGATCTTTTCGATTTGTTTTTCGAAAATGAAGAAAAATAGAAGTTAGGAAGAAAAGAGTGGAGCAGAGGTCGTGGGAACCGCTGCTTGAATCCTGATACGTGTGGGCTCGAGTGGCTTGTCGCCCGACTCTCGTCACACGCGAAAACCAAGTGCGGGGCCGGCAAACAAGCCGAGTTTCTCGGTTTTGGGCTGGCGGAGCGCCAAAAAAACTGGTAGGTGAAAAACACAGGCTTTCCGTGTATCTTCGATTTCTATTCCAGCTTTTCCTGGTTGACTAAGAGCAGATAGTTAGCCCGCAAGAGTTAGCTATTCTTCAATAACTATTTTGAAAGCCTTTTTGCTTAGAGACCCGTCTTAATCTCAAGACATACTTGAATGAACTATACCCCTTTCGGTCCAATTCCGGATTGGCAGCTCGATTTCCAGTACTCTGCAACAGATCTGAAAGGTTCAACCTAACCAGAGAATTCGAATAGAGACAAAACCATTACATGAAGAACTTGACGGTGCAAATAAATCCGTGCTCAAAACATCAAGAAAAAAATGTTGACCACTTTATGTTGAAATGTCGGCCCCTCCGAATGAAAGAAAATCTCAAAAAACCTTTTTTCTGGAAGTATTTTTGAGAATGGATGAAGTTTCAGGACTTCCCAGAGAGTCTGTACTGCTTGGAAGGGTTGTTTTTATTTTGTTTTCTCTCCCAGACCTCCTTCTCCGTTTTGAGCCCACATTTGGAAAAAGAGCATCCTTTATCAGAAGTCCACCTGCCAGCCCCTGATAAGCTCTCGAATCTCAAAAATCCTCGCCAATCTCCTTCTCATCCACATTTTCCACCAAAGTGCATACGTCACGGCGTCTCTTTTCACTTCAAAAACCATCACGGTTATCAGAGACGGCGGCGGCGGCGGCGATGGGAGGAGGAGGACGCGCTGTCAGTTTTGGTTTTACTGGCAGACGGCCAGCGGTTTTTCCCGACGACGCCGCGGCTGCAACGGGGTTGGCAGTGGGTTGGTGGAGCCTCGCCCCTGAGGCCCCACGATAAGCGGCCGTCATTCGGGAGACCGTCGTCGGTCGGTTCGGCTGCCATTCGTCCATCATCTACTCCAGCCAAAGTGACTTTGGTGGATGTGCTCTGCAGAAATGATTTTTTGCCATTTCATCAGGCCACATCTCCCGAAATCACCGTCGCTTCTTTTATCCCCAACTACTTTCGGAGCTTCTTCCCATCGTTCTGTAAGAAGAAAAACTGAGAACTTCTCAATACAAAACGCCATTTTCATTTGTTTCTTTCAAATCAAAGGTTCAGAACGCTTTCAAATTTCTCATGAAACCACTTTTTTCAAAATCTACCGAACATTCAAATCATATTTTTTTTTCAAAAAGTCCAGGGCTTTCAGAATGAAAAAGATTCCTTTTAAGAACTTAGATGAAAATTTGAAAAAAAAGCTAGCGCTCAAAAAAGTTCCTTTAAGCGTTACCGTAAAATCGAAATTCACTTAAAAACTAATGAATTTTGACTTTAATGTTTTCAAAAATCTTCTTTTTTAAAACTACATCAAATTCCATCCACAACTTCATCCTAAGAAAAAGTGAAATTTAGAATCCCCAGGAAAACTTTCGAAAATTGCCAATGATTCTTCGAAAAAAATTGGAATAAGTATCATATTTTACTATCACAAAATGTTTAAAAAAATAGTCGAAATGATCGAATTGGTTTAATACTGTCGTCTCGTTGATTGACATGTGGGTAGCTGTCAAATTTAATTTAGGAACCCAGTAGGGGAGATTGTTTAGATAAGGAGAACCGTAATAAAAAAATTTTGAAAGAAAGTTTTCTAAGAGGTTTTTAGTCAATTAAGGGCATCAGTCCATGGAAAAAAATATATAATTTTGAATTCAATTAAATCGGCCACTGACTTGAAATGCAGAAACACTGGCGCGAAATAATTCTGACAGACGGTAATGTCTCTCCATCTTGCACAATGTATTTCCCATTAATTTTGAACTCAAGAATTAGTTGCCTTGGACGGATACTTCAAAAAGTCCAATCAGTCCAAACTCTGAGACTCCAGAGTTCGATCTGAAATTGAAAAGCTTCCAAATCTCCCAACATCAATTCCATAAGCGTCGAATACTCAGTCAAGCCTTATTTCGCCTCATCAGAGACGTTTGTTTTCCTGGTTTCATACAGCCAGCCAAGAGGACGCCTCTTTTCGAAACGATTCTTTTCCCGCCGCTTTTCGCCTCGTTTTGAACGTGGCTAAGAGAGAACGCGCCGTTCCTTATCAGTCCCCTTTTTGACAGCTAATCAATTCCATCTGCCAATTATTTTTTCTTTTTTCTGTTCTCCTTCCAATGTTTGCTCCCACATCAGTCAAACATTTATGTCAGCAAGAGGAAAAAGAATACAGTTACAAAAAAAATATTGCGTCTAAGTTTTGAGACTAGAATTTCGAGTAAAGAAGAAGAAGGAAAAGATATATAATTTAAAGAAAATTGCGTAGAAAACACACACAACGTCTTTTGATAACCGGTAGAAAATGACCAAAAGTTTGAGATAAGTGCAAGTACCTGAAGGACGCCACAAAATATAATATATCCAACTAAAACGATGATAAGTGAGCAGATAGACCTGTGTTTTGTATTGGAAATGGAGGAAGCCTTGGGTGAGCCTTAAAGCGAACGAGCAAAAACACTGAGAAACTTGAAAGGCATCGGATCCGAGAAGAAAGAGTTCGGGAGAGGCAATTATGGATATGCGACGACCCGTCGAACCAAAAAAAAAATACAGAGGGAACTGCGGTCGATTCAACGTTTGAGAAAATGAGTGAAATTATTTTACAGATTTTTTCAAGATCTTAAAAGCTATTTAGAGGATCTTCTTCCTGGAAAACTTTTCCTATTCTACACCAATCTTCATAACAAAACTACCAGACGTGAAGATCAACCGCAGTCCCAGAAACGTACAAAAACGACTAAAGCTCATGACAATACATCTGCGGAGAAGACGACTTGCGAAGGTCGAACCGCAAGACGGTCTGTCCCTGAGGGGTCACTTCGGTGGTGAGAAGCGAGGATCCGCCGTCGGAATACGCCGAGTCGTCGCTCATCTTGGAGGAGGGCGGCCGACGAGCCGAAGAGTTGGTGTTAGAGGCGTAGGTTCGTTGCTGCTGAAGCTGAGCAGGCGGCGGTGGCGGAGAGAACTCAGGAGGCGGACGGTGATGCCAGCCGTTGGTCGCGTAGCGGCCGTCCTGGGAGAACTGCGTCGGGGGCATGCGATGGTAGGCCGGCGGGGCCCGCTGCACGTTTCCCGGCATCATGTCTCCGTAGGCGATCGTCGCGTAGTCGTAGGTCGCTGAAAGGTTCGTTTGACTCCTCCGTTCGGATTTCTTCTAGTTTCAAGCTCATGTAGCCATTATATTACTACAACTGGGTACCTACATCAATTAGGTGGAATTTGAACGAAATCTTGCGATAAATTACTATTTTTGTACAGATTTTTCAATGCGGTTCAAAAAGTCTACTTGAAAATGAGAAATTCGTATTTTTGAAATGAGAAAATACAATAAAAGTTGTAAGAAATCAAATATGTCAAGAACTTTGTGTAAATTCAAGTATGTTGTTGAAATCGCAAAGAAAATTACTTTAATTTATGATTAATTTACCTCAAATCACACCTAATTTCATATTTATACAGAAAACTCAATTTTCTCAATATCCCCTTCGTTTTTTTTCTATTTTCTGTAGCTGATATAGTTCAGTTCTTACTTTGAGGCTCATAAATCGGATGATGCAGTCGCGAGGTGTTATATCCGAATTGACTCGTAGTATCCAAGACCCTGCCGAAGGGGAACTTGTCGCCGGACGGGTACTGCAAAATCGAATCAACTGAGGCCGAGAGTCCAAGAACACACGGTGGAACACGACAAACACTAGATGGTTATGTGTCTAGACGAAAAATAAAGATATGGAGCTCTTCTGGGAGAGGAGCAACACAAAAGTTAGTGGAACAGAATGGAGAGACAAGCGACAGCCGCACACTACAGAAGTTCGTCTTTCTTTTCTACGGAAGGGGATCTTCACACTCTTACAACGGTCATTGACGCGGATATGGGCTGCCGCCGTGACGGGCGAATAATCGCCGCGGGTGTTCGTCGTCACCAATCGTCTCTACACATACACATACACATAGTACCAGCACGTCTAACAAAGTGATGAAAACCAAAAAAAAAAATGAGAAAAAAAATATAATACCATTATCTCGCTTCCGGTAGCGCTGCCGTTGGTTGGCGACATGCCATCGTGAGGAAGAGCCGATCTTTTTTGTGGGGAATTTCTCGATTGGCAGCCAGTGCAACGAGCGATTCGGTACTTCATGTCTTTCCGCATCTGAATTCGATAATTAGGCTAAATGGAATCATTTTTGTTCTGTTTTTTGGATTCTGTAGAATACTTTCAGATAATGCTGTGCGATCTAATTTTGAACAAAAAAAAATCTTATCGCGAGAATCCATAAAATTTTGAAGCTCTGCATTGGTTTAAATTTTCTTAGTTGAGACAATATTTCTGGCTCTAACTTATTTTTTTAAATCTAACCTTTTTTTCAAAATTAAGCTTCGGTTGGATTTTTGAACTTTGGCCTTCGTTACTCAAAATTTGACAGAGATTTTCTCTTTTTTTTTCAGTTTGTTCAGAAGTATACCTTATCGGAGAAGACGACGTGGAAAAGAAAGATGAAGAGTCCCTGAAGGGAGTTGGCGATCGTGAAAACGTAGGCCATGACGATGGATCTGCCGTCGTCGATCCACAGAAGACCGAACGTCCAGGTGACGCCGAGCAGGAAAACCAAGCCTAGCGCGCCTTTGGCCCAAGTTCTGAAAGGCAGGGTTCAGCTATAGAACTCAAATCTGTTGGGGTCTTACCTGACGTTCCGTCCAGAATCTGACTCGTGTCGGCAAGGTAAATAGCCGCCGTTGACATGCTTGTAAACGACGCACATCGCCTTGAACAGCATCAGAGTGTTCGCCACGAGAATCACGACGGCCGGTCCGACGAAGAACATGATGAAAAAGTCGTCGGTTCGAAGCCTACAAACTCAGGGGTTCATTTCACCAAACTCACAGATTTTCTTTGTGAATGAACAAATTATTTTCTAATGAGACTCACCAGCAATGAGTGCTCGTCCCAAAACCAGAAGGATCGAAAAAGTAGGCAGATGCAGTGATCAAGGCAGGCAGACCGTAGCCAACAACCAGAAACCATCCCTTCTTCGAGCCCGTTGGAAAGACCTGAATCGAATTTTTTTTTCTTTTTTCTACTAGATTTTATATGGGCAAATCTTCATATTTATTGCACAAATTTCCATCAGAATGATCTTTTACCTCCACTAGCATGCGATAGATACAGAATCCCTCGAGAAGCATCCAGGTCAACGCCGAGAGGAACAAGTAGAGAAGGCCCAAGGCGATGAAGCCGCATTGGGTCGGGTCATCGGTTCGGCCAATTCCGACGAGGAAAACGACCTCCGCTGCCGCTAGCATCAAACACAAGTTCTCATGGATGAAAACACTGAAAAATTCCATTATTTATATTACTTTTCTTTTGAAATTGAGCTTACCGGTCTCCGCCATTCTGACTAAAGATCAGGAAGCAGAAGAAGGTCGCCAGAAGGCACACGATTGATACGGAGCAGCCGAAATAGGTGAGCATCGTTAGGATCTGTTCATTCGTGTCGTCGAGCTGAATTTCATCAATTTGCACTGGAAAAAGCACATTTCGAACCTTTTGTCCACGAACGTCCATCAAAACAGCGAAATAGGTCATATGGTTGCACTCGCAAACGGTCATCGTGGAGTTGTGGGATTTCATCGAGCATCCAGTCGGAGACCACTAAAAAAAAAAATTTTTTTTCAAGATCCGTTAAAGAAAACGGCGAAAAAGGTTTCATTTCGGCTCCTTTTTAAAATCAAAGTACCTTTAAACGTAAACCTTTTTATTTTTTTCTTTTTTTGAAAAAAACTAAATACGCATTTGTGTTTTTTTCTGTATACAATTTCAACCGATCTTTAAATGATGTTTTGAAATTCTCAAAATAACTATGAGAAGCGATAAGAGCTCAAAAAAACTTCAAGTGAACTGGAAACGTTTTAGAGCTGAACTTCCTAGGCTACTTTGCAAGATTCATTCTAACGAACATCAAGCTCTTGAGTGTTCCACCAAGCACAAGTCGGCGTGTCCATGTGTCGAACGGCCGCGTGTTGGTGGTAAAAGGTCAAGACGAGCTGAAAATCACAAAGTTCTTCCACGAGGCCTTCTCGACTTTTGTACCGGCTTGGAAAGCTTCTCGACCGGCTTGACAATGCCGTTCAAGACGACGGCGACGCCGACAACGCGAGAAACTACGCGACGTCGTCGGATTCGTGTTGTCGCCCCGTCCTGAGACGGGACAATCAAATCCAGAGGCTGCATCTGCTCTCCGAGCCTTTCCATCGAAGAAAAGTACACTTGGGTGTCTTCTGAAATTTTTCGTTTTAAAGCAGTGCGTGATTTTTTGTTCTCTACCTGCGGAGACTCGAGAAAGTGCTTCACGTGGAATGTTGACGTTGTCGACGACCTGTTCATTCCAAACGGCACTCGAGGGAAACACGAAATAGTCGCTGGGCTGAGAGGCCACCTGTAAACGTACTGTTTACTTGATCATCTTCTTGTGGTGATTCTACTCTCACGAACCTTTTAGGGTTGTTTTTGAAAGCTTTCTCAATGACAAAATGAATCTGGGTGACTAAAAATTTCTTAAGGAGCTGTTTTCCATTTCCTGAACCCAGTATTAATACCCAAAAAAATTGTTTTTGAATTCATTGAGATCGCCTCTTTCTTCAACTTTTTCACGAGGAAAGAGACTAAACACAGATTTGCTTTAAAATATCAATAAACCTTCTCTTTTTATGTTCTAGAAACCCCTTTTCAATTACTTTAACCAAGAATAAACCAAATCCGAACCCGAATGCGATGACTCATCTCGCAGGTGACCGACGGCTGCACCAGTGTGTTCGCTTCGATCGCCGACAAGTGCATCGACGACGTCACCATCATTTTTTCAGACAAGTCCAAGAGGCGTCCAGCCAGCTGCCGTCTCTTCCACTCCGGCCATCCTTTCCAGACTTGCTCGCTGCGCACGACGTAGTTGATGATCTCCACGACGCCTCTGTTTGTCATGGACAGAACGGGGCGAGTCCACGGCTCTTCGCTGACGAGATTGACGACGCGTTCCAACAGCGTGACGACCTTCGGAACGTCACCACCGACAAGAGGCCGACGAGTGTCGGAATTGAGCTGCCGGAGGACTTCTACGACTCCGCTGGTGTCTTCGTCGGCGATGACTTCGTTGAGCATGGAGTCACGGGTCGAGGTCCATTGGCTCTCGCACATGGTTGTGTTGGGCTCTTTAGTGCTCCAGAGGCCTGTCTCCTCGCAGAGCCAGGTCTGTCCACCGGTGGACCCTTCTGGACAGGTATTCCTAGCCACTCGAAGAGCCGGCGTTGACGGCCACACGACGCCGCGAATCGTCATCGGCTTGCATCGGATCGTTGTTCGTTGGGAATCAATATCTCTGCCAACATCGTCGTCTTCATACAAGTCGATTCCCGCATCTCCGATGATGGCCGAAACAGGCGCCGGGGCTTCTGTCGTGGTCGTAGACGTTGTTGAAGTTGTTGTAGTTTCTAAAATTGACCTTGATTGAATTTAACAAGTGGTTTTGGAAAAAAAAGCCATATCAACTCAAGAACGATACTGAACACACAAAAACAAGAAGCAAAAAAACAACGAACCAACAAAAACACAATTGTATTTGACTTCAAGGTATTTGCTGGTCAGAGGGCACGGATCTTCGACGAAAGTCTTCGTGGAAACCTGCACGTCGCACGTCGACTTCCCATTGCACCTGCACACAGAACAGCGTTACAAAAACCAAATGAACAAAGCATTATTTTTTGATTGAAGGCACATAGTGAGGAAAATGGCTTGAATTCTCGCAAAGACCTTAAAATCACGAATGAGACAAATAGCTCATTCACCGCTGGCTTGAGATTTTTGATAAATTTATAGAATCTTTGAAAAAGAGTATGAGTGAAAAGAGGTTCAGACACCTCTGCATTTTTATCCCAAAGCGGCGGTGAATAGAGTATATTAATCAATTTTTTTCTCTCTGTCCGCTTCGCAGAGCAGATCATCCTGTTATTGACAGATTTTACAGACAAACACATCAACCTTTTTCACCACGATAGCTACCATAAAAACCAAAAAAAGCATGTTTTCTACTCCACTCGGACATCAACCAATCCTTGCCAACTTCACGACACAAAAACCAATAAAGCACTCTTTTTCACCTTGGTGACAGACGTGCTGCACCTCCAGGTACTTGCTCTGTTTGGGACAGGCGTCGTCGAAAAGGTACGTGTCGACGATAAAGCGGCAAGTCGCTTTGCCATTGCATCTGAACCGCCTCAGTTCCAGCTGCTCTTCTCTTTGTAGTTAATCCCGCACCCGCCAAAACGGTTTTATAAGCGCCGCATGGTTATTGGCTTTATGACTGACGTCTCCGTTTTCAAATTCGTCACAGCTGACTAATTGAAATTTCAAAAACCCCTCTGAATCGCACAGTCCGCGAAATTCACATTAAATTTAGCTTGTGTCCGAAATGAATTTTTCTCTGAACTTATTTAACGCGCCAAATTTTCAAATTTGATCTACTTTTTTTCGTGACCCAACCGACATTTTCTCTCGTGTTTCCTTTTTCCGCCAGGACAGGTGGCGGCTCTCGAGCATTTGTCGCTTCACAGGCCTTGGCGCGTTTCGGAGAAGCCTTTTGCCCATACACGCGTGTCAAATGCATTAGCCGAGGCGTTGGACCGTGACGAGGTGAAGCACAAGCAAGGACAAGCCGAAAAGGTACACGAAAAAAAACTTATAGAAGTGAAATGCTTTTCCTCTATGTATTGAAATTTTAACTGAGCCAAAAGGCTCTCCGAACCTCTTGCAAGTTGTTCCGAAGTCAAAATTTAATCTCGTTTCTCAACTTGCTTCACAGAAACCGCGACTTCAAGCCTAACCACAGAATCTTTGGAAAGCCCCCGCGAAATGATTCCAACACGCCGACAGACAGACGTGCTTCGAGCCATCAATCACAGATTCACGCGTGTCGACAATCGTCCAGCGAAGATCTACGGCGGCGTGGAGCATCCGAAACAATCGAGAGCCATCCGGAGCTGTCACTCCAAGCCGCTGAACGCCGCCGACTTTGGTGTTTACCGCCCCGAAAGGAACGGCCGAAGTGATGGACGATCTGACAGCATGAGGTGTGTGTGTATGTGTGTGTATGGCTGCCTCGGAAGACCCCCAAATACGGTGCCAAGGTAGCGCGCAATAAACAATATTGCGACTTCGCTAATTGGCGATCATTAATCCAGACACAATAATATGCGTGCAAAGTGCATTTTGTTGTGTCGCGTTCGCGACCATTTCATCTGGGCCGATGATCCATGAGGCACGTTTTCTCCTCCTGGGAACATATATTTCGACGCATGAAATCAAAGGTAGCAATTTAAGCCCATCGTTTCTCAGTCATTCCATTTCTACAACAACGGAAGGATTGTAATGCAAATGTGTGCGGGTACATGGCAATTAGTGCCGGAAAAAAACAGCTCGTGCCCGTCTGTCCAGCCAAAAACGATCGGTTTTCTCCTTCGACCTGACTACTCTGACTTGATTATAGGCTTCTGCGACCAATCCAGAAAGAAAGAAGCCACCGACGGACAGGCTGTTCGTACAAATGCGCCAATCTGATCATCTGCCGACAAAAAAGCGTTTTTTGGAGAAACTACTAAAGTATAGCTTTTTTATTGAGATAATAGATCCTCTACTTTAAAATTTATTTTTTAATTTTCTGAATATATATCTTTTGATGAAATTATTCAGGTGAGGTCATATTTCAATCAATGCCGTTAAATCTACGAATGAAACTGAAGTTCCACAGACTGAACTAATTTCAAGGCACGAAACCCAATCCGATCAAAAAAAGAACGGTACTCAGAGACAAAGGCCAAAATTACAGGTATGTAGCTCGTTGGACGTCTCGTGTTTCATTGCCCGCAAAAAGTTGTGATCTTCTGCCGCCATTGTCTCCGGAAAAGACTACCTTTGGTCTGTCGGCCAGCACGGGTCAGCGAACTAACACAACTGTGCAAGACGAAGAATAGCTGGCAGAAGAAACTTTCTTTTTCTTTCATTCCTTTATTCAATGCCGCCTTACTCCAAAACCCCAAACTCTTTGCCAAATTCTCAATTAGCGCACAAGGGCAACACGGAAATCCATTTGGTCGCCTCTTTCGCTTCACACGTCCACAATTAATGCCATTAAAAAGAGCTGTCAAATGCGGGGTGCCAAAATTGGCTCAATCTTTTGCATCCCGTGCAAGCAGTGAATCTTTTTTTGAGTAAATTGAACGCTTCTCAATGAGTTCATTGCTCAAAACAGACGCGTTTTAATAATAAGTAAGGCCTGGAAAACTTTCATCGAAAACTTAAATGGGCAGAACATTTTTTATAACTATTTCGAACTTCGACCCAAAATCTTTTTTCTTTACCACCAATCTGACTTGTATTCTCTTGGTCGACCGCGACGGCGCGCGGAAAGGCAAGAAGAAAAAGAAGGATTAGAAGATTACTGGGCTGGCCCTCTTGGCTCCTTCCAGCCGAACCTCGGAAGATGCCCACTTGTCTTCGAGTCGCCTTTTGCGGTTTACCGCACACCCTCGGCTCACCAATATGCAAATGGCGCGCGCGCGAATCCAAAAAAAAAGAGGAAAAAACCGTCCAATATCCGCCGAGAGAAGGTCAGACTCACTGCAACCAACAACAGTCATTACTACTGTTGAAACGCGTCATTTCACGCGGAAAAAAAACCTCAAGGCACGGCAGCTGCCGGCCTTGACGACGTTCAAAATCTCTGTTCATTCCTTGTTTCTTTATGCACTGTTGCGCTCAGATCTCCGCGCCTTTCACCTGTAGCGGAGAAGAGAAGAAATAAGAGGCCAACCGCCTCCATTTAGGCATATCTCCTAATCATAGAACTTTCAGCAGGACAATCCCTCAACTTTGAACTCTTCGAAACTACGAAGAACCTTGGAATTTCATTCCATTTCTGGAACTCTGCTATTCTGATTTGATGTCCGCCCAGAGTGTGTAAATCGAGCAAGCGGAAAAGGAAATGACTGCCAACTGCATTCCTCCAGACACGAGTTCGTCGAACTAGCGCAGAACGGAGAACGTAAAGCAGAGTATCAAACTAACAAAAAGAAAGCCAAAAATGCTCTCAGTTTGTTCATAAATTCTTTCAAACTAAATTAGGAAGTTCTTTTTTTTAATGACTCTTCCGACCATTTGGTTATAACCTGAATCTATCTGAGTTGAAAAATTGAAAGTTTTTTTTAGAAAACAATCAAAGAAGAAACAAAATGCTAAACATAGTGAAGCCACACTTTTTTTGACCTTTTTCAATTTTCAAAAAGACCTTACATACTTCCAAAAACTTCCGGCTGCCCATTAACAGCCCTGGAGGCCTTCATTTCTTCCTTCGGCTTCTCGTCTTACCGCGCAAACATTTCACTACGGCCAGCCCCGGCCTGCCGACAGCCTGGGTAAATAATCGCCAATTACTCGGACTTGCGCAAAAATGACCACCACCGCCCAACTGTACTACTCTATTCACGCGGCAGAGGAGCAGTTAAGAAAGAATATTATTAAAATCCTCGTCCAAGGTCTTCCATGCCCTTTTGTTCCCCCACCTAAGGAACATAAGGAATGCTGGTTGGCTTGATATCAGAAAACAAACATTGACCTTTGCTTTGAAGCCATCCCGGCTGGCTGTAAAAATAATACAACCTCTTCTTATTTCCCTCAGACTCGACACGCAAAATACTATGAAATCGAACTGGAAATGTGTCAAAAAAAATCCCACGAAAAACCAAAAAGGTGGCAAAGTTTTTTTATATTTTTTGAACTTTTCTTTGGGAATTTTTTGACAGAAAATCCAAAACGAGAAATGCTTTTCTAGATCCCAGAAAACTGCCTTTTCCTTCTCAAATGACTACGAAAATATTACAGCCTCCCCTCAGATTCAAATCGTGAATCATGAAATATTCAATGAAAATTTTGCGACAAAACCCATAATTATTTTTCTCCCTATCCCATTCAAAACTCACTTCTTTTCCAGGATCGATTTGGTCTTGTGATTCTGGCAGTTGTTGTTCGAGGGTACGAAGTTATCCGGATCACCGATGCAAACCTGAAAAAAACCTTTTTGGATCGAAGATCGAACAATGATCTCACTTGGTTGGAGAATCGGCCATAATTACCAATAACAATTGAAATGACTTTCCCAATGGGACAGCTCAGTTCTGCGAGCTGTCCATCGCAGATCGTGTGCGAAATTCCACCTGAAAATACAATTTTTTCGAAAAACATAGTTTTTTGTTTGTTTGAAAGTGATAAACTTATAAAACTCGGAAAATTGACCAGAAGTTAGTTTCATTGTTTCAAAGTACATAAAAAAGTTCATTTAGTAAGTTGAAAAAAAAAATTGACGTGAAAAGGACTCTGAGGAGGATGAACAGCTGGATCAAAAAAGCTCGAAAAAAAGCCCAATTTGAACCATATTTCATGACTTTGCGACATTCTCATGACCATTCCCGCCAAAATTTGAAAAAGAAAAACGCGTCGGTCGCGGCCCATGAGATCCCCTCATTTTGTTTCGTTTCGCGTCGTAGGCAGGCCAGAGGAGTTTTGACGGCTTGTTGACCGTACGTGCTCCTCGGCTGCTGTTTCTGTTTGCGCGCCTGGAAGACGAAGAAGAAGAAGACGGCGGCGCTCATTCAAAACGTTGCTTTTCTTTCTTCTCAACCTCTCGTGTAAGTTTCAGAGGACTGTTCCTCTTGGGTTGAAGAGCATATCTCACGCAAAACTTATGTTTTAAAAAAAGGCTGTGAAAAAAGGAAGACGTGAAAGAAAGCAAATAAGATTCTTAAAGCAGATAACTCCACCTTGATACTTTTTCAAAACCCGAAAAATTACTTCTTCACGTAGCAAATGGACTGCATTTTTAGGCTTTTTGAAAAATTAGAAAAATTGTGGAGAGTGTTCTGACTAATTATGTTAATTGCAATTTGAAATGCTCTTTTTAGGTTTTATCAAACAATTCTCCATGAAGTCAAACTTGTAGCTCGAAATTTTCTTTTGTTTGAATAACTGGGAAGAACTTGAGAGGCTCGAACTCAAAGTTTTCTGTTTTTTTTTTTCTAGTCATCAGAATTTCAAACAACTTTTAGCATCCAGGCCACAAAATATTGCACTTGAGATGATCTCTACAAGCTCTTAACCTGTTTGCGCGCCACTTATTAGCTCCAAGTATGAACTCGGCGGCTGCCGTCTGCCGCCGCGCAGAACTTTTCTGGGGGCAGCAGCGGCGAGATGATAGGCGTACCGTGTGCGTTGCGGATTAAGGCAGATGATCAATCGAGTGGATATCTGTCTGTTTTTTGCGGCGCTTGCTGCCCATCCGGCGGTCACTTTTAACATATTCTTGAAGTTTTCGCCGGGTTCGAAGAATGTTTATCATAAAAAGAAGCTGCGAGAACAGTCTCGTCAAATGATAGTCGCTTGAAACAATCTACAAAAATTGTATCCTTCAAATAACTTTTTAAAAGCTATTCTAGAGAACTCTAATTTCATAGATCCCTCTCATTCATATGTTTTGCGACAGTTGTAGCGTGCGGTCGCAAAAGAAACCTGAGAATTGAATGGAACGGACTCGGCTTGGAACAAGTAACTTGAGATTGTTATGGAGGACCATTTTGGGCGTTTTGCGGCGATTTGGGTTGCACGATGAATTTATCGAAACGAGTGAGCGGGACGAGCACTTATGCTTTTAGAAATGACACATCCAGAACCCGGTCGTAATTAGTATGCTTCTAGTGGCTGGTTCCAGTGAGTAGTTAAATGGATTAGAACATCTCGAGGGTGGTAGAATAGTTCGCAAACTGCTTGAAGGAAGAGTGTCAACTGCTTCGATATATCGGTTGACTCGAATTTTTCTTTCACTGAAACTGATTTGAGTTCCTCACTTAGTTGATGGCCTGTTTCACAGGTGACCTCATCCATTTGTTAAGCATTAATCTCTGGATTAACGTTTGCGTTTGATATGCCGAAAAAGAGTAACCATCATTTTCAGGTAGGGAGCCCCGTACATCCGCGGCATTGAATGCGCCAAAACGATATACACATATCTGGCGGAAATCTCAAAGATCTCAAGGCTCCATCACGCAATTCGCCGCCTATCACAATCGACAATCATTCTCTCCTCGGCTGACGAATCCTAATGAATCCGACCAAAAAAAGGACAAAGGGACATGTTGCGATCGTAAAAATCGTCTGGAGGTGACCATCTCCACCCGGTTGATGGCTGAATTTGGCTTGAGCTCACGCCGCCACATCATAAAACACGTGGACAATGGCAGCGGCTCTCTGCCAAAAAGGAATAAAACCCATTCCTTTTGCGCGTATCAAGTGACCGGCTGCAAATCGAATTGAATGGGAGTCAAACCGGAGAAGAAGAAGAAGAAAAAAATTAGGAAGCTGTCTAATCGAGGCAAAGGGGATTAGGCACAAAAACGAGAATGCCCTTTGACGGATTAACGTGCACTCGGTGCTTGCGGAAATAAAAAACGTATATCAGGTTGTTGTTGAGAAACCGTCATACCCCTTCTTCGAACAAAAAAATCAGTTGTCTTCAAAACAAAGCAAGCTTTAACAGCACGCTACAAAATTCATCAGCATTTTTTAGAAATTTATTCTCTCGTGCCTTTTTCCCCCATATCATGTGTAATAACACGCATCCTTGATTGGAGCAATCCAAGGTCACCGAAATTGTCAAAGCAATCAAGGAGAGCCACAAAAATGCGGGAAACAATGAAGGCAGCACACGTGTTATTGAATACATTGCTGTGAGGCGAGGCTGGATGCGTCGCCCATGATAATGGCTCCTCATTATTGCCACCAAATCGTGGCTTTTCTCCAATCCAAATCGTCAGACAGGTGCAACAGGTGCAAATCATCGTTGTTCACTTCCAATGAAATTGGAGGAATTCTTCCAGCCGAATTTCGTTCCGTCCTCAAGAAACGAAGAAGAATCGTATCAGTTCTTCTAGATGGGCGAGAAAACGGAGGAGGAAGAGGTCAAAACGCAAACAGAAGCCAATGTGCAAAGCCTCTCGGCCAAACCCGATACCGAAAATACAAACACGACCGTTTGAAACTTGGAAGCGAATTTCGAAGACATTCGAGGAAATTGATGAAAGAGCGGCCGCCGCACGGCATCGAGATCCTCCAAATTAATTGACCCAGGCCACAGATTAGGCCCCGAACGTCAAAGCTTGGTTAAACAAAAAGTGAAGAAACAGAACGAGTGATACTTTGAACGAAAAAATTCCCTAAAAAAATGAACTAATCATTTTTCAACTTCTGCGCCCTAAAAAATGCTATTAAAAATTTATTTCTTGGAAAGTTTTATATTTTTTCATCCTTAAATGAAATTGATTTTGAAATCGAACAACCGTTCACTTGACCACAAAAAAATGAACTCACCATTCATGGACAATTTTAAAATTTTTCTACCATTCTCGTAATACGATAAGAATCAATAACATGGAGTTCATTTTAACTAAAAAAAAACCAAGATACCCTAAAAAAATTTGTAAGAATTATTTTAATCTTATTTCACTCTCTCTACAGTACAAACGTAGTTGATACGTTTTGTAAAACACAACAAACAGAGAATTGAGACGCGCCACATCATCCAGTGAGTCAAACTTCACAGCTCCCCCAACCATATTCCCGTTTTTTTTTGTTGCCGACAAATGTTCAAACAAAAAAGAAGGATGGTGAAGAAGCAAATAGGTGTGTGGTGTGCATCCAAAGTCGCCGGAAGCCACAGTTACGCAACGGCCGGCACCGCGCTTTCTTTCAACCCAACCGAAGCCGAATGCATGATGATTGCGCCCCAAAAACGTCAAGTATTCCTCTGTTTGTGTTTGGTGCCGCGGCGTTTCTTCATTTCTTCATTTCGTCTCCATAGTTCTTGGTTGTATCAGAATGTCTGATTAGGTAAAAACATGTGAAAATATCTCTAGAGGTCTCTTAGAAAGAAAAAAAAATTGAAACTCCATCGAAAACTCTTATAAAAACACAACATTTATACTTTTAGCTTTCCTCTGTTTTTTAAACCTATCAACTATCAACGGAGTTGCTTTTTGTGTACCAAAATATCTGAATACTTTGCTAGATTGAAAAAGCTTACAAATAAAACCTTGCCGTTTTTTTGTAAAGTACTATCTTCCTCTTCAGAAGCCGCAGCATTGGAATAATTTTTTTTCCTCCAGCTAGCCGTCCCAATTTCTCATTCAGATGTGTCAAAACCACGAAACCGCCGACACTTTTCCCATGAGAACACACCGAGAACACAAATAAATAATTAGACCTCCATGATCTCCAAGAATACGCGTCGTTAGCTGCCGAACATGGGGAGATAAGTGCGACAATTAGCACGGAGCTTGCAACAAGTGCAGGATCAAGCGGCCACAATGAGTTCAGCTCGTGTGAAATTTATAAGGTACTAGGTGGGAACCTATGGAAGTATGAAGAGAGAAGAAAATTAGGAGTAACACATTTTCCATGTTTACAGCTGAAATTTTGGCTATCTCACCAATATGGATTCATAAACGAGGAGAGTAAAGATTCAGATTAATTGTCATAAACAGAAATATTTAGTATCTTGAAACTTAGAATTTTTTTCTGGATTTTTTTGTTTAAAGCTCTGAAAAAAAATCTAAATTTGGAGGGCAGGAAATACCGAAAAACGAAAAAAAGAAAAAAAATACCAAAATTTCAATTTTTTTCCGACTTTCAAAGCCCTTGACTTCCAATAACTTTTCATTCTTTTCTCAAAAAACCTTGGAAAAGTAGAAAAAAAAGAGGAAAAAATTGGAAATTTTTTCACTACACTCAATCGGACAATTGTGAGAGCAAGAAGAAGGAAAAATAAGTCAAAACCAAAGAATAGCAAACAAATTTGAAAAAAAAACGTGAGAAAAAAAAATGACTAACCATTCTCGTCGATGGTCGGCTTCTGGACGGTGAACCCCAGTGTTGACGTCACCGCCAACAAAATCACAGGGAATAGAGCTCTCATGGTATTAAACCGAGGAGTTCATCACAGTGAAGAGTTGAATAGGTAAGCAGAACCGTAAGCAGTAGTGAAATCTGCAAAGATTGAGTTGAAAAAGTGCAAAAAGCCGGCTCGAAACGATAATTCTGGCGAGGAGGAAGGCGGTATCTGGCGTTTGGAGGAGGAGGACGGAAAGGAGGAAAAGGAGGCGGAGCCAAAGTGAAGGGTCATCCGCCACTGCGGACACGCGCGACTCGTCTCAGGGAGCCCAAGCAGACGTGGTGGTAGATTCTAAGGTTAATTGGAACTGCTCGGGCTCGAATTCAAGACCAGAAAAGGAAAAATCAGAGCTGTTGAGGAAAAAGATAGAAAAATTAAATTTTCGGCGATTCCAAATAAATCAAAGATATGATAATAGAAAATTTCAACCTTATCACTTGCGCTTAAGCTCAAGTTTGAGAATTTGCATCAAGCTGATGTGAAACAGTTTTTGATTCATTGTTTCCTCAAGAATCGAGAAAATTCTGCATTGAACATTTTATTGACCAGTTTGCGAAATGATGGTTCTTGAAGGTGCTTACATCAAATTTTAAAATGAAAAATGAGATAAAAATCATCAATAAAATATTTCGATCGCATTTGAAATGTTCGTAATGTTCTTGAGGCGAAAGCCGTTCCAAGATTGTATGCCTGCGCCCTCACTACAGGGATAATCTTTCATTCAAGTTTTTTTTTTACAACTTCCTTTAACCAAGAAATGACAGCTCCTCTACACTCCAGTAACACATCTATAATTCAAGACGACATGTCGGTCGTCCCAAGCACCTTCTCGGCGGGTGGCCCAATCTCACATTCATAATTAGAGCTTGGGACCACCGCAACACATCAAAAGAGTGACACCGATCCGTACATATTCTCGGCGGCGGAAAAAGAAAGAGAAAAAACGACGACGTCGCCTGAGAATCAGCGCGCTTTCACACCTCAAAGGCGTGCGAAAAATCCGTTCGAAATGGCAATAAACGAGCAAAACGTGTCTGTTCCTTATGTGCTTTAGGTAACTTTGAAAAAGAAAAGGTGGAAAAAGAATTTATTCTTTTAGGATTTTTAAATAATAAAAAAAATTTTGTATACTTTGACTCTGACTATATGAAATCGTCTTGATTTCACGTTTCAACGTCAGAAGAAAGTCATCCGGAACGCAAAAATACTCGAAATTATCAGTTTCGGAACAGTTTTGCTTACTCTAAAGAGAAAAAACCAAGCTCTCAGCTTTTTTAGTTGATATTACGAAACTTCCTTGTTCAAAAAAGTAAAATTAAAGAACAGCTCACCACAGTCCGCCTGTTAAAAACAGTGTGAACGTTTCGCAAAACTTTAAAAATAACACGATAAGAGCCCAACAGCAATGAGTCAGCGCCACAAATAACGCTGAAAATGTTTTAACGATAAAGATCTTCTGAAAACATAACACAAAAAGCATGTGGGAAAATGGTTGAAGCGGAAAAAAGTCGGCGTATGGGCTACCGTCATTCGAAATTGCCGTCCTTTGTATCACTGTCCAGGCCGCAATTCAAAAACGCATTTTCCTACCTGGCCGCCGGCGCAGTTACAAAACGCGCCAAATTTCCCGCGTTCTTGTTCGAAATTAGAGTAACGAGAAGCGTCGCAACTAGAAAATTATATATTTTCTTTCGGGTCTCAGAAAATAACTCCAAGAAGATAATAAGAAAAAAAAGGTTTTAAAAACAAAAATGTTTGAATTCTATTTGTCTCAACCTCATCGCTTTGCCACAGTAAAAAAAATACAGAAAAAAATTTGGCTTGAAGGATTTCATTATCTCAGATATACTTCATCTGAACTGATCACATTCCGTTTTCAAAAGCTTGTTCCCTAAGTAATAAACCTCACGAATAACCAATTCAAACGATAATGTTGTATTCATGAAAAAAGTCAAGCTTTTACAACGATTGACTATAAATGCTTCGAAATTTGAAGAAGTACTTTTCAGATCCTTTTCAAACGCTATATAATCGAAATTTTCAATTTTAAGACAGTTTCTGAGTTGCGCCACGCATGAAAACATCTTAATTTTTTAAAAACTTTTCTAAGAAAATCTCAAACTAACGTGAAGGTTCTTAACGTCCCAAACTAAACCAAAAAACATTTCTAAACTACTTTCTCAATTAAATTCCGTGTTTTTGAAAAATTTTCATTGCCCTATTAAAAGCACTTTTTTTCAAAAGTTTTGCAAAATGTTCAAAGGCTTTTTGCGGCTGTCTTGTGAAACGCGACCAAAAAATCAAACAAACTCAAGCCGACACTATTTTTAATGAGATTATGCTGCATGAGCTCGGTACCAACAAAGAGGAATGAATGCCTTATTTCAAGAGCTCTCCACCAAGAACCCTGAACGATAAATCTGAATTATAGAGCCGTAAACCCGTCAAAGTGGTTGTGATATCAAGATTTCGGGTGAAACAAGGAACGTCTGTTGCCATCGGATCGTAATCTCGACTTTTGGCAACAGGTGGATGGGCTCGTGGCCTCTCCGTCATGTCAACAGGTTTACAGCAACACTTGCTCCGGAGCCAATAAACGGCCGATATATGATATTATTGGGGCTATCGTAAAACAGCATCATCATACGGAAGTGCTGCAATTAGAGGCAGGTAAACAGGTGATTTATGGGATCAGCAACGTTTTGAAAGCTTTTCTTTTCATTTCTTGGATTGAACTCCTAAAAGGTCCTTTGTAAAACATTTAACGAATTCTGCGAATGAGTACTAATAAAAAAATTTTCATAGAATATTTAAAAATAAGAAAAATATAAATCACAGAAATTTGGAAGATTCTCCTCCAAGAAAAAAGTTCACTTTATACCAAAAAAAATCTCCAATAAGTGGTCAACTTGCTCAATGAGATTTTTTCCGCAAGAGAATGACTAAGTGGCCACTTAAGGCGGTAAACAGAAGTTATGATTTGAGTGACAATTTCATTACACTTTTTTGAAGGGCAAATACGTTGTTCCAAAAAGAAGCGAAAATGCTGCAAAATATATCATTTTGGAGTTTTTCTACGCCGAATGGACTTTTTTCTCTCATTAAAAATGCGATAAGAATATTTTAGTAGCGAAAAACGATGGACCGTTCGAGTGACCACTTGAGCTTTTCCAAAATGAAAATTTGAAATTTGCCGACAATTCAAAAGCTAGATCTTAGCTTCACTCGCTATTTCAATATTTTTTTGAGGAAAGCCCAAAAAAAAAGATAAAAAGTTTCTGGAAATATTTAATGTGTTACATAAATGGAACGAGGGAAAAGAGTAATGCGATAAAAATTGGGCAAAAGAAGCGTCGTAGAGAGATACACACACACAGGCATAAAATCTTGGAATGCATAGGACTTTTTACGATGAGTGGAAGGGGGAGGCGACGACCCATTAGCATGAATAGTGAATTCATTCAAACGCATTCGTCGTCGTACTCTCCCAGAAGAAACTCTTAAGCGCAAACTTTTTTCACACCACAAAACGCCGTCCGACTCTTATTAGAAGTCGAACGTGTGTGTGTGCCAATTCCGATTTCGCTGCTCAGAAATGCTCGGCGTTATTTCTCAAAACTCATGAAATTTTCAGTAGAGCCGTCGGCTTAACTCCTTCAGATGAACGTCAAAATGAAAATTTTATAAAAATTGAGACTAAAAGCCAAAGTTTGAGGCTAAGTTTCAAAGTTAGGAGGTGTCTTTTTTTATTCTCCGAAAAAGTGATTCCAAAAAGTCGCAGAATCCATCTTTAAAGGCATAGGGGCAGTAAAAAATGGGGTTTCAGGTGAAAGCAGTATCTTGTATAGTTTTTCTTTGCGAATCCAACGGTGTACTCAAAAAAATTACAGATGTGACAACTTTAGAAGAAAAACGCGATTTCACTTTCCCGCCTTTTATTTTGAAAAAAGCTTTGGATCGGTGCTCAGACAACTGATTACAGTAGCTGTGCGCGCGATGTTGCGGACGTCTCATTAGACTCGCATTTTGTGAGAAATAACCGGCTATCTGCTTCAAATTAAGGGTTTCTTCTCTGAAAAATCGATTAGAAAACAGAAAAAACATATTGGTAATAAAGAAAACACAAATAATCGCTATCCCAATCGAAACCTGTGTAAAATCATCATTTTTCACCGAAGAAGCATTTTTGCAATCAAAGTTTGCAAATTATACATGAATAGAAAGCTTTTGTGACGAAAAGAACTTTGGTGACAACAGAAAAAATTGAAATTTGAAAGAAACGAAGTAAAAAGCGAAAATCCGAAAAACGGGGAAGCCTGTTGTCCATAGAGCAACTTCACTGCAAAGCGCCCTTTTCGCGGGTACTCAAGCTTTCCTTTCTCCGATTTTGAATTATTTTTTCTTCAAAACTAGGAAGTTCGGTACGTTCCCAAGTTTACCGTTCGATTCGCAATGAAAAGCTCTACAAAGTACTGCTTTGAACTGAAACACCGTTTTTTACTGCCCCTATGCCTTTAACCTGTCTAACACGCCTCTTGCCTTATTATCAGAGTTTCAAAAAATCAAGTCATAATTGAAATTATAGAACGGGCACAAATTCCCCGAAACAGTGAAACTGCCAGGATTTCAGAGCATTCTCTCATTTGAACAACCGGAACGCCAATAAAATGTGGGAAAAAGGCCGACGCCGTGGACTACAATTTACAAACGCAAAAAGTTTCTTTAGTTATGGGCTACCCATAACAAAAAGACAAAAAAATTGAAAAGAACGCGGTGGCTTTAGATTAAAAGCAATAAATAATATGGGGCAAGCAGTGAGGCGTATTTTCGCCCGGGGGTAATATTCACGTGGAAATCGCATTAACTTCTGAGATGTGACCATGGTTGCATCGTATATAACTCAATTTTTGGGAGCATTCCAGTGCGTAAGTTTCAAATGAAGCTCTTTTGTTTCGGTCGGAAGAATAAGAAAAATAAATGGATCTTAAAAACTATTCGTGGATGAAAGCTTAAAAGTTAATGGCGTAGTTCTTAGACGCTCTTTTTTCACTAGATAAAAAAGTTAGAACAAATCTTAGTAAAATGGTTATATAATATTCTTTTTTTGAAAGTCCTCATGACCGTTATAAATCGACTTAGGGCCGTTCATTACTAGATATTATGCGATCAAAATACACTTAGAATAATCAATCGGTCTCCGACAAAAAATCGTACGACAAAGAAGAGTTGCAACTCACAAAAGGAAAAATGATTCACAAACAAGGAGACGAGGAAGAATTCACGGAGAAAGAAAGGAAAGCTGAGCCGACTTACAAAAAGAAGCCGCTATTTTTTCCAGTCGGAAAGACGAGAAGTGGTTGCTTTGAATGTTCTAGCAGGCCTCTCTTTGGCTTTCTGAATATTCGAGCGAACGTGTGGGAATTCAACAAATTTATCGTTAGCGGAGAAAAAAGGACAAAAAAATGCCACACTCTCCAATTACTTGCTTCGAAACGAAATTGAATCCAACAATGTTACCTCAATGATTGAAATTCAACTGTAAAAGAGATTCAGAACGCCTTGAAAAAAAAAAACAGTAAACCGCGGGAACTGATCGAGGAGAAGTGAATAAATCGATAACGTCGTCAGAGGCAGCAAAACGGGGCTGATATCAGTGTCCGGCATGTTAATTTTCTTGAATTCTACCGCCGTGAACTATTTCTCGAAATTTTGCTGGAAAAAAAAGAATTTATGAGAAAATATTATATCATTTCCTAGTTTCCTGCTTTTTTCCAAAAATATCAAGTCATAAAAATTGACAAGGTATTCAAATTCTTTCTAAAGAAATCGCGCGAAACGAAAATAAAAGCATTAGGCATTTTTTTCTCACGAGAGTTTTTTTTTATTTTCACTTGGCCGACTGTCTCAAGGCAAAACAAAGAAAAAACAACTACAAAGACGGATTCGTATCGATATTTTTATAGAAAAAAGACTTGCACTATTTGAGGATACGAGATAGAAAATTCACCTTCTAAAATTCTAAAGTTTCCTAGTCGAAGTTCTCTTTTCCGTTTCCTACCATTTATAGTAAGGAAGATGGCGATGTTTGTCTAGCCTAGCGGACTACGGGGTTGTCATTAAGTGATTGAATATAGATCCCAGTTTACTCAAGTATTCTGATTTTCAGAAACACTAGGTTGCTATGTAAAATTAAAAACAAATGCTTACACAAAGATTATGCGAATTTTGATAATAAATATTCTAATTCAGAACTTTTGAAATCGCTGGGAGAATTTTGTGGAATTGCAAATGGGGTCTAATGATTTTCTCATGAAAAATCCAGCGAAAAAATAAAGGCCTGAAACAGACAAATTCGACACAAGTTCGACTAGGCCGTCTCGAAGGAAGACAAAGGGCATGGAGCTGCCTGTATGCACAACAGAAAAGAACAGAAGCGACGTGACTCAGACGAGGAGACAGCATCTCTGGACGAGAGAGTCCGGTCAAAGGGGCTGGCAGCTGAAACCGCACCTCCGAATGTCGCGAAGCTCTGTCTCACTCAAAAACTGTTGTTTTGTTCTTTTTCAATCTGCTATTACTGTTCACTAGCCGGAGAGACCGCGTGTTTCATCGAATTAGAAAAATTAAAAAAAACCATTCGATTTTTGCTCAAAGAATCAAGCTGTGAGTTTGAAAATATACCTGTTTACTTTTAATATTGAAAATAAAGCTCTCGACCAATTAAAAACTGATCCGACAAATAAAAGTTATAGTTACCTACTTCGATAGGGCTTTTAAAAAACATTTTTTATGGAACGTGTGAAAAAAAAGACTGAGAATCAGTAGAAATCAACAAAGTTTCCTTCATTGAGCTGCCGGTAACGCCAAAAAGATCTCGAAGTATTTCTTCGGAAGAATATCATGAACACGCGTTCAGAGAGATTTGGCTAGCGATAAAGTCAACTTCTTCGATGAAATATCTCAATGATAACGAGAATCTAAGGTAATTAATTAGATCAACAACATAAGAGGAAGAACAAGGGTAATGGTTATGAGAAGAACGGAGAAATATTATTGCAACGGCACGCGCGATTCACCTTGACCACCCCGACGAGCATCAATCACGACTCGTGAAATACGTTACGTGGGCCTCGCATTATATATTATTATTGTACTTTCGCGGAGAGCAATAAAACCTCGAATGAGACGATAACTATCAATGGCTACCTGTGTAATCGCGTGACTTATCTACCTAAACAATTATGATAGGTAATACGATTGCCCGAGTAATTGTACCGGCTGGTGGGAAAATTATCGGGAGCAAAAGTGCCTGTGAAAACAGATAAAGTTCAGTTGCAATCTATTATGTTTCCACTTTCATTTTTGAAAATAGCCACATTTAGTTTCATGTGTTGGAAAAAGCATCCAAAAAAAATTTTTTTGAAGTTAACGGACCGAAGTTTAAAAAAATCAATTATAAACTTGAAAACATGAAAGCTATCGTTCTTAATACTGCAGAAAAAGGGAGATTGAGATCCAGGGCTCCCTGACTGATTGTTTCTGGAAGATCCAACCGGATATCTGAGAAAGGATGATGGGGGCTTTTGTGTGCGCGAAAAATGGCGCCTCAGGAAATTGAGGATTGATGCGAAAACAAAGGATCTCCGGCTGTTTTTCGTAGCCCTCATTGTATTTGGTTTGCCAGTCCTGCGCACACAAAACACTGTATGGAATGCCCTTTCATTATTATATTAATTTATATATAGTTGGTTAACGAGATGGCTTTTTTTCTATATATATCTTAAGTTTTTTTATTTCAGAAATCCTTGCTGGGGTCCGAAGGATCATCGAAGTATTTCATGAACATCTCAAGCGAAAATTGGTATCAGAGTTATTCAAAGCTATACAATGACTTTGCGCCTTTATATACTCGAGCAAGGATCTTTGAACAAACTAAATTAAATTCAAAGAAAAAAATCTTTAAACCAAATATTTGGATATTTTATAATCCAGTTGTTTCATAAAAAAAATTTCACAGAATAAGTTTTAATAAAACAGAAAAACCAAATTGGAAAAAATTTCGCGACGCACTGCGGAACTAATCTCTGAGTTTCCTGTGATATTTTAAATGCAATCAGAATATAAATATATCGCGAAATCATTTTAATTAAATTGAACGTGTAAACTTACTAATCAAATTAATTTGCAAACGAAAAAAAAAAATCTCGAAAACAGTCGTCAATTACGTTGCTTTCGTGCAGTGAAGTGTATGCAGAAGCGGTTACAGTAAACTTAAAATTTTTGAAATTTTTTTCGTTCCTTTCAAAAAGTATAATTAATATACTTGCGCAGTCTTTCAAAAAAAGACCCAAAATTGTTGTAAGACGAGACATTAAACGGCGGATGGAATTAGAGAAAATAATTGGCGATTAGGGTAGGTAGAGAAGAGAAAAAAGAGGTCCGGCGATGAGATAACGTCCACCAAGGACCACTGTGCTGAGAAAAAGGCCATTTATATTGTTGTGATATCTCTCCAAAACATTTTAAAATTTATTAAGCATGGGAAACGGTTAAAACGTATATAATTGCACTTTCAAACAAACAGAAAAATCATGTCGTGGTCACAAATAAGGCAATGATTAAGGCTTTTTGATATGTTCTAGGATCTCTCGATGTCTTCCAAATCGTCTAGGTTGCCCGGATCGATCTTCTTGATTTGCATTGCTGAAAATATCTTTGAAAACAAAACCTTTGAAAAATCTATTTAAGAAAAAAAATACTTTAAAAATCTTACAGAAATGTTGCTTAATGATTTCAATCATGCGCAATGCTTCAGGGCTATCGATGAAATTGATTGCGATCCCAGCCTTACCGAATCTACCCGTTCTGCAAATGGATTACATTTATTCCGAAAACAACTTGTTTTTGTAAGTCTGAGTCCTATTTCCATTTTCTTCGACCCGAACCTTCCAATTCGATGCAGATAAGTCTCGCAGTCAGGCTGCAGTTGTCCATCAATCCGCAGTTCGTTGCCCTCGGCGTCGTACTTGATCGGGAGGTCGTAGTTGATAACAACAGACACCTGAGCGACGTCGATTCCTAAAGTACTCTTCTTTCATTAGAGATCATCCAACTATTTGCTTGGAGCGCGATCGAGTTTCAAGACGTCGCCCATATCACATCTCCAGATAAGGTGCAATTAGAAGTGTAATGAAGATAACTAGGTGGGGCATAATGGCTAATCCAGTCGACAAACAGCCATATCGGCATGCATCTGCCCTCTGCCCACACTTCTCTCCTCAACTGTTCAAACGCTGTCTGTCATCACGTCGGAGGGTCATACAGAAACGCTTATGGAGGTGTTCAAACGCGCGAAATACCGTACAACTAGCTATGAGGCTTAGAGTGCGCAAAAAAATTGCGTCTTTCGAGAAAAGCGAACATTAAAAAATGTCCCAAAATAGGTAATAAAGCAAACTTGAAGGATAAAACTATTGAGAAGACGTTAGAAAAAGAATCTTTTCGATGAATTCTACGTAACTCGGTATCTATATTGAAAAGTGAATATATCGTTAAAGAAATTCAACCCGAGCTACGTGTGAATCAAAATAGTTCTGCTAGTCTACTTTTGAACTCTTTGAACACGCTTTTTTTTTCTAAATGCGATTCTATACAATAAACGTGATTATCTCTCGAATTTCTCTACTACTTACCTCGCGCAAAAACATTCGTCGTGATGAGGACCCTGAATTCGCCGGCTTTGAACCGAATGATCGTGTTGGCGCGGTCCTGGACCTCCATTTCGCCATGCAGGACATCAACCTACAAACTTTCTTCTATTCATTGGAAAGTTTATCCACTTATTCTTGCCTCGTGACCCCGTTGTTTCATGTTATTGGCCAGCCACATCGCGCTAGCCTTCGTGTGGCAGAAGATAACGGAAGACGCAATCGTCAGGCCGCTGTACAAGTTGACGATCGCCTAAAAATGAAAATGCTCACTAAGTCAACGGTTCAGCCAATTTTGGCAACCTCGTACTTAGCCGCTTTGTCATTGCACTCAACGTAACACTGCTTGATGTTCGGTAACGCTTGTTCCTCTTTTTTAAGCCTGAAACTTTGATTTTTATTCCTTTAAAACTCAAAAACGCAGCTCTCAAAGTCATTTCTTTGAATATCATCGAACAAGTTTGATGGTATAAGTTTTGAATTATTTTACATGGATGGGTCGAGTACCTAACATCAGAACTTCCGAATTTGTAAACTCGCTAAAACTAACAAGGAAGGTTTTTTTAGTTTGCGCCTGATAATTCGCTTAAATTAGGCGGAAACACTCCTTGATGTACCATAAAAAATTCCTGAAAGTCTCAATCTGCACAACTTTCTAGTTATCGAAAAAAAAGGCTTAAAGCCCGAAAAATAGCTTATTTCCAGGGATTTTGAAGGTCTTCTTGAACTGCGAAGCAGTTTTCTCAAAAAATAGAAAGTTATCCAGGTCGGGACTTTCAGAATCTTCATTTGGTATCCCGAGAAGTGTTCTGGTCGAATTTCGGCGATTTCCTAACCGAAAAGTCAAGCAACCTTCCTTGTAAGATATATTTCATTGGCCGCTTTTTTCCGTATGAAGACTAATAGCCAGATTGCTTCAACTCAACGCAAATCCAAGTGGACCTCGGTTCCACAACAGGTCACGCTGCAAACACGGCTTCCACAACCACAATAGTGCTTGCACCAACGTCCCGCTGGGCACGGCAAACAGCTTTGGACCCGCGTTTATATCCAACGAAAGTACCTTACTTTTTTTGGTGCAAGGGTAAGAGGTGAACTTGACAACAGTCAATTAATGGACAAAAAGCTCGTTTCTTAGTCATTTGGCTGCGAATCAACTGAGAGGATAGGAAATGAGGGGGTATCAACAAGGATCGGCCCCAAAAAGCGCCATGTGTGCAATCGTGCCACATGTTTGCATGTATCGTCTGGATGTAACGAACAGCGATGTGTCATTACGGCAATGTCCATTTGATATTCAACTCGGGTAGTGAGGCTCATTTCATTTCCGCCCACAAACAACACACTGTCCACCGTCAAAACAAAACATTTTTCGTGTGGGTTGAGAAGTGAATTTTTTGTCGGAGAAAAAGTGCCTTTCTGATTCTCGAGAGCTTATCGAGATACTTTATAGTCGAGGGATTTAGTTCAAACGAGACCTGTTCGTAAAAAAGGTTCAAGCCACCTATGGACAGATCATTTTTGAATACCTCTAACTATTCCTCCAAAATATTTTCAAGTTTAAGCCCTGATTTTGAAACTAGTTCTTATTGCTGTCAAAAAACCTCCAAAAAGAACTTTTTTATTCCTAACTTTCATAAGTTTTTTGCTTCTCCTGGACAAGTTGAGTTCATCAGTTGCCCTTGTATGATTTAAGCTCCTTGAACTTCATTCTAATCTCAAGAAAAAAAAATACCATTTTGAAATTCGAAATGCATGAAATCCAATCGTAAAACAATAATCACTAAATAGTCGACTGAGAAACGAGCCAGCCGATGAGAAGTTGCGTCACACGTTGGAGCTAATTCTTCGTCGATTAGCGTATTAGCGAGATTATGGCACCTGCTCGACCTGCCATCCGACAAACTCAGGTAACCTGTGACCTTTGCCTAATCATTTAATGACAACCCTTCAACCAGGCTAGACAAACATCCTTTTCCCCCTTACTGGGCCCAATATAAGAACCAAGCCGTCAAAAATCGGAAATTTCAGAAACCTCATGAGTTTTCTTTTTCCAATCATTTTTCCCTATAACCTTTTCTACTTTCCAAACTCACATGACAACGATGGCGTTTTTGACGAGCTTGGTCGCAAAATCCACCACCGGACTGTCGTAGGTGGCCGAGAAGAGCATGGATTGAACGCTGGGCGACGCTTCCTCGATGATGCTGTAGATGATCAGTTGTTGAAGGGCCTCTTGTTCCAGAAACAAACGTATAAATGACTGTGCTGATGTCGCTGTGACCTTGCTGGCTGATCATGACGTCGGCCTCGTCCAAGACAAGGCATCGGATTTTGGAAGGGTCGATTCGCTGCGTTTTTTGCAGGTACTCTAGGGTCTGAAACGTGCATAGATTCAAGATAAATAAATAAACGAACACTCCTCTTTTATTTTTTCAAATATATTTGACAATTTTCCAAAAACTTTTCAGTATTGTGACATCATTCATTATCAAGGGCAAACTTATGATATTTTTTTTTAATTTTGAGCACTCAGATTCTCTTTCAACAAGTTGCAAATCGTAAAAACATTCACACAAGTTCTGAAAAATTACCTTTCCGGGGGTTCCAATCACGATTTGCTCTGTCAGCTTCTCCGTTGACCCTGAATCATAGCATATTTAAAAAAAAAGAAAATTTTCACTTGGCGATCCCTTTATGGCGTAGTGAATGTTCAGATCCGTCATGTACTGGCCCATCTTCGACACAACCTCCCCTTAAAAACTTTTATTACTTCATTTTTCCAGGGATCAAGTCCAATTGTAGTCATTTTCAGACCTAGTTGTTTGGCGAGTTCAAGAGTCGGGGCCAGACAAATGCACTGCGGATGTTTCAGCGAGAGGTCGATCCGACAGAGCATCGTGAGAACGAAAGCCGCCGTTTTTCCGGTTCCCGACTGAGCCTGCGCAATCAGATTGTGAGGTCTGAAGTTGAAAAATCAATTCAAAATGAATCTGGATAAAACGAACGGTTCCATCAGAAGTAGAGGGAGGGCGGTCTCCTGTATTCTGGTGGGGAACTCGAAGCCGAGCATGTCCAACGCCTTCACGACCTCGTCTTTTCTGGAAAAGGTTGTTATTTTTGAAACAAAAAAAGTTTTTATTACAATCTCAGGTCGCGGAAAGAGTTGACGGAGTAAAGCGGAGATGTGGGGTCCTAAAAAAAAATAGAGTAGTTCTTCTTTCAATTTAAAGCCTGAAAAAACTTTTTTTTTCTACATCGAACGTAAAAATTTGCGAGTCTGTCAGTAATGAATCAAGTATTACCAAGACCTATTAAGTGTTCATGTATAAACTCTTTTTGAGAAACCTGTCTTTGGACGTCGACTTCCGATTCCGACATCATTTTGACTTCTCTGTGGAGGAACTTATTGAGAAGGGCGATCTCTGCCGGCGCCATTGCTAAAAAATATCAAATCAAACTTCATCGAGAATCGAGAGACGTAGCGGGGGTCCAAAAAACTTGGTTCTTATTGATTTTTTTGACAAAATTTTTGCTCAACTATTTTTTTCCTATCAACAAATGAAGTAGCACTAATATTAATGCCGTGTTCAAAGTAATTTCCGCGAAATGCAAAATGATCTCTGACTCTCCCAAATATAGTTATCTTTTCCTTTCTCTAACGGGTATGTTGCATTTCGCGGAATCACTTTGAACACGGCATAAAAAAACTCTTGCCCAAAGACCTTTTTCGTGTGAATCGTTTTTGGGTGGCGTAGAATTCTTCTCGACATACTTGTACATGGTCTGAAAAAAAATTGATGAGAGTTTTTAGGAGAAAAAAAAAACCGGTGGAGTATGTGGTGGCCGAGGCGAAACATTGGCTTGGAATCCTCCTCTACCTCTGGGTGCTGTAAAAAGATTTTCCGTCGATAAGTTCCAAAAATGATAGAACCATTAAAATTGGGTTGAAAAGGTTGAGCGAAAGCCGGATTCGGCTGAGGGGCAAATCCGAAGCCTCTACCACGAGTGGCGACGTGACCGCCCCTGAGTTGAGAATTTCCAGGAGGGAAACCTGAAAAAAAAAATCGAAAATTTCGTCTTTTTACCCAAGCCGGGAGCTCTAGCACAACATCCGATGCATTCTGAGCTCGTCAAGGTGCAACTACAGGAACTACGCAAAAAAAAAGCGATCCACTACACCAGAGGTGGAGGATTGGAAAGGTAGCCCTTGACTTGGCTGCCAAGCCAAGCCATTGGGCCAAGCGATAGAAATGAGTCACTGACTTATAATTGGAAAAGTCATTTCTGCTTTTGGGCGTTCATGGCTTGGCAGGCAGGGCCGCCAGTGGGCAGCCATCCTCCACCTCTGAACTACACGTTTGGACTTCCAGTCCGCCAAAGGCGGTTGTTCGATAGAACTTTGAAAATTGAAACTCAAACTATGCCTCTTTCTTTGTAGCTCATTGTTTTATGTATTAGAGTAAAACAAATATTCAAATATGCAAATATTAAAGTTCCTGGTCACCGCCTAATCGTTTAAATCTATTACTAAAACAACAAAATGAAAGATTAATTGAATTATTGATGGAAATTCCGAAGTTCTTATTGGTTCATTTAAAAATAAATCTGTTTCATATTGGCAATTCACGTATTTAAAAAAATGGAACTTCTGTACTGACATATGTTGTTGGTATGTATGAGGAAAAAACAAACAAACCTGCTGCAAACGGCGCCGCGCCGATGTTCGTACGTGGTCCTGTTGTCGTAGTTGCTCCAAAAGAGTGTTGTGGTGGATTCACAAAAGAACCACTTGGTTTCGTTGTCCTCCCGAGTATGTTTCCACTAAGAGAAGCTCAAATTCAAAATTACATTTATCATGATCAGTCGTGTAAAACTCACGCATATTCGACCCTTCAGAGATATTCAGCGAGTCGAGCTGAAAAAGCAAACATGAGCACTCAATCAGATTTTAGTCAAAAAGGGATTGTTTAGTTTCAACATACTGTGTAAACAAAGCGTTTTAAATGCAACAGGGGAGCTACTTTTACCCAATTTTTGAACTAAGTCTTGAACACAAAACTAATTCTTGAACACAAAAAATGTTGACACTCGCTGCAAGAAAAAAAAAGTTAACGCATCTTTACAAGGAAGAGTAATGAGGACATAAGAAATACTGTTCCTCTTTATGTATCTGAGAATCTGATCTGCGATTAGGTCAGGGCCAAGAAATAAAAAGTTAGTAAAGGGTCAAACGATCAAAACCATTTGAAAGAAAGAAATTTGAAACTTTCGATTTGAAGAAAGCTGATTACAAATTGAAAAGAAGAGAAACAAACATCTAATTTATAGAAATAAAAAGAAAAAACCTTTTGCGGAAGATTTTCCGGTATGCTTAAACCCTCATTTTTCGCCTGAGCATCATAACTGGCTACCCAATCGCCAGACATCCTGTAAAAATTATAGAAATCTGCAATGAAAAACAGAGAAGGCAAAAAAAAAGAAAAGTAAAAAATGGCATAAAAAAAGATTCAGAATTTTTTTTTGTGCATGCGTTTGCGCGTTAGACTGGCCTCGGACACATCAAACCTCACGTCAATTTTTTTAAATTTTTGAAATTGAATTTAAAAATTTCAAAAGTTTTTCCTTTTTTTATTCAGTTTATATTTATACGGTTTCTTTTTTCACGTTCAAAGTGATTTTGCGGAATAGAGGTGAAATTCAGGAAGTGAAAAGAAAAAGAATTTTTTTGGAGAATCACGGCTGCTTTAAATAAATTCTCGTTTTCCGATTTTTCTGATTCAGATTTTAAAAATGAGTTCAAGCGACAGTTTTTCGAGTAACGATGTTTTAAAAGATCTTACACGGCTTCACTTATTAGCTCAGCGGTAAATTTGCCAAATATCCTTCATTGCTAACCTTATCTCTGTAGAATTTTTGAAACACGTCAAGTTTGTGTCGATCTTGACAAAAGACGTCAGAAAATTACGAGAATATGAGCGATCATCACGATCAAAAACAGAGGTAAGGTGTGCTATTTTCTAAGATGTGTAAATTTTATATGTTTAGGTCTCGAATGACAAAACTTGGGTCCTCACTGGAGAATCATTCCTCTCCTTGCCAACTTCAAGCTTGAAAGATATTGTGAAAGAAGATATGCAGAGCGTGGAGAAGTCAATTAAAGAAATGAATGATTTATTGAAGGTTTTTCTAAAAATAAACTTTAAAACATGGAAATATGGGCTCAGAAAGACGTCAACGAGCTTTTTAACACTGGAAAAGCAAAAGAATTTAGCCGACCGAGGGTTCGATCTGAGCAACATCTTGCAAAACGACGCTGAATGATTTTTTAATTTTCGTTCCTTTATTGTCATCTTCCAACTGGAAAACGGGTCGCAATAAATATTATCAATGCAATTCCTTGGATTTTATAAATTTATTGGTTTATGTTCCTTTTCTATTTTCGAATAGGCTCCCGAAAATAATTTGGATTCTTCCGTTCAGAAAACAATGGGCGACACAGATGTTAACAGCATCAAAGGGTTTTTGTACGGATGGCTGGGCAGAAACAAGCATAATACGCCAAATTACGAGATCAAAAATGAGAACCGGGGACATGTTTCGCGTTTCAAATGCGAGCTTCGTGTCGATGGCTTCCCATACACTGCTTTCGGAAATTCAACCAATAAAAAGGTGGATAAAAAAGAGGAAAAATCTAGTTTTTGAATGTCGTCTGTTGAAATTTATGCAATTTTTGTCATAGAAAGAGTTTTAAATTGGTACGATCATTTTGATGAAACAGATTTAACGTCCTCAAAGTCGAGCCACTTGAAAAAATCGGTTTCTTTTTCTGCTCTCGAAGCTCATGAAATTATATTTTATATTATGGACTTCGTTTCAGGACGCCGGTACAAATGCAGCCATGGACTTTTGCCAATACCTGGTCCGAGAAGGTCATATGAAAGCTTCGGAAATTCCCTCTTTGAACGCTTCGGCGTTGGAAACGGCTCGCGAAAGCGGTTTCTCGGCTACCAGTGGCGGCGGATCTTTTTTCGAATCCAAGGCTGAATCGAATTCTTTCGCCCCACCGGAAAATAACATGGTTCTTGTCTCATTTTTGTACCAGATTAATTGAAAAACTTAGCTTCCTTGGCAAAGCGCCTATAGAAAAGACGACGTGAGCCACAAGCAATACGTGGCACAAAAGGCGGAGGAGATCGCTCAGGTATGTTGAAAGATGGACGATGAACTGTTATTTTTCTTCGGAGAAGTTTATTGCCCGCTTTTTTCAATCTTCTAGGTAGAAAACGATCTGAAGCTTTTCAGTCGGAAAACGCCGACATGAAGGCGGATCTTCACGGTGGCTGGAATATGGACAATAGTAAGGCGGCTTTGAACGAATATCTCCAGAAGATGAGACAGCCTCCTATAAACTATGTCACCCAAACAAAAGAGGCCAATAGGTTATATTGAATTTTTCTGGAGAAATATTCAAAAAATATTCAGAACATTCGTGACAGAAGCCGCGCTTTTTGTGACGGCTCTCAAAAGAAGTTTGTTTCCTCTTAAGCTTTTCAATTTTCAACAAAAAATCTAGATGTGATGGGCCGAGGGCAAGGTTCTACCAAGAAAGTAGCTGAAAGCAGCTGTGCCATGAACATTGTCCGACAGTTGTTTCATTTCAATATCATCCAATCTTTTACTGGACCTCGGAAAAAGACAGCCGCTAACACGGTGAGAATGTTGTAGTGGTCGCTCTAGGGGTTCAAAAAAAAACCATAAAAAGTCTTATTGGAAACCGGAAAAGTTCGAATACCTTTAGCAAAGCTTTTCATGGTTGTCACTTTAGTTAACGCGATAAATATTTTTGAACCAATCACGAAATAGTCTGATTGATCACTTTCCTAGAAAATAAACTTTTCTATTTTTCTAAAAATAAATTTTCTTGAAGCTCCCCGAAATTCCTGTGAATATGCACGACGAATTGAAAGTGCGACTGAGAGAGTTCGTCCGAAATAGCGGGGTCGAACTGCCTCTAATTTCTGAGGAGACCGCCACTCCAGAGGCTCCTGTTTCCATTATCGTTGACCAGAAGCTTCACAACTTCCCAGAGTCTACGGTTAATCTCTTTCTCCGTATTCCAAGTCTACTCAACTTCTAAAGATCTCAGCCCCGTCGAACGTTTCTTGGGCGCCTCCAATGCAGAATTGGAACCCGTGGAGAGCTGCCAACATTGACGAGCCGCCACTAGCTTTCGTGAGCAATTATAAAACGAGAACTCTGAAAAAAAAAACCACAATTTAGATGCCCCTTGGCGAGATCAGCGAGATGATCAATCAAAAAGAGGCGGAGAAAATCGAGATGTTGGAGCACATGAACGAGGGAAGAAGAAAGTTGCCTGTGTTCCAGTACAAGGAGCAAATTATCAATTTGGTCAACAATAATTCGGTTGTTTTGATCAAAGGAGAGACTGGATGCGGTAAAAGTACGCAGGTGGGCAGAAAATAAATCAAAATTTTAGTCTTTCTCACTGATGTATTTCAGAAATGGAATTTAATTGGATGTTTATTAACTTTATTTCATACTTCGATGTAGAGAAAAAAAGAAAAACGTAATCAGATTTTTTTAAATGTTGAAAATTTTAAAACAGCGAGAGCTTTTCCGTGAAAAATAATGAATAAAAAATAAAAATTCCACTTATAATCTTTTTAGGTGGCCCAATTCCTTCTCGAATCCTACATCGAGACGAACCGAGGCGCTGAGTTCAATGCCGTCGTTTCGCAGCCGCGCCGAATCTCGGCCATCTCCCTCGCTGAGCGAATTTCAAACGAAAGAGGCGAGAACCTTGGCGAAACCGTTGGTTACGGTGTCCGGTGAGCATCACTGCCCTGAAAGCCTTTGATTCCCTGAAGTTCAGGTTCGATTCCGTTCCTCCACGGCCTTACGGCTCGATCATGTTCTGTACTGTGGGAGTTCTGCTGCGGATGATGCAGAACGGTCTCCGAGGCATTTCTCACGTCATCATCGATGAGATTCACGAACGCGACGTCGATGTAGGCGTGGAAATCGCTCCGACACTCAACTGATAGAAAATTGACAGACGGACTTCGTTCTGATTGTCCTGCGCCAAATGCTCACCGCCTACAAAGGCCTTCGAGTCATCTTGATGTCAGCCACTATTGAGACCAAATTGTTCACGGATTACTTCGGCGACTGTCCTGTCATCACTATGCACGGCCGTACTTTCCCCGTCGAGCGTTAGTTTTCTGAACTGTATCCCTTCACTGTATACGTCTTCCAGACCTGTTCCTGGAAGATATCGTGGGGAAGCTTCGGTTCATGCCTGAGCCTTCGGACCGCAGGAGGCGGAAAGAAGAAGAGGAAGGTGATGAGGAGGTCGACGACAAGGGCAGAAACATGAACATGTTGGCGGCCGACGCTCCGCCTCAGCTCAAATTGGCCATGTCTCGCATCCCGGAGACGGAGATTTTCCTGCCCTTGATCGAGGTATCACGCTTTTTGAGATGAAAAAAGCAAGAACTGAAGTGAAGGAGAAAATTGAAAGAATCGTTCAAGTCTTGAAAAGATAAAAAAAAATTAGGAAAAGATCTATTGAGTACCTCGGTTTTATAGCGTTGATTTCATGAAACTTTTGGTTTCATAGGCACCTTCACGTCAAGGATTTTACTTCAATCTTCTTTTTCATTTTGACAATCTTCAAATTTTCCCACCGGTTTGCGAAAACTAATGTTTAATTTTATTATATTCCACAAATGAATTTTAAAAGTAAATTTTAGAGGAAAACGATTAAATAGATAATTTTTTTTCAAATGCAAAAGACCATACCAAGAGTGTTTTTCTAGGACACTTGAGGAAACTTTTGAGTTTACAAAAGGAATATTTCAGGATATTATGGCATAAAAGACCGAGATGACACACTTTGAATAAATTTTGCATCGATTTTAATCGGAATCAGTTGAAAGTTGCTGAAAAAATATGGGAAACACGTCAAAATGCTGTTCTTTCTTCTCATACGGAACTTTTTGATCTACTATCCAAAAAATTTTCAAAAACCATAGTCTTTTTGCATTGGCCTGTCAGTTGGAAAATTTATTTTTCATTCTTCAGGCCATCTTGAAAGATATTGCCGACAAAGGAACCGAAGGAGCCGTGCTGATTTTCATGCCCGGATGGGCTGAAATCGTCTCGTTGATGAACCATTTGAAAGCCAGTCAGGAGTTTTGTGAGCTCAGACTTTATTTGAAAAAAAATAGCAGTGAACTTTAGCGAACGTTTCGAAATACGAAGTTTTGCCATTGCATTCGCAGCTCACCAGTGCAGAACAAAGACGGGTTTTCAATCATTATGAAAATAAGAGAAAGGTTATTTCTTACTCGGCTCATGCTTTTCAAACGACCCAACAAACTTTGTGAATATAACTTTCCAGATCATTATTTCTACCAATATTGCCGAGACAAGTATCACAATCGACGACGTCGTGTTCGTCATTGATTCTTGCAAGTAAGTTTCATTATTTTCCCTATTGGTTTGCAGAAAAAAAAAATCAAAGATCAGATTTGTCTTTGTGAAACAAACCGTTTCAAAAAAATCAGACTTTTCGCGCGCCATCAATACTCTAAGGACTTCAAACAATTCCAAAATTCAAATTCAAGTTTCTCATGTTTAGTTAGTCAGAATAAAGAGTTTCATAGAACAGGCGTGGGCGATTTCATATACAAAATTTTTCAAGACCTCATTTTCTGTTTTTAAAAGTTAAAATCTTTCATTAACCACTCTTTTGGCCTTCCGAACCGTGAATTACTTGGAAACTCTGTCTCTTATTTCAACATTTCGTTTTCAGGGCAAAGGAGAGAATGTACACGTCGAACAACAACATGGTTCATTTTGCGACGGTTTGGGCCTCAAGGACCAACATTGTCCAACGACGGGGTCGTGCTGGCCGCGTTCAACCCGGATTCGCCTTCCATCTTTGCAGCAAACAGCGTTTTGAGTCGTAAGTTATTGTTGATTTTTTTTAGTTATGTCCTATAGAGTTAGCATTTTTTTTTAAAACGCCTAACACTTTTTAAACGAATATCTCGAAGAGGCTACGATGCATGAAGCCTTACTTTCAGACTTGACGAACACGCGACGCCAGAAATGCTGAGAACGCCTTTGCATCAAATTTCCCTTCTGATCAAGTTGCTCCGTCTCGGCTCTGTCGGCGATTTCCTCGGAAAAGCCCTGGAACCACCGCCATACGATATGGTTGTCGAGAGCGAAGCCATGCTGCAAAGTGATACTTGAATGAAAATACACTTCTAGCCTCTTTTTCAAGGTATGGGTGCTTTGGACAAGAACTTGGAGCTGACCAGTCTCGGCAGAATGCTCGCGCAGATGCCGATTGAGCCGGTCATCGGAAAATGCATCGTTTTGGGAACGGCGTTGGGGTTTGTCCACTATTCTTACTATGAACTTAGGGATAGTCATAGAAAAAGGATATATTGCTTGAAGTTCAAAATAGAATTTCAAATTTCAACTAGAATCAAGCACACGAAAAGAGGATAATTTCCAAGGCTTAGTTCATAAAAAGTACAATACTAAAATAGATCTAACCACTTTTTAACTTTGAAAATTATCGAAATTCGACTCACTTATTTTTTTACAGTTTTTGCTTTACCTTAGGCCAAACATTCTCGTTTTTCTTTGACTTCTGTATCTCACACTCATTGATCATTTTTTTTTGTTTTCTATCCAATATCTTCAGTTTTAGTCTTCTGTGAGGAAAGGTTGACAAAATAAAAGTCATTTGTGACCTCCGGGAAGCATAGATGATTACACTACTGCCTTGAGCCATCGAAAAATGGGCTTTGACACGATAAGAAAGGAGACAGTGTCTGGTTGGTGGAGAGCGTAGACAGGCCACGCCCCTTTGCGTCCCAAGATAGCCTTGAATCGGCTACAGTACTGACTTTGATTTAGGAAGGCACGGGAGGAGCAGGGGGAAAAGGCCTTTTAAAAAGTCTGCTTATCTATGACCGTTTCTAGTTTTTTCAAAAGTTCAAACGCGCGAATTTTCAGTATCGGAGCGTTGATGTGCGACATCGCAGCTTCGATGTCGTTCTCGACGCCGTTCGTTCCCAGAGAGCGCCATCACACTCGAATGAACAGTCAGCAACGCTCCTTCGCTGGAAACAAGCCGTCGGATCACGTCGCCATGGTCCTTGCTTTTTCTGATTTATTATTTTACGGGGAAAGAAATGTTAGATGTCTGAAAAAAAATACAGTGTCCGTTTAGAAGGGATTTTTTTACTGGGATAGTTGGTAAATCTATTGAATTTTTCAATTCCAAGAAGTAGCTGATTAGAAAAAAAATTAGTATTTATTCTAACTAGGAACATAACCCTCCTTCAAAAAAAAAAATGTAAACGGAAAGTATTGAGTTTTCTTCTTTGACCACTTCCCCCTGAATTTTCCCTTGAAAATTTGAGTTCCACGAAAATTTCCAATATCATCACATTTCTTCAGGTTGCTGTTGTTCAAGCCTATAGAAACCTGATTGAAGAACAATATTCGAGCGACGCCGAGAGATCCTTCTGCGATCGCTACTCATTGAGCCCAACCATTTTGAAAATGACCAAGTTTACCTGATTTCATGAGAAGAGTTCGAATCACTTTGTTCAGTGGAGCACGACGGCAGCTGGTTGAAGTCCTCGCGAATGCTTGCAATTTCCCCAAAGACCTTCTGTTCGACATCCACGTGGACGTTAATCAGAAGGTTTACATTTTTCAGTACTACGCAATTTCGAAATCAGGAACAGTTGGCGCTTTGAGGTTAGCGTATTCGTGCACTTTTTTCTCGTTCTCAAAAATATTATTTCGTTTTAATCTTACTATTTCCCTTTTCAGAGCGGCGAACTGGATCTGATGCGCTCCTTGTTGGTGAATGCCCTTTACCCGAATATTTGTTATTTCCGCGGAAAGAGAAAGGTTTCAAATCGTCTTTTTTTCTCCTTCCTGATAAGCCAAGGGATCAGGTCTACACGATCGACCAATCGTCCGCTCTGGTCACCAACTACTCGATCCTGACGCCGTTCAAGGACAGCGGCGACTTGGAATTGCCCTCCCCGCTTCTTGTTTTCAAGGAGAAGGTTTATAAATGAGTGGCTATGGGAGATTTGAAATAGCAGAGCAAAACACAGTATTCTAAAAAGCCGTTACGAATAGACATTGGACTAGGGAAATGAAAAGTAATATATTTGCAGCTGCGAACAAGATTCATCTCCTGTAAGGAACTTTCCGTGATCTCGGCCGTCCAGCTGATGCTGTTCGGCAGCCGAAAAGTGGAATGCATCGGGAAGGATTTGATTCGACTTGACGACATGTTTGTCCTTTTTACTCTTGAATTTTTGACCTTTGTGAAGAAGGCATAGAACATTTGAAGGCAAAACCTATAGTGAATCCTTCCTGGCTTGAAATGCGAGGGAGGCGGAGGGGGCGGGACGCGTAGCGTGCGCGCTCGCGGCTTTTGGCAGGAGCTTTCGCCAGCGACTATTTTCTAATTTCTTTTTAAGTTCTTCATCGATTTTTTTTTTCAATTGGGCATTAATTAATAGCAGGATAGATACTAAAAGAGCAACAAACTCCAAATAGTCAGTGGAATCGAACTCATGCCAAGAACCGCCTACGCGTCCCGCCCACTTCTCCGCCTCCCTCGCCTTTTCAGTCGGGATTAATTGACAATACTGGTGTAAATTTTTCTCGAAACTATCTCAACCTCGGACTTATCAAGTTTTTGATTCTCCAGTTGCGAATCCAATGTTCCAGGATCACCCTGAGCATGGAAACGGACTTGGCGGCGAACGTGATGGCTCTCCGACCCTGTGTCGATTCTCTGCTGGTGCGAGCGTGTGAAAACCCCGAATCAATTGAGTTTGCCGCACCGGAAGGTGGAGCCTCGTTTGAAGTACAACGAACAATAACTAGCACTCACAGATCAAACGCTTCGCGACTTGCTGCGTGACTTGTCGGCCGAGGAACTGATGACAAAGGCGTCGGTGAAGGACGTTCTTCTCACTGATGCGGCCCAGGTACTTTCGAAATATTTCACTGAACTCACCACTTTAAATTTAATTAAGTGAAGGAAAGAGATATCAAAAAAAAAAGAGATAGTAAAAATTTATTTATTTTTAGGAAAAGGGATTCGGAAGCATGCGAGTTCCTCGTGGTGCGGGTGCTCACAATTCGTGGGGATTTGGAGGCGGTCCGAGTGAGTTCAATAAAAAATAGAGATAATGAAAACAGTTTTTAGATTCAGATCATTTTTTTTAGGACCGAACAACTCTTTCATGAATAGTGCTGGCGATGGTTGGAACAACGGCGCTGGCGGAAAGACACCTTCGCCATCGCGCTTTCCCGCGCAGCATCCGCATCCCTACGGCGGCGGAGGTGGACGAGGAGGATTTCGCGGTGGCATGCGACAGGACAGCGGATTCCGTGGAGGAAATCAGTTCGGCAGGCCGAGAGGCGGAGGCTTCGGTGGCAGCATGCGAGGCTTCCAGCCGAGAAATCGCGGCGGCTTCCAACGAGGCCGTGGCGGCGGTGGTGGTTATGGAAATGGAAATGGAGGCGGATGGTAGTTATCTTTATTCTGCGATTGATTATACGGGTTTCGCACGTTTCATATTGCACCATATTCATTCTTAAACCAAATCAACTGTAACAATATTCAAAACGATTAGTTTTGAATGTTGAAAGGCATTTTGAACTTTAGGATCTTTATATATTCTTTTTTTTCCGGAGAATAAATATTCTATTTACACCCTCGAACTGACATGACCTCTACAGTTCAATAATACCCTATCCCGCACCCGGTAAACTCGACTGATCTCTCTAAATTATACATGTTTCCCTGTTTTTTGTTGTTTTTGTTGTTATCATGAATATTTTCTTCTTTTTCAAAGTTTAGTAGGGGTTGCAGTAAAACGGTTTAGTAATGAGGTAAAGATTAAATAGAGAGTTCGAATTTGACATCGATGTGAGCGCGACGAGCGATGCCAACAATGTTGGAAAGGCTTACAACTGTTCTGGCCGCCTGGAATGAAAATATAAGAGTTATGGCGGAAGTTTGAATGATTACCTCGTCTAGATCATTATAAGGTAGGATCCGCAATCCGGATTGTGCGATGAGAGCTTTAGCTTCATCTACTTTTGTTCCTAGAAAGTTAGTATAAGATTAATTTTTTCCTACTGATTCGAATTCAAAATGATGAGAAGTCTGGGAATAATTAAGATCGCTAATAGTTAAGAATCGCTTTTTTCGATTTCTTTTATCTCACTATCTCCGAAGGTCCTACTATGATTTCAAATCATTTGCTGGCAATATCGACCAACCTTGAAGACGAACGACGATTGGAATCTTCAATTTCAATTCTTCAGCCGCCTTGATAATACCTTGGGCGATCACGTCGCAACGCATGATTCCACCAAAAATATTCACCAAAATCGACGTGACCTGAAGGTTTTCCGTCGAAAATTTTTTCAGCGAGTCAAAGAGCACTTTTTTCTTGTCAGCGGTGATGATCTTGAACGCCTCGGTGACCTGTTCGACGGTGGCGCCGCCGCCGACGTCGAGGAAGTTGGCGGGTTCGCCTCCGTGCAACTTGATGATGTCCATCGTTGCCATCGCCAGACCGGCGCCGTTCACTGAACACCATCTTAATTATTTATTGTTATAACATTTAATCGATTTACCCAAACAGCCAATATTCCCGTCCAGGTGGATATAGTTGAGATTGGAAGCTTCAGCGCGAATCTAAACTTTACTGAAGTATCATTTCATTCAGGAAAACATACTTCTAATGGTTCGACCTGCGAAACATCTTGCAAAGCGAACAGTTCAGTCTGACGAAACTCCGCATTCGAGTCCAGAAGAAGCTTACAATCCATGCAATAAACTGAAAGATTCAAGCCAAAATGATAAAAAATTCAAAATGAGAAAACTAAGCTTTTAATAGAGGCAATTCTTGCTTGAATGAGGCGCTTTCAATTTCAAAAAAACCTCCGGTAGGATTATTTCAAACAATCATTTCGAGTTATTTCAAAAATTAATTTACTATCTCCTTCAACATTCTCGGCAATAGGGTTGATTTCCAAAAGTGTGGCGTCGCTTGAGATGAACAGATTGTAAAGCTTCTTGATGATGTCAACGGCCTGCTCAAGACGCGCACCGTCGAATCCCATCCGACTGGCGACGGTTCTCGCGATTTCCGAAGAGACTCCAGTTTCAATGTTGATTGGGACCTGAAAAAAAAAATCGGTAGTAAAAAAAAAGTTAATGAAAAAGCACCTTAATGATGGCGTCGGGATCCTTCTCAGCAACTTCTTCAATGTTTACGCCTCCCTTCGCCGACGCGATTATTATTGGGCCCTTAAAAAAGCTTTTTTTTAATTTTCAAATCTTGACGCTAATTTTCAAGCCTAACAATACTCAAAATTTACATTTGCCTCTCGATCCTGCGTGATTGAGAAGTAGTACTCACGGCGAGTGAACAGCCGTTCAGAAATCATTATCTTCAAAAAAACTTTAGTTCTAATAAATTTAAATTCAATACTTTTTCACACAGTTTTCCCTTGCTGCCGGTTTGTTTGGTTACCAAAGTATGGCCCAACATCAAGCTGGCTTTTTCTCTGACCTCTTCAGGCCTGAAAGTTTTCTTTTTATCCCAAATTCCCTCAAATAACATGAACTAACGAAAAAACCATCTGAACGCCGCCCTGAAGTCCCGAGTCAAACCTGCCCTTTCCTCTACCGCCGGTCAAGACTTGAGCCTTCACAACGTAATCCTTCACGTCTCAAAATCATCAAATAATCAAAATGTGTTCTTTTTGATACGATTCACTCATGCTTTGGGCGCGTTGGAAAGCTTCTTCGGCACTTTTTGCAACTTCAAACCGAGGTACCTACAAAATTCCAGCTTTTTTCCAAAAATAAATAATAAGAAACTCACTTTGATTCCATTCTTTTGCATATGTTTCATGCTGTGATGCTCGTGTAGCATCAAGTTTCTCGTCGAATTTGTAAATATCTGAATAAGTTCGCCTTCTAAAAAGTTATTTGAAAAATACCTTTTTCGAGATCTTTTTCATTACTGGCATATTCATACGTCTCAACATCGTACTCACAATGTATCTGAAATGACCTTTTTTCGCAAAGAAAAGAAAAAAGAGAGCAGACACGAGTCTAACACGTTTAAACTTTGTCAAGATTGAAGATAATAAAACGTGAAGAAAATTTCCATCTCATCAGACAAAATGTTTCGAGGGTCGAGGGAAAAATTTTTTTACAAGACCTATGGAATTTTTAATAGCACCAAGGAAGGAAGGCTATTCCAAAAAATGTTTATAGCGCTATAACCGAAACTTTTCTTATATTTTAAACGTGTTGAAATTAAAAACACATCGATTCTCGGAATGATCCAAAAAAAAAAATATAAAATAGAATAGGCCGATCGACCTGAAAAACTTGCACAGTTTCGCTTCACGGCAAAGTTTTGAAATTTTCAAGGTCCCTCCAGGGTCCGTGTTGGTTTTTTGGTTTTCTCTTTGGGAACTTTTAACTTGCGTATTTAGCCTATAGGCTAATAAAACGTTTAAACGTTCATCATGTAAATTCAGTTCTTTAAGAAGCCGGCTTGAAGCCACTGAAGATCTACATCCTTGAGATGAAAACAAATTTTTTTGATTGGTTCAAATCGTGGGATTTTGTAGGTCAGAAATGTTTATCTTGGCCTTTCAATTGTTTTCTTTAACGCTTTTATGCGAAATTTCAAATATTGAATGGCTCTTTGAGTAAATTGTCGTACTTCTTCTCGAACTTCATCCCGAGTATGTAATCTTTTAAAATTTCAATCTTTTTTTCTCTTTTTTTGAACAAAGGAACAAAAAGAACAATAGTAATCATTTATTTTGGTCTGTTGGTAGCAAATTCAAAAAATGAAAGCGTTCAATCGAATGATCCGTCGTTTCTGCTCATCTGCCTGAAATTTATATTTTTTTTGTGCAGAGAGAAGAGGAAAAAGCCCACTTGAACAATCCGTAGAACTGATTTCGTTTTCCTACGACACGGAACGGCGAGAAGAACATAGAGGAGACGTCATTGCGATTGCTCTGAAGTGTTTGTTTTCTACTTTTCAGAATAGGTGTTTTTTTTTGACATTATCAATCTAGGCTCGAAAGAGTTCTAACAAAGTAAGCTTTTTACTGGAGCATTCATAAAAATCATGTCTTTTTTCGAAAATTGTGTTGGTTCAGGACAGAGATGATATGATAACTTATAAAATAATTTTTTTATTAATCTTCTCACTATCAGAATCCCTTATCCACATTATTCATTAATCATTAGAAAGTCTCAAATACTAAAAAATACGCCTTTTTTGTGAATCAGATGTACAGAGTTGTACCACTTTGCATTAGAGGATTTTTTTACAAACTTTTGAGTTTCAAAAATCGAATTTTTGACCTTCGATAAATTGCTAGTCAAACTTACCCTCAATATAAATCCAGAGCCAATGTCCATAAGTAGAACGAAAACAAGAAGAGCAGAAAGCCAAAACCTTGTCATGATTCGGGCTTCTGAATTTGAAAAAAAGACTGCGAAACAGATGAGCAGCGAACGGAGCGATATTTTTGCTTACGAAAAATTTTTATGCAAATCTCGTTTCTCGGGATTTTTCAACACGAACATGTGACGTTTTTTTCTGAATTTGAGATGAATGAAAATGGCGAATTGTGCGGGAAAAGACGTGGTTATGAACAATAAGGAAGATAATTTCCATGACGAATCGCTCCAATTTTTTTGTTTTTGAACATCTTTTTGTTGATTGCTTTTCCTTACGCTAAAAAAAAGGTACAGAAGAAAATCTCTGTTGGTAGTCGAAATCGTCAAAATTGGAAAATGAACAAAATTCAACTGAATCACAACAAAATTTTAGTTTCAAATCCAAAACTTTTTATTCCGTTTTTGCTCGCTTTTCATTCAACTTAGCATCAACGTTTTGGGTTTTCTTTAAAAAATTCCAATCTTTCACATTCTTCGCAACGAAATATTCATGTAAGTCCCTGAAAATTGTTACAAGCGAATTGAAAAGAGCAGCGTGATATTAACAAGGTATAGAGACGACGAGCCGTTTTGAGTGTTATTTTGAGAAGTTGGAGAACTTCAGACATCCCAGCAAAGACTTTTTGTCAGATTCTCGAGCGCGAGTTTTTCAGCTTCATTTTGAAAAAATTAATAAAAGTGAGAATTCTTAGGAATTTTTCAAAAGCATAGAATACTGGAGTGGCATGTGAGGTACTCAGTGTGAAGTGTTCTTCGGGGGAAAAAAATTCTGAGAGTGTGAGAAATAACGTCATCGCACGTGAATCTCGAAATATACGATTGAATAATAATAAGCTTCTGCGCAAATCCTAATTTTTAAGCAAAAAAAAAATAATAATAAGAATATTACACCTGCAAGACATTTAAATAGGTATAGTGACGACAAAGTGGAAATTTATGAGCCAAATTTTTGGGTAATGTCATTTTTCTGAGAAATTGAAATGACTAAATCCATTTGCGAGGTGGAAATGAGCTAGACTTCCTATTCTGACGCAAAAAGAACGTTGTACTGAAATTTACTAAGTTTTGAACATATTTTCAGGTTCCACATATTTTTAATGTAATATACCTCGTATGAAAAATCTAGGATGATAAAAAAAAACAAAGAAAAATAGCAAATATAGTTTCATGCCTTTAAAATCGTGAATGATATCTAGAAGTCTAGTTGGAAGTTAATGTTTTATGTTCTTTAAACTTCATAATTTAGCGCAATACATGAAACCGGTACCTCTTTTAAAAATGCCCTTTTTCCGATATGAACTTCAAACTTTGAGGATAAACTTCTGTAAGGAAAAATAGAAACTGCATGGAAGGCTGAGAAACTTGTAGAAGGGTTTTTGAAAGTATATGTCGACGATTCAACTGCAGGAAACATTTTGAAGTTTAACCGATGACGCCATAATAGGAAAAAAAGACATAGCGAACTTCTCTGGAAAAAGATTCTCACAAATCCCTTTTAAATTTTAATCCCCACGAAACGCCACGAAAACCAGAGGGAGAAAAAATGAAGACGTTGAGGCATCGAAGAACACATGATTCTGTCAAGGGGCGGGGCTCACTGAGTCATCGTAGCTCTGGATCTTGGGAAAATGGAAATTGTTGGTTATGCGGAAGTTAGTCAATTCATATTTGAGATGTATCCGTACGATTCTTCCAAGGTTCTGCGTGAGCCGGGTCCTATCGGTCATTTTCTAAGCTCGACCAGGATCAAGTTGAAAGCATGGTCTTACCAGCGAGTCATCTCTCAATTTGGCTGGTCACTCTTCCGGTGTTTCAAAGTTGACTTGGTTTAGAATAACACAAACTCAGTCTTGTCAGGTAGTCGTGAAATAACTGGGCTTTCTTGCAAACTTTCTATTACAATCGAAATTATTTTTCATTTTATTTTTTCAAAACTCTAAAATTGCATTTGAAGATATATATTAGACAGTAGTAAAAAGGTTTCAAAATAGGAATAACGAAAATTTCTAAACAGGGCGTTTAGATTACGCTCTTTCGCTTGGAAGAGATGTAAATACTTTTTGAATTAGAACTTAAAAAAATCGGTATTAGCTACGCACCACGAAATAACTTTTTCGAGAATCCAGAAAAGGGCTGAATAACACAAGAAGCTTCTTTTTCCCATTTCGGGAATTGAATAAATTTCCTACTACTTAAATATGTAAAGCATACTCTTTGTGCCGAACACAAACAATGGAGAATCTTGTCCAAGGATTACTAAAAAAAAAGTCAAAACGGACGGAAAACAAATGTAGAGGTAAAGTGAATTGAGGGCATCAGTTGGAAAAAAAGGCTTTTTGTTATATTATAATTTGAAAGCAATTTGAAAAATGCCTTTTCATTGCGGTAAACTGACATAGAACGAAAATCTTTATCTAATTTCGAAAATGGCTTTCCCGTTTACTTGACGAGCCACCCGATGCTGCGAGAACGAAATGCTTCTGGAAGTAAAAATTAAGGAAATTCAGTAACGGCTTTACAAAAAAAAATGTAATCTCTAGTCTCTTTTGTTTTCCTTACAAGTAAGATAGTTTTACGTTGCACTCTTGGATTTTCGGAAATTTTTCATGATATCTTTGATTTACCAAACGAAGACTCTGGAAATATCAACTTGCAAGAGTTTCTAGTTATTTTGAAAGATAGCTTCAAAAAGAGAATGATTCATTCAGGGAATAAGACTTTTTGGATCTTTCTCCATCTGGTTCATCAAAGAGTGTCATGGACAACTTTATGAACATCCAGAGTGAAAAGTGAAATTATTTTTTTTGTGATTGACATTCGAAAAAAAAAAACGGATGTATTATTATTATTTTTGAAGTAACTTCTTACCCTAGTTCTTCTTGGGTCCTAGATGGTAATAGAAGGTGCGAAGCCCGTTGAGCCCCATCCAACCGTTACCGCTCTCTCGTTTTTCTTCGGTTTGATACATCGATGGAGAAACTAAAAATTTTCATTGGTTGTTGTTTATAAAATAGGATCTCTTCGAGTTTCCATTTGAGATAAGAATGTGAGAAGGTTCCGCTATTTGATTAAGGTTGCCAATTTTTAACGCATTTTTGAAAATGAATAATTTAATGGTTACTGAAAAAGACTGAAAAAAACTTCTCTAGATTATTGACATTTTTCTGGAAAAATCATTGAGATTATTTCGTCTCAGAAAAAAAAACCCTCACCTGTTTTTTCAGACCACTTTTGATGTCTCGATGGGCCATCGCGAAGATGAAGGCGTGGGCGAGCCCGGACAGCGTCGCGCAAGTCCCCACGAAGAACGAAACCTCGTCTAGCCACTGCGAATTTCTACTTATAGGACGAAGAACTGAGATATAATTGAAAATAAGACAAAAATTCCAATGTTTTTACTTTTTCGGATGCTCATGGCGAGCAATAGGTTTCAATTTTTTTGAAAAGAATGAGAAAAAAATAATAATAATTTTTGAGCGAAATCACCAGAAAAAAATTAATCAGTTTTTAAATCTTTGATTCTTGATTTTTTTTGTTAAACATGCTGACAGCTTTTTGAAGTAAGATTGTAACTATTAAGCTTTACCTTGAGCTCTACAAGAGTGCCGACGCCATTCAGGCATCCTGGAACGACGCCAATCAACGCCGACGTCATCAAAATGTACAGTGCCACGCGGTTGGCCTGAAAGGTATCGAAAATTATTTTCCCGAAGGTTCAAAGTCTGTTTAAAACGTCTTGCTGTCTCGTTGAAAGGTTTTTTTTTAAATTTAGTAGTTTCCTGTAAGAAATTGGCGCCTTGGCATGAAGATTTTCGAACGGACCATTGAAAAAATGATTGACCGCTTTTTTGAGCTTTCTTCACGAGGAAACTTGGGGCGCTGACATCAGAAAAGCAATTTGCGCACCAATTCCATAAGAACCAAATCTGCTCTTTTTTATTATGGAAAAGTAACGGATAGTGGTTCCGAGTTTATCTCATTTCCATGAGAAAAAAAACGAATCAAACATTTTCTTTGATTATAAAACTTAATCAAACTTTAGTTTTATTTTTTTTATTAAAATAAAAACTGGATGGTATCTAGTTCTGAAATGGACATCACTACGCTGTATTTATACTAGGAACTAAAGAAAACTTGCTTGTTTATTCAATTGAACTTCGTTTGATAATTTAAAAAAAAAAGAAATGAAAAACTCACGCTCTTGTCTATTTTTCGAAAGTTGCTCTTCTCGATTTCTACAATTCTTTTCGAAGAACTGCTATGTGTGCACAAATGAAACATGATCATCAAGGTGAGGATGAAAGACAGCAGGTTCATCACCATGTTTGAAAGGCCCCACCAGACTCGGAACGTCTTAAGAAAATAAAAAATCAGGCCGTCATTTTGGACATAACCACAAGTTAACTAACATTTTCTGGTTTTCACTTAGGCGATCTATTGGAAACTAACTTTGTTTGTGAAGCAACCAAAAGAGGCGCAGCCAGGGACCTCGCGAATATCGACCAGTATTTGAAGCAAAATCCAATCGATGAAAGCTAGAGTTAGGGCGAGTACAAAGGCGGCGATGCTCCACCTGAAAGGAACATTTTCTATTTTCATTTTTCGATAGACGCATCAAAAGTTTATCTTCACCCAGGTATCAAATGAGAAACTTTGCAAAGTAATTCACTCCAATTGTGTAGGCGAACCATAAATCTGCCCTAAATGTGTTGTGCTCGAACGTGTTAGGAGCGTGAGCATCGACCAACGTGTTTATCAAAAATGGGTGAAATATTGAAAAGGTTCGAGTGACGAAATAGGAAAACAGCAAGAAATTTTGAGAATCAAAAGTGCGAGATCGTGATAAACATTCGAAGAGGATACTTTGTTTTTTTATATGAAATCAATAATCATGTTAACTTATGTAGATTCTTAGAAAAAAATGTCTCTGCAAGGTTTAATATTTTTTATAACGAAGAAAGTGTTTTTTTGTTTACAAACGAGCTTCAGTAACGCTGAGCAATTTTTAAGTTTGAAAAATTTGCATACATATGTCTTACCACCTTCAAAAAAACATTCGAGCTGTTTAAGCGGATTTTTTTTTGTTTTTGTTGAAATTCCCGCCTCAAAATCGCTGATAACTTGCCTCTAGTTTCTATATCTTTTAATCTATCAATATATCACAGAGCTATTATTTTTTGCTTTCGTCGTTATTCAAAAAAAAAAAAGTGTTGCCCAATGAGTAACTCGCACATCTTCTTGGACTTTCTGTAGTACTGGGCGGGAAAGCAGAGCGCGAGGACGCGGTCGACGGCGATCGCCGTCGTCACCGTGCAGCCGCTTTTCATCAGGGCTGCCGCCGGTCCAAACAACGGTACAATCACGCGGGGATTGTACTCGAACGTTTTGCCTGTAACAATTTTCGTTCACAAGATAATCAATGGGATAGGTCGATTAGGTATCGTCCAAGCTCTATTAGGGATTCGTTCCGATTTTCAATCATTTTAAACCTCCATCTAAGTCACAATTATCTCAATGAACATTTTAATCAGAATTTTAACATTTTTATTCATTCCAGAACTGCAACACTTCCTGTGAACGCTGTTTGAACTTGAAAAAAAAAATCGAAATGCCAAGAAGTCAAAAATAACTTTGAACGATTTAATTTTCTCCGAGAAATTGTCAAGGATAATAATCTCACGTTTTCGATGACATGGACAAGGAATTGCTCGCGCAATCATAGTACCGTAGGAAAATGTATGTTATTATAGTTTTTTTTTTTGCAAAATTCACTGACTTCCACATCAAAATGGAATGGAAAAAACAGGAACTTGAAATTTGTGAGGTTTTTTTGATGAAAAAAAGTTCAAACCCTATAATTTTTTTAAACTTAAACTCTTCATAGAAGTTTTTTTGATTATATATGCTTAATGGGGATCCTTTTGAGTTTCTCACAGGTCTATTATTATTGAACTTATGGGCTCCAAGTTAGCTTTGAGGACCCGAAAACGGCTGAAGAGCATCAAAATTTGGGTATTCGGCTTTAGACAGGAGTAACAAATGAATTTTATCGTAGTGAAGACTTTTTTTTTAAAGTGACCGTAGTTAACGGCCTTGAAATGTCTTTTTAAAAATTCCAGACCAGACAGTTTTCAATCAAATTTATACGGCAGTTCAACGCTTTTCACACTTTCCGAAGTTTAATTTTTTGCCCACTTTGCCAAAAAAGATCACCTGATGGAACCCATCCTCTGAAAAGAATAATGAGGTAGGGGAAATTTATGGAAGCGTAGACAAAGTCGATGAATGCCAGAGAGACGAGAAGAATGAGGTTGTCATTGCGCATGAGCCGCTTGTCTCCAGACCAAACAAGGAGCACGACGAGGTTGGAGGTGATCTGCAGCACGCAGATCGTCATCAGGAACACGTTTACTCCAAGAACCATCTCGTTGGTGATCATCTTCTCTAAACTCTTCTTGTTATCAATCGCATGAGAGAGAAAGTCTGTTTCTGATAGGAATAGGTGACATCAAAGAGCTCAGTGGCTTAGTTTGCTAGGATGCGAAGTTGCATAGCAAAATTTTTTAATTTATATAGTTGCGGATTCCTAAAGCGTCATTGGCGCTTTCCAAATGAAAAGATCTGTTGTGGAGCTTATCATCGAAAAATTTTTGTTATCCAAAATATCGTAAAAAAAATTTAAAAATCTAATAATCTTCTTAACTTTTCAGGAAAATTGTGAACCTTCCTAATTAGACTCTCTAGAAGCTTATTTAGCTCAAAAGGAAAAAAAAGCAGCCTGATAACTTGATGAAAAGGCCTCTGAGATGTACTTATAGATTCTAGATGCACATATATCCTCTGATGCTGAATCTTGGAAGATGAAAATTTCTAATCGGTTTTGAAAAATACAGACACACATTTTGAAAATTAACTTTGATAAAAGCGGATACCCTAAGCAATTATAATGGCAAAAAAGTCAAAAAAGAAAGTTATTTCTGATGTATCGTCCTTGCTCCTGCAAAAAAAAAAACGTTCCAAAAATGAATTCGCACAAGGACATACATTTGAAGCAATGTGCGAGAGCAATTTGGCCGTTTTGTGGGCGTTCCGAAGTTTTTTTTTTCAAAGGCATATGCTTTGATCAAATTTTGATTTGATTCGTTTGAAACAACGTAGTGAGTTGGAGCAAATCAAATAAATCATGTTAGAGAAAAAAACGAAACTATTTTTGGATTTCTAGAACCGCTTTTTTCTTAGAAAACTTTTTCGAACACGTTCGAGTGAGATTACGTGTTAAGTTAGAAATTTCATCTAAACTTCTTCAGTTCCACGGAAGAAATAATTTTTAAGGTCATTAGATTGATTCAAAAAACGCCATAAACTTGCAGATTTTGGAAATCTTGGTTAATGCAGATCGTTTCTTCATAATCGATCCCTTTATTAACTATTTTCCATATAGTTCAATTCTTCTATTATTTTATAGAATTATTAAATAGAAGAAATTTTATCGTAAATTAATTTTGAAAAAAAAAGGATTCCGGTTCATTATAAAAAAAATCATAAAACGTGAGTTACTGAAGATTAAATTAATCTCCACTTCCCTTTTAAAAAATGAACGGAAAGTTTAAAAAGCCATATAATTTGGTCCGCTAACGCCGAGGCGGAAATAAGATTACCGCGTCTACATCAAAAAAATTACGCAAAAAAAAACAATAGAATTAAATTTTGAGTTTTTCAATTAAAAACTTTCTGGCTACCATGGGAATGGTTATATGAGCGATAAGACGTGACGAAATGTTGAAAAAAGGCGGTTGGAAGGCCGATTTTCAACCTTCTAAGTACCGCCTTTGCAAAAACATTGTATGTACTGATTTGATAGAAAATTCGTCGACGGTTCCGGTTAGAACTAGCAATTTATCTCACTTTTTAAACAAAAACAAACGAGAAGCTCACGCAGTTTACAAAAGGAGGAGTTGGCCGATTTCAAGTGTGGAGATAGAATAAAATTATTGAAAGATGGGTCTTATGGCAGTTTGATAAGGTGTAATTTTTAGAGGTAAACTACGAATTTATTAATAAGTAGTTCTAACAAAAAACAACAGTGAAATTGATCAAAGTGCATGTAAATTGGTGGTTTTTGCTATTTTCAGCTATAAGTGTTGCTCAAAGATACGAGATCATCCACTTATATCTTGAGCTCCGCCTTTTTTTCAGATGGTCTTGATGAAACCATAAACATCGTAAAATGGAGATCATTAATTAGAGATTATTCTAATAGCCTATATTTATAAAGAAAAGAAGGAAGGACAGGTGCACTCAAGCGATAAATTTTAGAGTGCATAAATATTTGTGAAAAATAAACTCTGATTCGTGTCAGAACTTAAAAAATCAGTAAAACTTAGAGAAGCTGGTAATTGAGCGTTCAACGAAGTAGCAAGTCAATGAAATGATTCCACCGTAATCCGTAAATTCCCTTGAGAAATCGTGGCGAAAGAAGAATAGTGGAAGGGGAATCATGTTTCTAATAAATTTGACCTTTCTTCAAAACTTAAAAGCTAGGGAAGTTCATAACACTGCAAAATTCATTAGCAGATATATGATATGAAGGAAGTGTTCAGAAAAATTGGATTCATTAGTTTGTTTTCAAGTTGAAACTGCAGGAAACTTCTCTGCAATTTTTTCAACAAAATAAAATCCAAATTAGGCCCGTGAGAAATTTGAAAAAAGGCGTGGCTGTTTAGAGCATTGAGAATTAGTCGCGAGGAAAGAAAATGGGTCAAAATTTCGGCGCAAAGGATTTTTATAATTATGATGAATGACAGCTTCATGGGTGAGTTCGGTGTGCAAATCACTACTAGAACGCACTCATGGGAAGTTTTGTGAAAATAGAGTCATTTTTTGGTGAGAGTTTCCTGGAAAAAAACGCGTTTCGCCTTTAAACATATCTTTTTTATTCCGGCAAGAAAACTAGTTCAAATCTAACTATTATAATTTGTTGAAGATTTGATTAAACTTATAACGCTGTGACTAACGGCTATATACCCCTTTAGCGACTGAATTAGGTGATTTTGGCTGTGATATGAGCCTCGGCGCGCAAATTTATTAGATTTGTGCAAAAAAAAGTTTATCTTCTGTTCGTTTATTCTACTTACTTCCAATAAATGCCCTAAAAAAAAATGAACCCCCTTTTTTGCAGAACAGACTCGCTAGTTAAATGGCCTAGGTCAACTTCAAGGATCCTGAAAATCAATTTTTTTATTAACTTGTCAACTTAATTTTTAAAAATTTTTTTAAAGAAGGTTTTTCATGCTTTCAAGAGGTGAAGGAAATTTTAAAAAAAGGTAGTAGTGCTTTCAAAATTTGGAATATTACCGCAGGTGAAAAGGAGATCAGAGTCCAGATTATGATTGCTAGGATGAAATCACGTAGCTTTCGACATTTTTTTAAAAACTGAATTTTTAGAATTTTGAACTTTCTGCGATTTTCTTTAAATCAGGAAGATTCGAACAAATTTGATTAAGAGAGTCAACCTCACAGCTTTTCATACGCAACTTCAAGGAAAAATCCGAATTTTTTGGCTAAACTTTTTTTCATGCATATCTTCTATAAGATCATTTTTTTTTTCAATTTCCGCGCTAAGTTTTTTGGATATACCAATCTTGATTGTAACCTCAAAAAATCATCCATATCAGTGTGCGAATCACCGGATTCTCATCGAGCTACAACAGTAAAGTAGTACAAAACTACTACCAATTGCTGAAAGAAGGCGTTTTTTCGGAGTTGAGAATTTTTTCGCAGAACGCACCGGAGAATAATGGACGAGGCGAGGATGAGCAACACGACGACTACCAGGCGGCCGCTGAATCAGCACCGCCGGCGAACACAAGGAGTACCATTGCGGATGTGGGTGGGCAACTCTTCGCCGAGGCCCTTAAAAGTCGTCGTCCGGCGATTCTCACTCCATCCTGAATTCTCCGAATGCTCCTCCAGCTTCTCGCCTTCGCTTCCATCGCCACAGGTTCTTGTTTCGGAATTTTGACTGCTCCTTTCTGTTTTCACAACCGCAATTCTTACCCGTCTTTTGAAGAATTATAATCTACTATCAATGATGGAAACGATTACTGTATAGTAGGATTTTTCGAAATCTTGAAAAGGCCATATTTCGGGAATTCTCTTTTTTGTTTCAGATTTAACTCAAGCGCGCTTGAAGAATCTCGAAAAATTCCAACTTTGCACTTGAATGACTTTTTTCATTTTGCAACATTTTTTATTGATCCATTTTTAAAGTTCATATGAAATATAAGCTAATTTTCGCGAGAATAATCTGCTTAAGATACTAATAAAGCCCTACCGTAACCTGTGACAAGCTAGTACGGTATATCCATTGTCAAGAAAAAGATGAATTCTAGAGAATTTGAGCTTATCGAAGAGTTCTATCCTTATGTTTTCTCTTCAGCGGCTCTCGGTCACTATGTACCAGCGCCATTCCTTCCCCGACCGGGAAATCCGTCCATCGGCGGCTACATCGTTCCGCAGCCGAACTTCGTCCCCCAGCCTAGCTTTGTTCCTCAAGGTGGCATCATCATTCCGTCTTCTCCGCCGCTTCGTCCGCCAATCTTCCCTTTCGGACCGCGACCGCTAACTCCGCCACGCATCTCGGTACTGTATTTCTGGCTCCGCTTGATTCTCGCTTCTTTCTGCAAAAAAATTACAAAGTTGTTAGGTACTCATTTTTCTCTGCTGAATAATTTAAGCTTCAGAATTAGCAATTTTCGCAGATTGACGCCTTCAGGATATCATTTCAGATTATCAACGAGTGTTTCAGCCACTTTTTTTTTAATTTCAAAGGTTCGAGTAGAATGACATTCCTTGTCTGCACGAAACAGAAAGATTACTGAAAAGGGAAAACCTTGAACAAATATTGCAACCCTGAAAATAGAGTACCAGTATTCAAAACCTTTTATATTCTAGAAAAATTTATTCCATCAGAACTGCCGAGTGTGCAAAGTTTGCTGTGACGCAACCGTGCCTATCTTGCGGCCACCGACTCCCGCCGTCATTGGCGCGACCGGCTATAACCAGCAAATCGTGATCCGTCAACAGCAACAGCAGCAGCGTAATAATTAGTTTCTTCTCAAAAATAACAGGAAATAGCCTTCAAACGCCTTGTAAGTTGTTTCAGCCTGCTGCCCATGCAGCACTTCGTCCTGCGTCACTCAGACACAGAATCGGCCTTAGTAAGTTCAATTCAACGTTATTTCAACCTTTGACAAGTTCAGCCTCCCACTGCCGCCCCTGCCCCCGCCTTTCTTGCCACCAGTGCCGGTGATCATCCCGCCACGGCCTCCAGTTATTTCGGCCCCATGGTACTGATTACAAAAAGATAGAAATGGCATAAAAATGTAGATTAAAAGCTTGACTCCCGGGTACAAATTTGAGAAAAAAAAAAGTGGGAAACGATCTCATTCCCAACTCCGAATGGTTCTTTTGAATGTGTCACTGAAAAAGATTGTAATATGAAGTTTCGAAGCGAAAGTCCTCGGCTTTTTTTTTCCAGGTGTTCCCCGTAATTTCCGAGTTAGATTAGTAAAGAAAATTGCGTAGGATGGTTTTTTTTGGTTTTCCCTTCAAAATGAAGTACAGCGTTTCTTTTTCGAAGATTTAAATTACATTTTAAGCATCCAGTGTAACATCTGAGTACGGAAAAAAAGAAATTTGCCTTGTGAAGATACTGAACTTTTGAAAACCTCGTCATTTTCTCGTTTTCCAGCCAATCTCCTTCGTCACCACAACCGATTCCTGGCACTCCTTGGTGAGCTTATCTCGAAGGAAACCAAAAATAAACAAAAATTTCTCTCAGCTCAACGACGACCATCATCCGTCCTCAGCCTGGTAGCGTCTACCGTCAGCCGCAGCTTCCATTTCCTCAGTTGCCTTATGTTAGCATGCCTTCTTACCAGACACCTCCTCCGAGCTACATCGTCCCTCCAACCACCACTCAGGGCTACCAGACTCCTCCACCAACCTATGCGACGCCTCCACAAACTTATGCGACGCCTCCACCAACTTATGCGACGCTTCCACCAACTTATGCGACGCCTCCACTAATTTATGCGACGCCTCCACCAACTTATGCGACGCCTCCCCCGACTTACGCGACCCCGCCGCCTGTCAAATATGTTCAGCCAACCTATGTTACCGCTACCAATTCCTATGTTGTGCCAACGCAGCCGCCACCAGCCTACGCCGTCGTCGACAAGTACAGAGTTGCAGGACCGTCTGTTTATCCTCAGCCTGGTGTTCCTCAACCGATTCCTGTCCCACAGCCGTTCCCACTTCCAGTGCCGGCTCCGCAGCCTGTACCTCAGCCACAGCCTCTTCCGTTTGTTTTTCTCATTGAAAATATTTGGCTAGTTATGTAGGACAGTCAGTCAAGTTTTTTTTTGCTAAAAAATGACTTACTCCGAAAAAAAAAGTAGAAAAATTTTGCCGATTAATTAAAAAAAAAGAGGAAAAGTATTGGCTTCACGGCTTTTTGATAAAAAGCTTCTAACGGTAATTTTCTGAAAGTTTCACTTTTTGGGCTTCAGAATTACATGCTTCATGACTTTTTGGGCATCTTCATTTAACGAAATTCGAGTTAACGCTTAATGTTTTTTTCTGCTCGGTCGAACAAACTTTATCAAACAGATACACGCCAAGACAACCCCAGCCAACGATTCCCCCAGTCGTGCCAGGTCAACCAACTTCATCGCAGTAAATATTTCCTGAACTTCTTTGAAAGATTAGAAAATACTTAAGGGGATGCTGTTTCGTGACCCTACAATCCATTCAGGCGACAGTCAGTTGTGGCGGCCAGGGTACTCAGGTAAAACGAATCGCAAGAAACAGCTATTTGAGAGTATTGAAATTCTTTCATGATACTGTAATTTCTAGTGCTGCACCAGAGGCGACTGCTCAACTCTCAGGAACATGACCATTAACATTCAGTCGAGTGAGAATAATTCTATTGTTCTATTAAATGAATAACACATTCAGACATTGTGATCCCACAGACGCGCATGACGTGCGACGAAGCCATCCAACGTGGATACATTCAGTGAGTTTGAAATTGGTTGAAGATTCCGAGGAACGTGTAGAAATAGAACAGTTCTGTGAGCTGTTCAAAATTCAGTTTTTTTTCGGAAGGTGGGAATCTTTGACTGTAGATTTTAGTGGTACTACTGTGAGAATGGAACGGTTTCACCCATTTTTTCGAGTAACTTCTTACTTCTCTTTGTTTTTCGAAAATCCGAACGATCGACCTTTTTTGGTCATTCTTCATAATAGTAACCAACTGATCCATGATTCTAGAGCGTCGGCCATTTCGGGCTTCTGCACGACTTACCGGCCATTCGAGCCGTCCTACAATCCTTATGACAGCTCTTCTACTACCACTATTACCACTCCGATCGTCGTCGTCGGTGACGTCACGACCGTCACTCCTTATAATGATTACGTCACCAAGTGGGATCACAGTTGTAGAGAAAGTTGAGCAATGTATTTCAGGCCCAACGCGGGATCATCACCGCAACACTTTGAACAGGTGACTGAGTTTTTTTTTTACTCTTGCATGTTTTTTTCTCTGGATTGACCCCGCCTTTTCGAGATTTTGAATTTTCTGTAATTATTTTGAATCTTTCAAGTGGTCATCTTTGGACTCTGAAGGCTATTGAGTAGCTCTTCTAATATTAAAAATTTGCATCAGAATAGTTTTTTTTTTCAAGTGATCATATTTTTTTATGCTAAGAGAACTTGAATCCTCTCAAAGAAAGGAATTATATACATTTCTAAAACTCAGAGAAGGCTAATCAGTGACGTCATTATTTACATAGAAAGGAATTAAATACATCCTGAAAAGCAGAAAATTTTATTACGGCTTTATTCCAAAGGTCGAATCTCCTTATTTTTAATTTCCTTGGTGAAGGAAATATGTCCTATTTCGAAAAGCTCATGTCCTCAAAATTTCAAACATATTTTAAAAATCATTCTGTGAATCACTCAAGTTGAGAACATGATTAAAAGTCTAGCATATCTATTTTGAAAATTGAAAATCTGCGTCAGACTCAGACTCATTTTCGACTCAAATAAAAGTTAATAGAAGTGATGTCACCGGCACCGCTGTCATTCTCAATATGACTCGAAATGATTAAAAAAAACATCATTTCAATTTCTCTTTTCAGAACTCGGCGTCGGTGTCAGTCTTCTCAGCCTTCTTGGCCCTTGTCATCTGCACGATCTTCTTCTGCTGACGTCATCACCACGGATGCAACGATATCTTTGTATTGTAATGATATTAACGTTATGAACTTCACAATAAGACTGCTATTTATTACTCGTGACTCGAAAACAAGAAAAAAAAAGGTCAAACGAAAGGTCACTTCATGGAATTTCGAAGGAAAGATGAAGTTTCGAGAGCCAGGAAGAAATTTCGAGTTTGATTTTGAGTCAGCCTGGTTTTGGTTGTATCTTTCTCCGTGTAGGCCGAGATTTAGCCGCCACTCTAAGACTCTAACATTATATCGATGCGAAGGGAAAACAATACATCAAAAGTTTATTTCACAATATTTCCACGTTCATTTTTCCCGGAACAGAATGATTCGAACTGAAAAACGAGTAACACAAACGAACAAAAGGCTAGCCGTATTATGCACTACACCATAGGGTTAAGAAGAGTCGTCGAGTGGTTTCTGTTGAGCCTCAAGTTTTTCTTTTTCTTCGGGCCATTAGGAACGCGGAAAAGCTGAAATTAGTTTCTTGGTTGGACTTTCCTGTCTTTGGACTGTCTGTGATCTTTTATTAGTAACCTTGTCGCGGTTTTCGAAGAATCATATGATGCAGTTAACCTTTTTTTTTTGAGCGGTTTTCCGAGCTGTTTCGAGCCATACTTGTCATCTGCACCTTTGAACACCACAGTAAACATTTTTGAAAAAAAATATGCGAACAATGTTGTACTTCATCGAAGTTTTCTTGAAAAGCCCCGACAAGATCGATTTTAAGAAAAAAAAAACTCAACAAAGAATATTTTACACGATTAGTTTGTCCCTTTATAATTTTTTTATTGAGTATTGAGTGATTTTCTCATAAGAAGTTTGACATGGGATTAGATTAATTCACTTGAAATAAATTTTTTTCTTTGTGAAAAAAATGGGAGTAAAATCAAAATTTATTCGATTATTCAGCGTGTTTAAATTAAGCACGGATGAAACACCAAAAGGTCATCAACTTTTCGAAATTTTCAATGAATAAAAAAAGGAACTAAAGAACTTTTTCAGAAGTATACACCCAAAGTTTTGCAAGTCGATCTTTATGCAGAAGTTGGGGTCAATTTTTTTCACTTTTTTTCTGATCAAAGGGATAATTTCAGCATTTTCAGGACTCCTACCTGAATTTGGGAACATTCTCCGGAATGCGAAGGCGTCCGAGGAACCAGGCTTATTCTCGTCGTTGCGCACGAACGGTAACCGCAGCATCATCCTCCGCTTCAGGGGCACTCTTCCCGTCTCGACACTGAAAACAAGATTAGTTCCAGAAAGTTGAAAATAAAGCACTATCCGAGAAATTGGCCCCCGAAAATGACCTTCAGTGAAAAAACCCTTGTAAAAAGTCAAAGCTTCGGTACAAGTTTCAAACTTTTTATTTTGAAAAGATTACATTTATTTTTGAATGTTTTTGGCGGCTTATTACATCTCTTATTAAATTCTCAGATTTTTATCTTTAGAAATAATCTTAAAGGTTCTGGCTGATAACTTTTCCAGGTAAAAAAATCATGACTCTTTAGTACGAAATTGAGAAACGGACGAAGGTCTGAAGAGAACCCAGACAACGAATATTTCCTCTACTTCTCTGATGTCTCTTCAGGCCACCGCTGTTCTCACATCCGCTGACCATTTTTGACCTTTGTTAGGGTTTACTCGGTTCGCGAAACCAAAACAAATAATTTTTAACCAAAACTTTAGAAAAACTTTTTGAATATGCACAATAATTTTTTTTTGTTCTGAAGCATTTTTTGAGAAACGTTCCACTCTAATTTTAATTTCTATTTTTTCCAATTTTGTAATACGTGACAGGAGACTTGCTACTTGCTCAAATCAATGTTAAAGGCCATACACTGAGTTAGTAATTTATGAAGCTGTCCAGTGACAAAAAACAATAAAAGGCTTTATGTAAGTTACAGACTAAGAACCAAAACGAACCTAGCAAGACATGTGAAGAGAAGAACGCAAGCGAGCAGGACGCGCAAAATGCGCATCACCGGTTGCTGCAAAAATGACGAGATTCGGATTCGAAACGAATGAGAATCGTCAAAAAATTATGGAAACGGTTTTTCAGGTGTCTCGATCGCCTGCAAAAAAAAAGAAGTTGTCTGTCGCGTGACAAAATAGAGAAAAGGGTATGAAAACGGAACTGGACCTCTATAACGAATTCTGTGCATTTGAAGTAAAATATGGGAGGAGCAACTCAACTGAGGCTCATTTCCGAAGGAGAGGAAGGAGAGGCTCCAGACAATTGGGCATCGAAAAAAGAGAGGATGACCTAATATGTTCTTTCTGATAAAAATTAGTTTCAGTATGTACTGGTCGCTCTTAATTTTTTTTTTTTTGATACAGAATCTTTATAAATAGCACTTTCTTATGAAAAAGATTTTACAAAGAAAATTTTGGGATTGAGACTTCCCTGAAAGTAGGCCAGAACACTCTTTGATGTACCAGAAGAATATCCTAAAAGTCTTTGACATTGGAGTTTCCTTTCTCAAAAATAGAAAGTTGTGCAGGTTGAGACTTTCAAGGTCTTCATTTGGTATAGCAAGGAGTGATATGACCATTTTCCAGGAGATTCACAGCCACAATGACCTTCCTTGCTAGGTTTGAAGGACCAAAGCTCCTTCCTTAATCGTTTTCAGCAACCGACAAAATGATCGTTTTTTTGTTTTGTAGTTCGACTACATTTGTTTTCGTTCCAGCCGAAATAAGCAAGAATGAATGTTACCTTTTTTGCTCGGCTCAGAAATCACTTTTTCAATAGTTTTTCATAGACTTGGTCACTTTGAAGCGTCCAGAGAAGATCAACCAATAAAGAAAAAGTGCTCGAGAATTGAAATTTTTATTTGAGGACATTTTTTTGAAGCTTAGAACTCAATTTTTGGAAGTTATAAGCTCATCTCACCTTATTTTTTTAAATAATAGGTTGATTAAAATGTAACAAATGCGAGAGAAAGTCAAAAAAATCAAAAATACTATTTTTTTGAGCATTTTTTTGGGTACATGAAAGCTTAAAGTTATAAATGAACATTTCTCGATTACATCATAGAAGTACACGGGAAAAAAATCACGAGATAGCTGGTCATACGAATAAAATCATTTTTCTCTTATTTTTTTTCTGAAATTTGTGGTTTCCTATGAAAAATCTGCGTGTGACATTTAGAGATTTGTAGCCCGACACGTTTTAATTCTGTTTTGCCAATTCTCTCCAAATGTCGGGATATCAAAAGAGAAAACAATAGAAATGTGTGCAAAATTTTGATATGAATGAAAAGAGAAGAGATTTGTAGCCTTTAGTCACAGGATCGACTCTCATGATTGCTCATTTTTCGAAAAGTTAATTTTAGCCGTTGTCTGATTAATTAAATACACCTACGAGCTCATGTGACGCAATGGGAATATTCGTATTCCCAAACTTCCTGGCCATGTGAAATTTGAAGCTATTCAACTTTTTTTTGAATTTTTCAAAATTTTGGCTCATGAGTTTCCCATTGAAGAATAGTAGGACAAATAATGAAGTGAATTCAGAGCGAACTATAAAATTTTCGGCGTTTTTGGTTCCACTTTAGGGATCGATTCCAAAGTTACAGGCTCCTTTTGAACCTGAAAATACAGAATAATGGGATTTCAAAATTGTCAGTTTGATGAGACTAAAACTGTATGATGGTTTTTTCATTGAGTCTCTTTAGAAATAAATGTTGAATTTCTACAGAAATTGGCGCAAGTTTAAAATGTTTTAAGGGACACTGCAGCTTTTTAACGGTGCTCTGCTTTTTCAGCGCGATTGGTAGCGGACGAAATACAGCAAGAAACAGTCCGAGTTTGAGTCTTACAGGTGATCTCTTCGATTTGGTTAACCTTCAGCCAATCATTCATTTATATGTTTATCAACTAGGCAGTGAACAAGAACTTTCAAAGTTGTATCGAACAACGGCCTTTGGCGAACTAGAAGTCCAAACGTGTAGTTGAAAGTATGGTCTTACGGTCCTTCGCCTCGTTATTCCGCGCGAAGTCCGTTCAGTTGCGCCTTGAAGAGCTCAGAATGGAGTGGATCTTGTGCTGGAGCCCAGAGACCGTGCTCTGGGCGGAAGCCTCGGAATGAGAGCAAGCACTCCGAATGAAGACTACGCTTCGAAGTAATTTTAAGCTTTTTTGTTGGCGCAATCAAAACGAAGAGCGAAACCTTATCAAAAACTAATAAAAGTCCGAAATTTCGATGCGTAGGCAGAAAACCGCGTCCAAATGATAGAATTTTCAAGTTTTATAGAGAATTAGTAGACTCAATGGGAAGAAATAAATTGAAAAGTGTGTAATTGTGAAGAAAAAAGGGTGTCAGCTGAGAGCGACCGGAAATATGACAGCTCAGGGAGAAAAAGGAGTCGTGGGAGAACTTCCTCATTCTTTTACCTACGTCGATGAGACTTTACTTTATGTGATGATTTTATCATTTCCAAAAAAAACTAGTTTTCAGTTGCTAATTAGAACGGGGAGAAGCGCATCGTTTTCCAGAATCCACATCACTTAATCGGCTTATTCATTCAATTACTTCATAGCAATTTATGAGCAAACCTGGAGATTATTATGCATAATGAGGTAATCACTCGAAGGAATAATCTTTTGATAAGAATTTAACAAAAGTTATGCCAAAGGGTATCAATGTTAAAGCTTGAAGAATTAGTTGAAAAAAATTTCTACCAAAATTTACGCCTTGAAACTTCTCTCTTCGCCAACAGTTTTAACAACAAGTTTTGCAAACCTCATAAAAAAAATTGAGAATTTAGACCTCACAAATTAATCGAGAGCCTTTGAAGTTCGTGCGTTACAAAGTTAGGAGAAAAGCTTTTTGCCGCTTTCTATTCAGAAGCCGAATCTTGTGGGTGGTCTGCGGGATAGACGTCATATACAGGCGCGTCCTTTAATAAATTGTCCCGGCCAAATCCCTCTTTATCGTTTTTTTTTTCGTCAATACCAGAACAAAAATAACGTCTTTCTGTTCAGAAAACGAATAAAAAGTCTTTTTTTCGTATATTTCTGAAACTTCAAAATTAAGAAACAGCTGGTTGGACTATAAACTATTAAGCACGGCCGTCGTTATCTTGATCGCTAAAGTAACCGTGAAAGTTCAAAGAAGTACTGGTTTTTTTTCGTTTTCCCAAGTCGTTGAAATCGCGTTCCAATGAAGATCAAACCGAGATAACTTCAACGATTCGGCGATTCCTAAAGGTTATTTTCAATTTTGACAAGTTTTATGGAACGAAATGAGAAAATCGTTATCTGCAAATACTAAACTTTTCGATTTGGCAGTTGACTCTCTATATTTAATATTCATTTATCAAAAATATAACTGACGCGGAAATCCGGAAAAAAAACAGAATCGATCTCTTTTCAGACTGCTCCAAAAGCTTCTTTGAAAAATTTAAAAACCTTATTTTTGTCTTTTTCAGAGTTCGTGAAGCAGTTTCTTGTTCAGAATTTTTCACTGAATTCAAAAATATGACTTTTTTCAAGAAATTCGCATTACGAACAAAAAAACCCTTTTAAGACCGAAATGGACAGCCCAAAAAAACTGTTGGCCAGCGCCCGGGTGGAACAAGTTAGTCGTTTTTTTCATAAATAAAATACATTTTTCTTATGGAAAAAAATTTTTGCTTGAATAAAACATTTGACTCTTATTTCCCAGATCGAAAATACTAAAGCCATTGATTCACTTTTTTTGTTCAAAAAAATTTCAACTTGTGCGAATTCAATTTTTGTGCGCATTATTTTTGCGTTTTTTCAAGTTTTTATTCTAGTTTTTGTTACATTAAAAAATAAAAATTTCATGTCGTTTTCATTTGAAAAATCAACTTCTGCGTTTAGATTCATGAGTTTTTCATGTACCTCTGAAAAAATATCCAACCGTAATCTTTTTTCTTCTATTCCTATCGTAGGAACGATAATCTGGGAAGGAATTCTACGTTATTTCCTCCTATCTCAACTTAGATTTTGCCCAGTTCCAAAAAATCTCGTTGAAAATGCCTTTTTTTTCTCAATTTGTCGAGACGAGTCAAAATTTCACGAAGAGCCGTGACGAGACGAGATCTCGAACAGCCCCGGTGTTGACTCCAAGTCATTTAGTGTGAGGTTTTCGCGCCCCAAAGATTTTGCCGATCTCCCCAAAACACCATTTTGATGTTTGAACGAACGCCACATAGGAACAAAGTGGTAATTAACCCAAAATCAAAGCAAAAACAAGACAAACCGTTCACTCTGGAAATTGTGCCCCTCCGAACAAGGAACAAAAGCGACTGGCACAAATGTTGTTTCGCGGTGGCAGAACCAAACGCTACTGCTTCATAGTCGTCGGCGGCTGGAACGAGTTCCGACGTCGGCGGACGCCTCCTCCGCGCCCCCGACTACATATAAGAAGCGCCAAGTTGCAGCTGCTGCACCGACGTCGCTCACATGGACGAGAAGCAGAAGATTGCCGAGGCCGACGGCCTCAAGCGACTCGCCTTTTTCGGTTTGTTCCCTTCGAATTTCATTCGGCCGTCCGTATATTTCTGAGTTTTTCTTTCGGATAAGAGATTATCCTTTATAAGCCCATTTGGTAGATCAGAAAAGAGGCTTTTTCCCACAAACAGTCTTTGAGAGACTTCTGATCTGAATCAGTTTTAAAACATTCCAAAAAAAAACGAATTCTTTCTGACTTCTTGCTATGTTTCCTGTTCTGTTTGCTCACGAAAACTTGTTAGTAGCAGAAAACATAACCATTCTCAAAAGTTCCAATATTGCTCTACAACAGGAAGGGGGTAACTAAGATAACATTTTGAAAAATCAAAAATGATGAAGTTCGTGTTTTGCTTTTTTCAGAGAACCACGTTTTTGATACCTAAAAATCGATAAGCTTTCAATGAGATTTTTTTCTAGCTCAAAGGTTAAAATGGAACTTCAATATTCAAACACTTTTAATTCATAAATTTCAATAATTTTGCTGTGTTTTTGAGGAGTATGCTTGGTTCCGATAAGTTTTTTTTTTAAAGAAATCATGTATTTTTTAATTTGAGATACGTTCAAAAGTTTTGTCAAAAGTTGAGAAAATAGAATCTTTGAGTTCGCTATACTTATTTTGAAGCTCCTTTCATTCATTTGTTCTCGATTGAAAGATTCACCTTAAAAACTTGAAAAAAAAACTACACTCTTATTTTCTCATACCGACATTTTCACTAGAAAACTAGTTTAGTCTGATACTGATCATCAGAGGCTCAAAAACCGATTTCGTAGGCATCTCCGTCTCGACGATCGCCACTCTGACTGCGATCATCGCCGTGCCCATGCTCTACAACTACATGCAGCACGTGCAATCCTCGCTTCAGAACGAGGTTTTTATCTCTCCAACCTTTTCAAAGTTAATCTCGAATGATTTCCGGTCGAATTCTGTCGTCACAGGACCGACGGCCTTTGGGATGAGTTCCACAGGGTTTGTGCCAGTGTCCAAGCACTTTTGACAAGTCTATGAAGTTTAGTTCGAAACCGTCAAAGGTGTCGAGAGCCGCATCAAGCGCGGTGTCAAGCGATCTCGTCTTCATGGAGCTGAAACCTACGCTCAAGGCGGTGGAGCTGCTGCCGGTGGGGGTGGCGGTGACGGCGGAAGCTGTTGCTCATGCGGAATCGGAGCAGCTGGACCTCCGGGACCACCAGGAGACGACGGAAAGCCAGGAGACGACGGAGCTCCAGGAAACGCCGGAGCTGCTGGAAGCGACGCCGAAGCTCAGGCCGCTCCCTCCGCCGCCGACTTTTGCTTCGACTGTCCACCTGGACCAGCCGGACCTGCTGGCAACGCAGGACCGCCTGGCCCACCAGGAAACGCCGGACCGCCTGGAGAAACTCCATCTGGCGGCGGTCCAGGACCAGCTGGTCCACCTGGGCCACCAGGACCACCAGGAAACGACGGACAACCAGGAGCCCCAGGAAACCCAGGAGCGCCAGGAGAGGTCACTGAAGTTCCAGGAGCTCCAGGACCAGCAGGACCGCCAGGACCAGATGGACCCCCAGGCCCTGCTGGAAACCCAGGAGCTGCAGGATCTTCTGAGCCTGGACCACCAGGACCGCCAGGAGACGCTGGACCAGACGGAACACCTGGAAATCCTGGTGCACCTGGACCTGCTGGAGAGGCTGGAGCCGCTGGATCCGGAGGTTAGTTGTGTTGAGTCACCTCCGATAAATGAGGGTTTTCAGGCGGCTGCGACCACTGCCCACCGCCTCGCACGGCTCCTGGATATTAAGCGACACCGCGCGGGTGTTGACGCGTTTGTTCACAAGTTCACAATCGCTTCGAATAAAACGTTTCGTTTTCTTCCATTCACGCCACGCATCGAAATGTTTTGACAACAATGACGACGAAGACGTTCTTTGTATGTAATCGCCTTTTTCCCTGCGTTGAATGTTCATCATCGTTGTGCTCCTGCTGACGTCGTCAGTGGCGACGTCAACTTATGAGCCTCTTCGTATCCACGTCATCAGCGCCTTTGGGCCATTGCCGCTGCCAATTCAGGTGATAAGCCTGACAGAATAAAACAAGTTATGTTATCACAAGCGTTTTATTTGTATCGATATCCTCGTCGCCCGGGTGGAACCAGTTAGTTGGCCTAGTCCAAACTTCTTACGGCACTTGCAGATTGTTAATGCGCGTGTTTATCTTGAATAAGAAAAACTTGATAGGATCAACAAGTGTGGAAATTTCTGAGCTTGAAATTTGAGGGTAACAAAAATATGTGAAAGGTAGTTTTGTATGGTATATAAAAATTAAGGAACTTGAAAATTATAAATTTTGAAGGCAAAATATCAAAATAGTAATTCGAGAAATGTCTCTGCTAGAAATAAAAAAAGATTCTGGAGTTCTATCAAATATTTTGATACAGTTTTGCAAAACTTTGAGAAGTTTATGATGAAAGAAATATGAAATCTAATTTAGCTGAATATTTTTTACGAGACTTTTTTTATATCATTCCTTGTGTTCATCAGAAGCTAGAAAATCTTAATAAGAGTTTTTATGAATTTGAACTTGTTTTCTTATTCGAAATTCGAAAACTAAAAGAAGGTTCATCTGAATATTTTCGATGAAGAATGAAAAAAAAAAAATGAAAAACAGGGATTCAGGATAGCTTGATAGAATCATTGGAGTCCCTTTCAACTTCAATATCTGTTTTGAAAGACTCTTCTCGCATCGAATGGTCGGAAATCATCGACGCCACATCAGAGTACAAACAGATCTCTTGGATTTATGCGCTGGTAATTTTTTTGTAATAAAAAAACCTTTGAAAAAAGATTCAGAGCGGCCAATTTGAGGAGAATCTACATGTCAATGGGAAAAGGATCGATGAATTTTTGAATGCTGCAGACTTTCTGATCGTCATGCAGGTTTCATTTTTTCTCGGAATACTATTACGAGACGGGAAGAAGCCAAAGAAATCATCTTGAAAAAAATATCCCAGCGGCTTAGGAGTTGATATTTGCAAAACAATGATGAGAAATATGTCGCAAATCGAGTTGTGACTCGACATAATGTCATTAATAGGCTTTCTTGGAAATATACTACGAGAAAAAAGGCTAATACCTTTGCAAGTCACCTTTTCAGGTTTGCTTGATTCAAAAATTAGCCTTGAGTTTTTCAACGGCCTTAGGGAGAAGAGCTTTTTGAAGGGAGAATGGAAATGAAGTTCAACTTTCGAAAATTCAGTTTCGCGCCAGTTTTGCTGAAAATTTGAGAAATATTTAATAATCGAGAAAATATCTGGAACGATGAGCGAAAAAAGGAATGACGAATTGCACGTAACACATTTTTGACAAGTCACCGGTGGAAAAGCATGATAGTATTGAAATTCCCTTCTCTTGATTGAAAAATACTTTGTTTGAAAAAAAAAAGTGAGCGAATAACATGATAAAAGGTGAAAGGCTCAACAATTAGCAAGATGAAGTTAATTAATTGGTTCTCACGTTTGCAATTTGACATTCCAGAGAAATCGGAAAACAAAAAGGTTGACTCAAGCTTGGGAAACCGAATTTTTCGAAATTCTGGAAAAAATTTCTAAAGAATCCCTCAGGGGTTTTACTAGAAAGTTGACTAAACTCCTTGTTCTGTCTGCTAATTTCTGTTGATTTTTCAATCGATGAAAATTGACTTTTCAAAGATTCTCAGAGAAATAGTCGAGCTTGCGGGAAAGATTCGACTTTATTGGCGTCAGCAAAGCCTTACTTCGATGGAGGCCAACACAAACGGTTTATCAACCAAAAACATTTTTCCATGAGATTCTCGATAATATAGGCCACGAATTGGGTTAATGAACGTCTGCGTCGATTCGCCCATCTGGAAAGAGTTCAGAGCCCACGTCGACCTTTTTCGGCACGAAATTCTGCATGCCTTAGTTGGTCCTTCTTTGGTTACAATCTATACCTTCTTTTGAGGGATTCGGTACTTTCTACGCTGGAGATTCAGACAAGAGAGGACCACCTAAGGAGAAACACGCTTGGCAAACAGAACGAGGCGTGAAAGTTCTGAGAAATCGGACCTTTTTGGATTTTTCCTCGTCGGCATTGGTAAATTCTATTCAGACGCAATGGTCGCATTTGGAATGGTTATAAAACGTCGCGGTTGCGTGGCTGAAAGATTTGGACCTGCAGCTTCCTCCAATATTTTCATTTACCTTGCGCGCAAATCGTTTTGATTCGGCTGCGTTTGCGAGGAGCCACAACACTTCAAGCCATTCCACATGCGACCTGATGTGAACCAATTGGAAAAAGAGCTATGTATCATTTCTTCAGAAAGAAGCATCTAAGCACTTTGGTTGTCCAAAACTGAAAGGTATCGAGGCAGAGAACGACAAAAAAATCCATCTCAATGAATATGTTTATGGGGTGAGTTTGATCTGAAACTTATCCAACTTTTTGAAGGGATTTATCAATAACTTTTCATTTAATCGACCTTAATGTCAATCTCAGCCGAATCTTTCATTTGCGTCCAACTTTTATGACTATATAGGCGTGAGAAAACGTTAGAAAGCCTCTAAGTCATGAAATCGTTGGAGTGATAGGAAAGGCTATAGTTTCATCTCGAGGAAATCACTAAAGGTGATAGCCTGGGAAACTATAATAAAAAACTTCTTCAACTTGAGAAGAAGTATGAATTTTCAGAATGAGTTGATGACTCCGCGGCTCTCGAACACCAAAAACTTCTTCACGTTCATTTCGGCGTCCATCCTTGAAGAAACGTTTTTCGGCGCTAAGTTTAATCTCTCTATTTCGGTTCTGTTCTGAAAAGGCCGTAGGCAGTGGTACATGGTGAATAGGACGGCGATATTGGCCGAACAGACGGCCTACTGGTATGGAAAGGGCGGAGGATGCAAGTTTGCCCAGGGAAGCTGTCACGAGTTCATTCGGCATAGAGAAAAGTAAGGAGGGTCGAATACAAGTTTGAGAGAAGTTCATATACCTCATTCGTCAAGATTTGAAGTAGTCGAACTCTTTTGAACCTCTTTTTCCTGGACGACAAAAGTCAGAGTAACATGTCGACGGAAAGGGGAAAAAATCTATGTTAAAGGGATAAAAAAAAAGTTGAATGGTGATTTTATTTTCAGGGCTTCGCAAACGACTTTTCCTTTTTGCTCCCGAGTTATCAATGTTCGTGGATTTTCATATAATTTTTTTAAAATAACTTTTCAGAACTGCATTAATCGTGATGGTTACGAAGAACGACTCTCGACCTATTGCCGCAAAAACCACATCAATAAAGCGGTCGAAAATTTTTTTTTTTTTTATAGAAAACTAGGTCTTGTGAAGTTAAAACACCGTTTTCATGAAACTAAAGAGTTGGCGAATCACCCAAAAAGTCTACGAAGAATCGAAACAGGAATTCACACATTTCTTGGGACAGTTATCTTGGAGCATTTTTTTAAATTAGGGTCTAATTTTTTTTCCGTATGTTTGAAACTTCGATAACGGTGTTAACAATCTTTTGATCTGATCTTCTTTCAATGTTTCATTTAAGATATTTTTTTCCAGATTGCGACAGCTGTTTCTGACGACTCTGCTTACAGATCATGTCCTTTCGATGAGGTCTTGTTTCAACTCTTTGGTTTTTAAAGGCACATGTATGCACTCAAATCAGCTCCAGAGAAAGGTCTTCTTCTCGAGATACAATTAAGAACTTTTCCTTTGTTCCTTCAAACACCACAGAAGTGAAATTGCCGATCCTAATGACCAAAAACTCATTTACAGGACTTCCTAAACGACTCCCTACCGCCAAAGTTCAAGGCTACCGTTTGCACGTAATTATTACCCTTTTCACACCAAAATAAAGATGTGTCAATGGAAGGGGCGGGAGCCAGAAGAGACAAGAAAAAGTTCCAATCCAGTCCAAAGTTTTCATTTATCGCGTGATTTACAACGTCTCGCAATCGTTCGCTGTAATCCTAAGAGCCCGTTGGAGATTTCTTTTCTTTTTGTTTTTTCGTCTCGACCAACCCATTTTGTGCTGACCGCCGACTTCGCGATGCTCCGCCGGCTGTTCTGTTTGGCGTTTCTGCTTTTAGTCAAAGCCGATGATGACTCGGTTGGTTTTGAATTTTATCAGAATTTTCTCGGGGAAAACTCAGAAATTCTCCTATATTTGAGTCTGGTTAGGTTAGAATTACACCAAACGTTTTTTGAGGAAAATCGGATAACCGTCATTTTTCTGTGAATTTTTACATCTATAAAAATGAAAATTGAACGATTATTTCAGCTGGTTAAGATAGAGGGATATTTTTCAACTTCGTTTCAACATGAAAACCTAGAAACATTGCTTTATCAATAGGGTATTTATTTTTCCAATTGCAACTCCTCCATTCGGCTAATGAAACTCGTCTTCAAATTCTAGCTTGGAAATAAAATATGCGGAGCTTTCGGTAATTGGTTATGTAGAAAAAAAAAAGAAAAAGATTTTGAATATGACTTTTGAATAATTGATGAAAAACGTTTCTCGTTTTTATGTTCTGGTTTGCACTTTCTGACAGAGTGAAAATCTACTTTGCGACAATGAAATTTGAACTTTTTGCTTCTCGATCACCTCTAACTAGTAAGAGCTAAAAAGTTTGAATGTCGATCGAAAGTCAAAGTTTTCATCAGATTTTTTTGGAATCTCTCCATTTCAAATTACTATAATTAATGGAAAGTGAAAAAAAGAAAGTTTTCAGATACTACGTTCAGCGGAACGAAAAATCCCAGTTCATCCGACGCCGCCTGTTTCTCGCCGCAGTTTTCGTGATGGCGATAGCCTCCTATTGGCTCAAGTGGTCCGTTTTTTTTTTTAATTGGAAGGTCTTACTTCTCTCATCAGGTATGGAGACACGGTGATCGAGCGCCAGTTGGCACTTACCCTACCGATGAACATCAAGAAAACGCTTGGCCCAATGGCTGGGGCGAGCTGACGCAGGTTTTCATATATCTACATGAATAAGCTTCAATATGAAAACTTCTTGCGAAAAATTCTGGATTTAAATTTCCAGCTTGGAATGCTGCAACAGCTGGCTCTTGGACGATTGCTCTTTAACCGATATATAAATACAACCAAGCCGTTTTTGAAGGGCTACTCGTCCAAGGAGGTGAGAGGTCACTTTAATAGCACAATACATCTCTATGAAGGCTTGGGGCTTCCAGGCCTAATCTCAAAAATAACGAAGCGAAAAGCTAGCGCACCGAATTGCAGTAGAAAGTAGATCAGCCTGAATTTAAAAAAAAGTTTCAAAATACTATTAGTCCACTTTTATGATTACAGTAGATGTATTTTGTAAGATTCCGACTTATTTCATAAATTTGACAACCAGAAACACGCTTCCCTTCCTAAACTTGTTTAAAGAGAAAAGGAAGCTGAGGAAATCAAAAACCCCTTTCAGGTTTACATTCGATCAACAGACGTCAATCGGACCCTCGTGTCCGCCTATGCTAACCTCGCCGGCATGTTCGAAAATGGGAGCAGCGGACGCGATTTCCCTCCTTCTGTTAGGTAGCTTTTTTGTAATTCATTTCCATCTACGGGCTAAACCGCCGCTTTAGAAGCATTACTGACCCCTTGTAGGGCTTCAGAATCGAAATTTTTCTTTTGAACTTATTTTCCTTCAAATTTTGACCAAGACTCGAACCAAAAACCTTTTAACTGTGAGAAATAAGTATTAACTGCTGTCTCATCTTCATCGCCTATTTATGTTGTATTATATATATGAGAACTTGAACACTGAGAACCAGTATTATTATACTATGTATAGTTCAAGATTGAACAAGATAGGACGGGATCGTGCTAAGCCACGCCAAAGAGAACAAAAATGAAAGGTCCAGAGGATGGCAAAGCTTAATGACTGCCATCGCGCGCGGAAAGAGATCAACACGCGTCACCTACTCTCGTACCAATAACTGAGTTGAGATGGCCGCGAGGCTGGACTCCGGTTCCCGTGCACACTGTCCCAGAGGCGACAGACAACGTCGGCAATGTCTTCGCCTACTGTCCACGGACAAACGAACTCGTCTCCCAGATCCATCAGAGCAAACAGTATCTCCAGTTCCTCGAGAGCAACGAAGTCTCAGAAACTGTCGGAAATCGAAATATTGAATGATTTTACAGGATTTTTTGGGTTTTCTGAGTGAGAAAACTGGATTCAATGTGGGAATGGACGGAGTCTACCTTGTAGCTGATGTCAATTTCATTGAGGTAACGGCTTTTTTGAGTTTGAGACAAAGCTAATTATTTTTTTAATGTTTAAAAAAAATGGGATGAAAAAAAGAATCAAGCTTTTTGATATTTTTTTTTTGAATTAATTGAAGAAACTAATTTTTCAGAGTTTTTTTTCAAGTTTTTTGTCCACCAACTCTGAGAGCTTTCGCTCATTTTTCGAGTTGCTTCTGAATGAACTCCAAGGCCTTTTTTAAAAAATTCTTTTCGAGTAATTTCAAAAAATTGAAAAAATAAACAAGCTTCCAGCCCATTTTTCTCCAGCTTCTTTTAAACAATTTTCTTCGATCCTTTCACTTTTTGGATATTACTTTTGTGAACAACGAACTTTTACAAAAAGCGATAAAAAAAACTATTTTTAAGTCAAAAGTCTAAGTGCTTTTGAGCCTTTTGAATCATTCAGAAGCATTTGAACAAATCTATTTCATCGGGTAACCCTTTTTTTAACTTTGGCCAAATTCTTGAGACGGTCTACAACATGTCGCAACCTGAGTGGCTGACCGACAGTGTTGCCGAAAAGCTTCGGAACCTTTCTCGCGTCTCTTCTGAATACATGTTCGGAATCGGCAAGCCCTACGTCCCCGAACTGATTCGACTTCGTGGAGGCTAGTGCTCATAGATGATTCCAACCGACTTCAATCCATTCAACTTCAGGACCTATGCTGAGAAGCATTGTCGACAAAATGAACCTCAAGATTGATTGCCTCAAAAAAGATAACGTTGGAAGTGAGTGCACTTGGATTCGGAACCTGAAGTACCACGCCTACTCTGCGGTAACTTTTTCCTTTTTTTCTTATTTGAAAAAATTCTCAGCACGACACTACAATCTACGCATTATTGACGACTTTTGGCGATGAAGGAAGAGTTATTCGAGGCGGAATGCCCAAGTATACGGCTTCAATCGACGTGGAACTTTGGGATTTGGTCGATGTCGGCCCTGCTGTCAGGGTGAAGAAGTTTTACCATTATATTTCAAAAAGTTGAGATTCAGGTTTTGTTTCACAGCGCGTTCCACCACAACTACCATGTCATAACTCATCTTGTCAAAGGATGTCCTCAAAGCGAGGAGTTCTGTCCTTTTAAGGTAAAAGTTACGTAGAAGGCTTAGAGTTTCCCTCATTCAGACGTTCGAGCAAAGAAGCGCAAAGTTCATGCCCGTCAATTTGGAGAAGGAGTGCAAAAGTACAGCCGAACTCAACAATCGTACGGCTGACAAAATTCTGAAGTCTCGACGGTTCTCTTGATTTTTTTTTACAAATTTATTATCAATAAATTATTTTGCGAGCAATCATCTTGATCGTTTTCGCGAAAACGAAATTTCGTATCGGTTGTATAGTTTCTTACTCAAATCACCTTTTCTTTTCAGGCAAAGCCGATAAGGTGATTTTTTGTTCTCTTGAAGGGACTTTTCTGTCAGATAAAGAAAAATAATTCAACTTTAAAGAGCCAAAGAAAAAAAATAAAGCTGAATTTCGTGGATTTTATTTCAAACACGACGTTATTTTCTTTTGTCATAATTCATTTCTTTGTGATTTCTGGATGATATGTTCACTGAGCTATTTATTTTTACTACAGATACTTTTCTTTCAACGCAGAGTTGCAAATTTTTCAATTTACGTTCTGTCCGATAAACACTCCATGAACACTAAGAATAACTGACGAGATAAACGCGAGGTCGGTGGCGGTACATTGACGAACTCGCAAACATGTCGCTTTTTTCTAGGCGCGATCTCGCATTTTCCTGGTCGCGAGCTCGCATTTCTCTCGCAATCTGAAAATTTCCGAAATGCACGATAAATGCGAGTTCGCGACCAGAAAAATGCGAGACCGGCGCGAGAAAAAATGCGATTTCTTAGTGAAGAAGAACTGCTGCTGAGATAAACGCGAGACGCTGGCGGTACATTGACGAGCTTGCAAACATCTCGCTTTTTTTCTCGCGCCGGTCTCGCATTTTTTTGGGCGCCAGCTCGCACTTTTCTAGGCGCGAGCTCGCATTTCTCTCGCAATTTGAAAATTTTCGAAATGCAAGATAAATGCGAGATGGCGCCGAGAAAAATGCGAGGTCGCGCCGAGAGAAATGCGAGATCGCGTCTAGAAAAAAGCGACATTTTTGCGAGTTAGTCAATGTACCGCCACCGAGCTCGCGTTTATCTCGTCAGTTATTCTTAGTGTTAGTGAACGAAAGCCAATGTGTTTCGTAAATTATGGTGCTATGGGTGTAAACACACCCAGACGCACTATCGCATACTTCAATATTTTTTTTCAATCCTACCACTAAGAATAAAAAAAAACTGCCGAGATAAACGCGAGACACTGGCGGTACATTGACGAGCTCGCAAACATCTCGCTTTTTTTCTCGCGCCGGTCTCGCATTTTTCTGGGCGCGAGCTCGCATTTTTCTAGGCGCGAGCTCGCATTTCTCTCGCAATTTGAAAACTTCCGAAATGCGAGAGCGCGCCTAGAAAAATGCGAGATGTTTGCGAGTTCGTCAATGTACCGCCACCGACCTCGCGTTTATCTCGTCAGTTATTCTTAGTGACGCCGTGCTCTGAAATGGAGCACCAAAAGGGCGCCACAACTCTTTCTTTGACACACATTATTTAGTTGCGGGAAAACGACGAAGTAGTGTGAGAGAGTTGTGGCGCTCCATGTCAGAGTGTTAATGCCGTGCTCGAACCTTGGTAACGCGAACGGAACGCGAATCGGACGTGTCGGGGCATTTCTAGTTACCACTTTAGTAACCTGAGCACTCTGAAGTGATCCCTAGAATCGCTCAGAAACGTCCGGAGCACGTCCGTTTCGCGTTATAGCCGATTCACGGCTAGCTTGGGACGCTAAGGTGGCGTGGGCTGTCTGACCTCTTCACCAACCAGGCAATCTCTTTTTTTCTGATCGTGTCAGGACCCTTTCTTCGATGGATCAAGCCAGCCGTGAATCAGCTATACCCATGTCCGGGGTGTTCAAAGTCAATTCCGCGAAATGGAAAATGGTCTCTGACTCTTTGAAATTTAGTTATCATTTTTCTTTCTCTGACTGCTCATTTGGATTTCGCGGAATCACTTTGAGCACGGCATAAAACTTATTTCGCGAAATCTAAAATACCCGTCAATTTTTGGAAGAGATAAGTTTGCAATTCGCGGAAATTACAATGAACACGGACTTTGATATATAACTTAAACCGGACCTGTTGGAGCATTTCTAGTGAGAACTTCAATTTCTTCCCTAGCATTGCTCAGAAACATTCTGAGCGCGTTCGTTTTTCGATACCGAGGTCCGAGACAGGGTTGTGCGAGAGCCGACTCATCATCCTAATGGGCCCAGTCATTTTCAGAGCCCGGGCTATGCGAAGCCTCAGGCAAAACAGGCTCAAAAAGCTCAAGTTTCCTTCAAGTCGAACATCAGCTTTTATTACGACAAAAATCATGTTTCTGGTTATTTTTTATAATTAAAGTTCAACAGAAACTAGGAATTCGAAAATAAGCGTTTTTCAGTGAGAAATTTGAACTTGGATATATTTTTTTTACAAAATGAAGTTTCAAATTTTTTGAGCGTGGCCTGGTCCAAGCCCGCGCAGGCTTCTACGCAAAAAAACAGTCCAGCCAGACGCACAAGCCCGGACCTTGGCACCCCAAACCATACGCGCCCCGGACGTTTCTGAGCATTTCTAATAACTCCTTCAGTGGTTTCATCGCACTTGAATTTTTACTAGAAGTTCTAAGAAACGTCCGGGACGAGTCCGATTTGCGTCACCGAGGTCCGAGCAATTGAAGCCCAAAGCAAACAAGCTTGCGCGGGCTAAGACCAAGCAATTCGAAAAGTTTTTCATTCTCTTTTCACCGAAGTCTATCACAATTTATAGAACGCGACGGAGGCCGATAGGTTGAAAATCTAGGCCTCGCACAAGCCTGGCTAGCCCACTGTTATTTCTCTTTTCCTTTGCAATTCAACACATAATGAAAAACCCTCAGCTGCTTTTAAGAGCGTTGGGCTGGTACCTGATGTTGTTCAGCCGTCCTCGCAGTTGATCAAACGTCCATGGATCCATGATGGATCTAGTCGCTACTTTGATTGAGGAAGCCGGATTTTTCATCATCTTCATCAACTGAATTTTTAAAGATAGAAAACTTCCAAATACGGAAAATAGGATATAAATATATATTGGATCAAAAAGAGCTGCTCGTAAAGTTAAATTATTTTCTCCGCAGGCAGAGTGTCTGCGGCCTTGAATCATAATCGATTATTTCACTAAGAATAACTGCCGAGATGAAACGCGAGGTCGGTGGCGGTACTTTGACGAGCTCGCAAAAATCTCGCATTTTTCTGGGCGCGAGCTCGCACTTTTCTCGGCGCGACCTCGCATTCATCTTGCATTTCGGAAATTTCAAATTGCAAGAGAAATGCGAGCTCGCGCCTAGGAAAGTGGGAGCTTGCGACCAGAAAAGTGCGAGACCGAGTGAATTATCGCGATCGCGATATAAATTTAAGTGAATTATCGCGATCGCGATATAAATTTGTACTCACAACTAAGAAAAAACCGCACATTCTAGCATCTTCGCGAGAGTTTCTAATAACCAACTTTTTTTCAATTTTTATATATCGGCTCGAGGTTTTTTCTGGCTTCAATTCTGCGTCAATAAAGACAAGCCTTCTTTTTTCTCATCATAAAATTTTTCGAAACTTAAACTTTCAAAACCTCACATCAATTGTTCCAGCCAGTAGTAGACTAATGTTCCAATGCGCTAATTCGTTTCCAATTTTCATTCCAGACGTTCTTTCTGAAGGAAAAATGATTAAAAAAATCTTTTTTTAGATATCAAACTGCTTTATTTAAACTTTTACGTCGATCCTCCATGTATTGATCCGAACACGTTCGTTGAGAGCTTCCTGCAATATTTTCAAGATTGAAAAAAGTGAGTCGAGTGCATTTATCGAATCGCGACGTTTTGGCTGATTAGCTTTGTAAAGTCGTAAGTTAGTTAGGGAAGCTTTATGCAGTCAGAAGAACTAACTAGGCGGTGCGCTAGAGCTCCGCTCGGCCTTGTCAGAACTAAGATCCCTAGACGCCGAAGGCCGTGACGGCATTTTCCGCGGGGGTCCCATCATCGCTTTGTCAGCATCGCGCTGCCAACAGTTTATGCTTCGGCCACTGGAATGGGCTTCGGCGTGACTTTGCGTATCCAATTTGCAAGCAAAGAGGATCGGCACTCCGGGAGTCCCGCGGGCCTAATCTACTAGCGCTTACAACTCAGAGACTTATTTTGGAAATTTAAAGATTTATGGAAGTTTAAAACTCATCTTGAAGTTGAATGCAGTAGCAAGACGACTCATGAGGGAAGCAGGAATGACGTTTGAACCCACGCCACACAAAAAAATGACACGTTGCCACGTGGCTTTTTGTACGTCTTATTTTTTTCGATATCAAGAAAATGACGCCTTGCAACGATGTTCACGTTTTTTTGCAGAGAATTAATTGTTTTTTTCTGATTAGAACTCTAATTTCAATGAGGCTAAAGGAGACACTAAAAAAACTTTTTGAAATTTAAAATTTTTTTAATTTTTTTGGGCTCTCTATTTTTCGCGTTTTTTTGTATTTTTTTGTTCTTCTTGTAAAAATAGTTCGTGTAATTAGAGCCAAATTGAATTGGCTGATGCATTTTTGAAATTTTCATTATATAAATAATCTAAACTATATTATTTTTCTCAATTTTTTTAAAATGGTTTTTGAGCTTAATTAAATATGCCGCCATACAAGGTTTTTTTTTTTAAATTTCTGCTTTCGATCTAATAATTGTTTTTCTGAGACGTTCCGGGCTTGACATCGGGGCATTCCTAGTGACCACTTTAGTAGCGTCAGCAATCTTAGGTTATCCCTAGAACCGCTCGGAAGCGTCCGGAGCACGTCCGGTTACTGTTATCGAGGGTCGTCATAGTTTTCTTAGCGTAGAAACTGTGCTCTAATGCGAATACGCGACGCGATCGATCGGGGAGATTTGAAATGGTATTTCAACTTTTTGGGTTCGTTATTCAAACGTCTTTCCGATTTCTGTCTTTATTAAGATGTTTTCTAAAGAACGGAACTGAAACGGAGGGTTTCTGGGTGTGATTCTGAACTATTCACGAGAAGCTTGTGAAAAAAGACGTTAAACGTCTAAATTTATTAAAAATTTATTCGATTTACAAATTTCGAATTTTTTTTATTTCGGAAACGCCCGGAGCACGTCACGGCTTTCTCTGTACATTGTCCAAGAACATTAACTCAATTTTTGGATTAATCGCTCAAGCCAGTGAACCGGATATACTGGTGTGTACACGCTCTTGTAATTTGTTGATGCGTTTCACTTTTCTTTTTTTTAAATCAGCTTTTGTCGAAAATGTTATTTCGTTTGTTCTGTTTGATTGTTGCTGTGCTTATCGAAGTATGAGAAGTTTAATGAACTTGTCGAAGAGGCGAAAACAAGTTTCAAGTTATTATTCGTAATTTTTTTCGTGAAAAAAAAAATTTTGTTATCAATTTTTTACTCTGTTATAGATGAGTTACGAAGATCAGGAAAACGTGGATGGAGGTATGGATTATCAGGATGCAAAGGGTCATCATGAAGGTAATTAATAAAGCTATTTTTTCCTATTTTTTCCTTCATTCTTCAGAGGGAATGGAACATGATGGTGAAGAACACGGTTTTGAACAGGGCGGCGATGGAGAGTGGAACGCAGATGGCGGAAATGGTTTCCCAGGTCAAACGTGAGTTGCAAAATAAACTGAAAGGAGAATGATAAAAAAAAATGCTCTCAGGTTTCGTGGAGGCTTCAGAGGTGCACGCGGCTTCCCACCTTTCGGCGCCGGGCCCCCTGGTCTCTTCCGAGGGCGAGGTTTGTTTATTTTGATGTTCATCTCGGAGATTTGCTGTTTTGAGGTTTTCCGCCACCGGGAATGGTAGCCGCCAGAGGCCGAGGCTTTCCCCCGCCAGGATTCCCACGAGGACGCGGCTTTCCTCCTCCGCGAGGTTTTCCACCATTTCGCGGCGGACATTCTGCTTTTCCGCATGCTGGTTTCGCTTTTCCTGGCGGAGCACCTGGAGGCTTCGCACAGGCGGCGCCGCAACAGCAAAGTCCTGCCGAACAAGAAGAGCGATTGAAACGCGTCAGTTTTTAAACTGAAATGCCTGGTTTTCAACACAAAAATGTTATATTTTGCTAGACAACGCAGTTGTTGACGTAAAATATTTATTATATATTAATACTACGAAACGATCACATTGCTGTCCCACTTTGCGTCCATTAATAGGAACTCAAAGGTCTGGAATTTACAGTCTGGAAAGGGAAGAGAGTTACAAGGGAAAAAGTATGACGATCGCTTCTTCCGTGCAAAAACGTTGCGTTACGGATGACGACCAGTTTGATTCTGTATCAGAATTAAAAACGTCATAGTGTCAGATTCTAAAGCAAGGCGGATCTGATATAAGCCGATCGAGAGCACGCAACAGTGCCAAGTCCAGCTGAGACTTTCCATCATATGGTAGGATCCAACAGGAAATATCGATGGAAAAGGGCCTAATAGGAATTAGTCGGAAACTCGACGGAGCCTAACAGTGCCAAACGGGGACAGTCTGCGAACTAAAGTGAGACGTCCTCGTGGATCCGAAGCTGCAGTGATTTGGTAGCTGACATTCCGAATCTTCGCTATAGGCGATAAAAAAAGATTGGAACGTCCAAAAACGGATCGCAATCAAGAGGAACGGCCATATCTAGTCTTCCAAAACGAACAAAATGTTCGGGGTTCCACCGGAGGCGTTCAAGACGCTTAGGTGGGAGCGGAAGGCAATAAGCCTACGTGAGTCGTCTACCGCGACGGCGATTCACCGGAGTTTCTCTTGAGTGCTCTGAAAACTCAGAGGTTTCATCGCAAGAAACAGTAATCGACAGTCCAGAGATTCCTGGACGGCGCTGTGTGCTACAGTCATAGCAGGATTACTGGGCGAAACCTTATAAATGAGCGTATTCGATTGCTTAAATAGGCGAATAAGTATAATCGAAACCCTGGAGAGCAGCTTCCCAAAACTCTATCGAGCAAAAAGGATGCCCTAGCTACCAATCCTCCAGAAGTACTATCAGCAAACACTCTTATGACCTTCAGCTGAAGGGCGAAGTCGGAGATTTTTACTTCGGCTAAGAGCCCATGAAAAGAATTCAGTGATGCGTAATAATAGAGAACTTCTGAGAAGGGAGAAGCCTGATAGATAATCCACGACAGGAAAGGAAATTTCCAAAAGAATCCTGGCAAAGAGGCGGGAGGTATCGTGGTATGCGACCTCAGCGGAAGTTACGTCAGAAAGTTAGACGCTTCCAGAAAGAGGTCACTAGACTTGTCCACGTGCTTATTGAAATCAATCAGATGGTACATTCGGAAAGGTTCAAAGACCGAATAAGAGGACCAGGGAATTGTTCCACTGGCGTCTCCATTGTGATCATAGATTTCCGATAACACGCAAGTCAGTTCAATGAATCAGAGATCAAGAAATCCCAGAGTGGATAGGAACTCAAAGGAGGCCTCCAGTGGGATAATATTGCATCATAAATGATCTCTGGAAAGAGCTTAGCCGGTAAATCGAGTGGTTCAACCATCAGAAAATACCGCAAAGCAGACCAATGGGGAAACGGAGAGCAAGCGTAACAAGGGAAGAACCTCAAAACGCTGGTCGCTACGACCTCTCGATTCCACCAGGTTCATTGGACGCCACAGATCGCACAGGAAACGCAAAGAAAGGGACTAAAAATGGACGAATCTTCGGATGAACGGTTCATAACAGTCCTGGCGAAATACCATTCCTGGAGAGGCGAACCTTGGCAGATTCGTAGATCCTGACGGATCCAAGAGTGTAGGTTATGCACCAAGTGAGAATCCCAAGTTCGAGCAAATCTGTGTAGAGAAAGCGAGAATCTGTTTGGAACTAAAATACGCCGTTCTATGAAACGTCGTTATTTCCAATAAGCCTAATGAGCTATTGGACGCAAGATTCCAGTTTAGATTTTTTTTTCTCAGTATGGAACAGTGCAGTAGTTCCATTGCTTACTAGCAGGATTGATTCGAACAAGTTTTGAATCCAGAGGTGCTCAAAGAGAAGCAAAGACAAACCTCTCCAATTGCTAGAAGAACGGTGTCGAATACTAAGAATTCGTCTGAACAAATAACTAACAGGTCTCGGACGATAGCAATCGCTAGAGTGAGACCAGGGCAAGCTATGCTCTCAGTTATCAGACTGAACGGGATTCTTAGCTATTAGAACGGTGAAAAACTGGCTTCGGACCCAGATAGGCAGAGCAACCCTCGAATCGGTTGGCGATCCGTAGAGGAGCACTGAAAGAAGTCCTGAGAAGCAGTTCTCTCTAAACTAAGCGAAATTGTGTCAAAAAAATACACATCGCGAAATCCTGAAACAGGACCGTTAAGGCCTCAGGAGACCCATCAAAGAGAGACTATCATCGTGCTCACACCGAGCTAGTTCAGGAGGCACACACAACAAAGAAGTTGAAGGTTGAGGTTTAGAGGCTGAGCTATCAGTCGAAGGCGTCGCCAGATGGCCCCTTCGCGAGGAGAGCTTCAGATAACGCTCAAACGCCTTGCAAGCAGGAAAAATCCCAAATTCCGAGGCTTTTGAACTAGCAATGTGATCGTTTCGTAGTATTTGTATATAATGTTATATTTTTGCTAGACAACGCAGTTGTTGACGTAAAATATTTATTATATATTAATACGAAGAAACGAT